TGATCCTGAAACGTCTGTTCCTGTCACGTTGAGCCAGGAGGCCGACACAGGCGTCACGTTCACCTATTCCGTCTACTTCATTGAATCGCCAACTGTCTGGGCCACAAGATGGGACAAGTATTTGCACGTGTACGACCCGAAGATCCAATGGTTCTCCTTGGTCAACTTCTCTCTCATCGTCATTTTCCTCTCTATCATCATGTCTCATATTTTAATCAGAACATTGAGAAATGATATTCAAAAATACAATGAAATCAACCTTGACGACGACATGATTGACGAGATGGGCTGGAAGTTGGTCTACGGAGACGTTTTCAGGCCACCAAAGAACCCTATGTTGTTGTCTGTTCTGGTTGGTTCTGGTGTCCAATTCCTTTTGATGGCAGTCAGTACCTGCGGATTCGCGCTTCTTGGACTTCTTTCTCCTTCAAACAGAGGTTCTTTGGCTACTCTGATGTTTGTGTTGTATGCAGTTTTTGGCTCTGTTGGATCCTTCACGTCTGCATACATCTACAAATTCTTCCAAGGTGAAGACTGGAAAACTAACATGATCCTATCTCCACTGCTGGTCCCTGGAGCTCTATTCGGACTGTTCATCTTTTTCAATTTCTTCTTAATTTTTGCACACTCGTCGGGAGCAGTGCCAATTGGTACCATGTTTGTTATCGTTCTGATTTGGTTTGCTATCAGCGTTCCACTTTCATGCTTTGGTTCTCTCCTGGGATTTAGACGGCCAGCTATTAAGGTGCCTGTCAAAGTTAATCAAATCCCAAGGCAGATTCCAAAACAGGCCTGGTACTTGAAGACGTCCAACATGGCCTTGATTGCAGGCATTTTCCCCTTCGGAGCCATTGCCATAGAGATGTACTTCATTTACAACTCTCTCTGGTTCAACAGAATCTACTACATGTTTGGATTCCTCTTCTTTTGTTTCATTCTGATGCTGATCACTACACTTTTGGTCACCTTGTTGCTTATCTATTACACTTTGTGCAACGAGAATTACAAATGGCAATGGAGATCATTCTTCGTTGGCGGCGGTATTTCTGTTTACGTGTTTTTGCATGCCCTGATACTGTCAAAGTTCAAACTTGGCGGTTTTACCTCTGTGATTCTCTACGTGGGTTACTCTCTTGTGATTTCCCTTGGAATTGGACTTTTGTGCGGTGCTGTTGGATTCATTGGTGTCATGGTGTTTGTGTTGAGCATCTACAGCCAAATCAAGGTCGATTGAATTGATCGCTAGCATGTATATTGTAACTAGATTCAACAATGAACTTTTATCCTCTGGTTATGTTTTCGTCGGGCTTACGTAACCCAGCTCCGTCCCCCACGTCGGGAACCGACAAAAAGTTGAAAAATCGAAAAATTGTACATATTTGAAATGTCAGAAGAAGGACAGGAGTTGGAGGTTGTGCAACTGACCGTCAAGTTGCCAGATCCAATTGGGCAACTTGTGTTTCAGGTCAATCCCGCTGACACTGTACAGGATGTCAGTCAGACTTTGAAGCTGATTTCTCCTACCCAGCATCACACTTCTTTTGTCTTAACTACCCTCGGAGGTGAAAACCTTGTTGAGGACACTCTTATTGGCGATATTTCGGAGAATTCAGAGGCTACAGTGATTTTGAAAGAAATGCCCTACACCGAGAAGTCGGCAAGAGAACATCTTCAAAAGGTGAGGGAGATCGCCTCGTTGCAACTTCCGCTATTTTATGGGACATTGAACGACATCAGCGGTCTTTCGGCTGGAGCTTCGACCTATGAAAATTTAGAGCTTGGTCCCGTTTCTAAAAAGGCGGAAACGTCCGAGACTGAAGAGAAGGAGCAGCCTGAGCTTTCCGAATCAGCCAAGAAGGGTATTTTTGATGCAGTTGAATCCGTGCTCTCCGTCAAGCCATCCATCATTCCTGCCCAGAAACCCTTGAAATTAGCCCCTGCTTTGCGTTCCTTGCATGTGTCTGCATGGACTCCTCCCTCTCCACAACGTGCCTTGAAAGGCGATTTACTTTATCTGCAATGTCAGACCCTCGAGGGTGAGAGTTTCCAGATCACTGCTCACGTGACGGGATTTTTTGTGAACAATTCTTCTGCTGCCAAGTTCGACAGCTCTCCGAGAAAAGTAACCTCAGCAAATGGGAAGCACCAGAGGCCGTCAAGGGCCCACTCATTGCTTACTTTGTTGAAGGGTCTGTCTCCTAAATTTGTGGAGCAGCTCGATCTCAACGCTAAGATCCTTTCTGAGCAAATACAGGACGTTTACTCACTTCCTACCAATGCCCTCCTAAGCAATCCATGGCTTGTGAAGGACTATTCTCTGCAAATTCCAGACTTAGGAAGAATTGAGGAGAACTATATCGTTGGTGGCTCTGATGCTGCTGATCTCTTCAAAGACTGGAATGAGGAATACCAAGGAAGCAAGGAGCTCCCACGCTCGACTCTTCCAGAAATCATTGCCCGAGAGCGGCTATTGAACAAGACCGGCTTTGACTTTACTGTCCAGGCCATCAAAGGTGCAATTTCCGTGGTCCATGGTGACGTGACTCCGATGAACCCTAATGACGAGCCATCTCAACATGTGTATCTGCGCAACGGAATTTTCTATTCCCTAGGTGTGGATGCTGCAGGCGATTTTGAGCGCTCAGGAGGCGACGAGGCAGCCAGGGTGGCTGCCGTGAAGGATTTGGACGGAGTCAGATGTCTGAACCGGCTGGACAGCAGCGAAATCTCTCACCTATGCACCACAATTGTTGACTATTGCGGCCGTCGGGTGATTTGCCAGACCCCTGTGCCCGGTATTTTTGATGAACCGCTTTTGGAGGAAGAGCCTGTGTCGAAAGTGATCTATGGCAGTTCCGAGGCGCACACGCAGCTGAATGCGGACGAGAAGATGAGCGAGAAATTCAAGAAAATTGCTGAAGTGTTCCATCTCAAGCCACACAAAGCATGGAATCTCGATGGCTCCCAGATCAAGGATGTTGTGACGTCCATGGACACCAAGGGTATGAAGGGAACCGACGGTCGCGATTATATCATCGATCTGTACAGAACAACTCCTGTCGACATCGAGTTCATTGACAAGTACTACACAGGCAAGGAAGATTCCTATCCCCACAGAGAGACAGTTCTCAGACACGAGGCTGTGGAAGAATGGTGGAGAAGACAAGTCTCTCTAGCTGTGAAGCAAGAGACCGACAGACTGGGAGAGGATAGCAAGGAAGGAGATGAAAAGGCCACCATTGCCGTGGATACTTCCGCCTTTGTTCTGAATCCAGACGCCTTCTGCTTGACGGACGCACCTACACCAGAGCTTGCTGCAGATCTCAAGAAAGACGAGGAGAGAGTCAGAGAGGTGTCCAAGTTTGTCTCTGAGATCCTGCTTCCAGAATTGGTGAAGGACCTGGAGTCATCCGAGGCGTACACTCCAATTGATGGGGGCCATCTGAGCTCCATATTGCATCGCCAAGGAATCAACATCAGATATTTGGGAGCACTTGCTCAGTACATTGAGGAAAGAAAGGCATTCCACAAGAAGGCGGAGGAAGAGAGATTAGAAAAGGTTAAACAGGAAGAGCCAAAGGAGACCAAAGACGAGGGTGATTCAGAGAACAACGAGCAGTCCAAGCTCGATGCAACACCAGTCCTGAACGTTTTGGATGCCCTTTTCTTTGTGACTGTGCAGGAAATGATTGCTAGGGGAGTCAAGCACGTCCTGAGAAGGTCTTGTATCTCTGTGCCTGTTGCTCTGGTTCCGTACGTTATTGCACACATTTTCAACAGCGTTTTTGGCGTGACGGGTGACGTTGAAGTTGACCCGCTTTTGGCCGAGATGTATGGCTCTCCGGACATCTTGAACCAGTCGAGAGCTCAAATTCGCGAGCAGGTTGCCAGGGAGGTTTACATTAGATACCGCTACACTCTTCCGGAAAGCTGGCCTGTGCACTCTCTGTACTTGACCAAGGAGATCTCGCGCAAGTTTGGCATTCAGTGGAGAGACAGAACCTACGATTTTACCGGGACGGCTCCTACGTTCACAGCCGATGACGTTCTGGCCGTTGTGCCGATCGTCAAGGACTCGATTTACTACTCCAACTCTGTGGATAACATTTGGGAGGCTGGCCGTGTGAAAGTCACAAAGGGCGAGCCGGAGGGAATCCAGCTGCTGAACCAGGCCATTGAAGTTTATGAGCAAGTCTACGGAGCAATCCATCCAGAAACAGCCAAGGGATACGGACAACTAGGGCAAATCTGCGTGGACCTCAAGATGGGTGAGCAGGCTTCTGAGCTTGCTCGCAAGTCTTTCCGTATTCTGGAAAGAACAAAGGGAATAGACTCGTACGACTCGATTCTCGCACTGACCAGATTGGCACTAGTTGAGTCGGCCAATGGTGAGCACCTGAATGCGATCAAGCTGCATGCGAGAGTCCTCAAGTACTGGCTGACTTACCACGGAGAGTCTCATATCAACGTGGTGTCTGCGTTGTCGACCATTGCTATTATCTTGCAAAAGGTGCAACTGCATCTCCAGGCTGCCAAAGTGTTCCAAAAGGCTGTTGAGTTGAGTGATAAGTATGTTGGAGACCAGAGCCAAATGTCAGGTCTTCTGCGTTTCCAACTTGGCCAGTCGTTGGTCACTTTGAAACAGTTTGTTCCAGCTAGCGAGCAGCTTGAGATTGCAGCAAACATTTTCAAAACCAACCTTGGCCCTAACGACCGGAGCAGTGTCGAGGCGTCAAAATGGACCTCTCAGCTGAAGGAGTACATTTCTGTGATGCAGAAGCAAGGAAAGCAGCTCAAGGCAATGGAGGCGCAGATGGCTAAGAAGGCCAAAAAGGCCTCACCGCTCCCTTCGAAGAAAAACAAGTCGGTTTCGCCAAACCCAGAGCTTGCTGACAAGTCAGTGGACGAAATCATGAAGTTCATCGAGGGCGAGCCTAAAAAACCAAAGAAAAAATCCAAGAAATAGAAGCCTGTATATAAGACCTTAGCGTCGTAAATTTATTTTACATCTCGTTACTCCTCAATGTCGCCGTGTTCCCAGCAGCCCTTGTGAGCACGTTTGGCCTCCTGTTCCAGTTCCAGCAGTGCCTGCTGCTCGGCAGAAAGCAGCTTTTCGAACTCGTTCAAGTCCTTTTTAACAATACCGAGACCATTGGACACCAGCTCTTTGTTGATCGTCCATCTTGGATCCTTGGAAATTGTTTCTGGATCGTACAGCTCCACGTCCATCTCGACATTCGGCTCTGGGTTGTGGAAAGTTTCGCACGCAACGAGCTGTCTATCCAAAATGAGATCTTCAAGGAAATAAATTGCATCCTGCAAGTAGTCGATAGGCTGGGCTGGCGGAAGCTTGACCAGCGAGAATTGAGCCACGTGAGCCTGGGGTTTTAGCACAGAGGTCCCGAAGTTGGCAGGCAGTTCGCGCAAGTCAGACAGCGGAACGCTCTCGCTGTTCCCGTAGTCCACGTGGCGGACTGTGTACTTGTTCAGTTGGCGGTCAACAGCAATCACCAGCGCACGATAGAACTTTCCATTTTCTGAAAACTTGGCAGCGACAAGGGCTCCAACCTTTGGCGGCTTACCGAGCGGTTTGAAGCCCGATGAGGAGGCATGCATCTGTTTCATAAATGGAGACAGCTTTTTCTGCTCATCGTTGAGAATTTGGAGAGCTATCGTCTCTGACACGTCGGTGACCACCACGTCGTAGTATTTTCTGTCAATACTGAGCTTTGCGATCTGCTGGACCGGCACCTCCTCAGGCTGGTACGTGGCCCACACACCCAGCTTTTTTTCTCTTGCTTCCTCTTCTGCTTGCAAGAATTGCGTCTCATATTTGGTCTGTGCGAGCGATCTTTCGTGGCACTCGGCAAATCCTTGTTGCAACAGGGGTATTTGGAACGGAACACTCGATCCTGGGAAATAGAGATTGCCAATGAATCCGCCAAATTTGTCAACGTTGTAGATATCCAAATGGACGTCTCTCTGGTACGCCTTTTTCGTTGTAAACGCCAGGGCCTTTTCAGCTATCGCTTCGTCTCCTTTTGGGTTTGCCAGCCCTCCTAGCACAAAGGTCAATCGAAGGCCCTCACGAGGCATGGAGATCTTGAATCTGTTGGAAGCTGTGATGTGCTCGACGATCCCCGGGATCTTCGTTCTGTTTTGGAAGGAGAAAAGATATGGTTTTGCTCTTGCCGCAGATTCCGAGGCATCCACGATTCTCTCTGGATCTGGAACTTTGCCGTGAATTCCTTTCTTTTGCTTGGTAGCCTGCATCTCGCTTTCAATCAGCGAATCCCAGTAGTCTGGCTTGCTTTCCGATTTGAACTTCAAAACAGATGCATAGCCATTGGAAACAATGAGATCAGAAAGGTTTGTTCCGTCGTTCAAGAAAATACTCACCAGAGAACGCTCGTCCAGCTGCTCTGTCTTCGGTCTGATCGACTCGACCACAACCCTGACTTGCTTGCCAATGGTCTTGGAGCGAACAAATTCTCTCGCAGCGGTAACAAATGGTGCCGTTTCTGGATCAGATTGTCTTGGCCCTCTGAGAGAAGCGAGCTGAACAGTGATTTCAGTGTCATTTTTCAAACGGACCACCAACGTATCGGCCGAAATCACTCTTGCAATTGTTCCGCTGAAGCTCTTCTCAGTGGATTCCCTCGAGCCTTCCTCGTTGCGCCACAAGTTTTTCTTCTGGCCTCTACCAATACGCTCACTCTTGCGCAAATCCGCCATCCCGCTGGCTCCCAGCAGAACAGACTGCCAGTCAGCTACTTCTGCCAGCCCTTCCTCCAATAGTTTGGAATTTATTTTCCCTGCCGGATGCACCACCTGTGCAACCGCGATTCCGCTGGACGACTCGCCCACAATACTGATTTTCACGTTTCTGGCCAGCAGCCTGGTCTCCACGTAGCTCTTGGCCTGCTCACCAAAAGGTTCTGCCTCCTGCTCTGCAGAGGCCGTTCTCGGAGCCTTAATTCCAGCAATCAGCACAGGAAACACAGCATGCTTGTTTTTGGAAACCAGTGCTCTCACCATCAAACGATCTCCACTGATCACTCTCTCCACTATGGCGTCGAGCGGCGAGGTCTTTGACTTTTCTTTTTGGCTTGGTGTCAGCTCATTGGCCCTCTCAATGGCACCCAAGTTCTTAGCCCACATGCCAATACCCTTGTCGCGGGCCTTAGCCTCGATCTTCTGCAAATCAAGCAGAGCTTCGTTGTCGAAGATTCCAGATCTGAGCTTCACGGCACCTTTCTCCAATAGATACGAAATCAAAGAAGGGAAAAGCGGCGTCGACACGTCTCCAAATTCTTTCTCGGACTGGCTCTTGTAGAGTATCCAGAACTTGATTTCCTTGCCGACCAAGAGCGTTCTCAGAAGCTCTCTGGCCTCAAAAGCGTACTTCTCGCCGGAAGTTAGCCGTGGAGCCTGCACGTAGCCCAGAGTCAGAATCCGTTCTGTACTGGGCCCCTTTAAAGGAACCAGCACAAGCGTATCAGCAGAAAGAACGTTCTTGACACGTGCTCCAAATATAGTCGACATGTTAAATCAGCAGTAATTTTTCACCACACTGGGCCTACTACATATTTTGAGCGAAAAGCTTGAATGTGGGCTGTGCTATATACCTAGACTTTTTTTTAGACTGTACAGAAGCCCGTCTTCCCTCTGCAACCACACAGCAGCATCTTGTCCTGGGATTTGGGCTATTTCGTTTTCTATGCATTCCACGAGCAACTTTGTTTGGGTGGGCTTGGAGACTGGGTCCAGCTCTTTGGCAGCCAGAAGCAGCCACAGTATCGACTTGCGATGTCTGGTCTGGCCAAACGAGACGAGCTCGGGGATCTCAAGCTTGAGAGGATTGCTCTGTTCGTAGTATGAACCTTTGAGAGCGCTCTTCAAAGACTTTTTCGGCTGACCAAATGCAGAATAAATGTATGCAACACGTTCCATTAATACAGCATTGGCCGTGCTTTCCAAAAGGTGCGAGTCGATCAGCTTGGTAAACAAATTGATAGCCTCGTTGTAATACAATGCTGAAGCAGAGGCTGGAGAGTGTCCAAAGTATGCTGTCGACTGGCCGAGGACGAAAAAGAGCTCGGCAATTATTAGGAGTAATCGGATACTATAGGTCTTCAAGTTGCAGCGCGACAGATACGAGTAGAACGAGGAGTCCACCAGAGGATTGATCACCTCTGATAAGATTTTTGCGGTAATTCCATTCATCACCATGCTGATAGGCGGCTTGTCCAACGGATTGACCTTATTGCTTGCGCCAATAATTAAAGAGATGATCATGAATTCTTGGAGCGAAGCAAGATAATTGTACGCCTTGTCATTTAGAAAATCTTTCTTAAGCAGCTCGTACGTTGTGTACGAGCTTCGGTAGTCGCGAAGCATGAAATTCCAGTCTGCTAAACGTCGTATGGCCATTTCCGGTGACTTGATGTTGTAATAACCGTCTTTCTTGTTGTAGCTCGAGCCGCTGGGCTCCGGAGTGGTTTCGAGTTTTTCGCTGCTACCAAACGAGAAAAACGACTTCTTGGTGCCCTTTCCGCTCCATTTCTTTCCTGCGTTGAAAAATCTTCCTGTAAAGCTTTTGCGAGGAGCCACGTATTCTTCTGTCCACATTCTGATCTTTCTCTCCATGTGAGGAATGAGCTGCTTGTGAATGATATCCTGAATTTGATCGCTGAACGTTTCGTAGATTTGGCGCGGAAGTCCGCGCTCTGTGAGCTCCGTTCTGGCCATTTCCTCACTCAACTGAGAGAATAAAGGTTTTCCAACGTTCACAGTGTCTCCGGAGTTGTCTAGCGGTACAATGAGACTTTTTACGCCAACACCAAGTTTCAGCTCTTCCTGCAGACGTAGTCCATTCTGTAGATCACTTTCTGGGTCGACAATAATGAGAACCAGCTCCACTATCGACTCAATGTCCAACCAACTTGGATATGCGGCCCTTTTCCAGCCGGAAAGCGCTTCTTTGACTGTCTCCAAGGAATCGGCAGACGTGACGACAAACAACTGCATTATTGGATGGTTGAAAAACTCAAAGGACGATATCGTTGTGGAAGAGATGCTCTTTGTGAGCAGATTCAAGTAGATGGAATTACGAGCGAGTTTTACATTCACAAGGTCATCGCTCGCGGAAATTATGCTGTCAACATCTTTTATATGGTCGTTCATGAATGGATCCAAGGAGTTCAAGTTGTACAATTCTGATACAGAAAACGTTTGGCTAAAGGAATCTGAGCTGCCCAAGCTTGCACTGCCCCCTAAGCTGGATCTTCTTGTTTGCAGAAACTCTTCCTGTTCTCGTAACTGATCCATAATGGGACTGACAAATCGCACTGTCAGCCTCAAGTTCGAGCCATTAGAAGTAGATATTCCGGGGTCTTGATCCAGAAGGCCTTGCTCAAAACACCTGAGAAGTTCCAGAAAGTTGCCAAATCCCAAAGTGGAGGCTAGAGCGTCCGAGCTCGCTGTAGAAATGACACTGATTTTGGGACAGTAGTTCTGCACAATCAGTTGTTTGCAAATCAAGGAAGGAGCGCCCTTCATATCCAGCCCAATGAGATCGTACACGTTCTGGTTAAACTTGGATCGGATTCCCAAGGCCACATTCTCTAAACTTTTAGACATGCTCTGAAAATGCTTCAAAAGAAATTGTTTTTGTACTCTAATTCGACGCGACGATCGAAATCGTCTTTATGCAATTAATATACAGATTATGAAGCCTTAGCTTTATTCAGGTTGTTCATCACTTGGTCTGGCGGAACGGCTTGCATCATATTGCCCTCACCCACTCTGGAGTGTAGCGGGGCAGTTCTGGTGGCTCTGTTACTCGCGTAGTATAATCCGGCCGCTGCTGCTGTGAATAGGAACATGGTCCCGACAGACAGCGCCAGCCCAACGCCGACAACCTGTCCTTTCGTGAGATGGCTCGTGCCCTTGTTCTGAGAATGTGAGGAACTGGTTTGGGTACTTGGCAAGGAACTGGAGGAGTTGCTGGTATTGGTGGCATAATTAATTGTTCTGAAGCTTTTCACCACTCCTTTCATCGTGGCCCCGGTCGGGGTGAAGTTCTGCCCAGCAGCCACAAGCGGGATCCAAGAACTTCCGTTGTAGGCGGCAAAATTTGCAGTACCGTACGCGGGAAGCACAATTTGTCCTGTAGCTACCAAAATTTGGCTGTCGACGAACGACGAGGAAGAGTTGACCAACTCAAAGTCGCTGAAGGTGGTGTTCGACCCAAATCCGCCTATTTGACTGAATCTACTTCCTTTGATTGAGCCAATGTAGCTATCGCCCATGACAATCACCCTGTCCTCGAGATGCGATCCAGGAACGATAAATTTCTTGATGTTTCCCGGTAGGGAGACGTTATTCAGGTGGTTTATGGGTTCAACAGAAGATGTGTTGAGGTTGAGAAGCCTTAGAGACGGATCAGGGGAGTTAGTGCTCACGAGAACGCTCATGGTGTCCAAGTACTGCAGATGTGTCACTTCTCCGGAAACCTGGCTGGACGGCGCGAATAATGTCCTGTTTTGCGGATTGAAGACACACAGATAACTGCATCGGCTAGATGTAAAGCTTCCTCCAAGCACCACGCTGCTGTCCTTTGGATTGACACTAAGAGTGTTGACGCTTCCAGTCAATCTGTCAGACATGAAAACATGATCCTGCGAGGTGGTGTTGTACACCCATAAGCCAGAGCCAGAGGTACCATTAATGGAAGCAGTCCCGTCAAAGGCCACATATATGGCGTCTTTGTAGCTGTACAGCGCTCTTACGGTCGAATTGTCGCTGAAATTAATGTTCGGGGTGGTACCATTGACAATCACAAAATTTCTCTTTTCGTCTATGGTGGTGAAGTTTCCGCCCAAGATGAGTGTTTCGTTCAAATACATTGCCGTGTATACCTCTCCAGATTTGATTGAATCCAGAGAAAAGGTTGACCCTTTTCTGATTTGAGCGACGCTAATTGATCTTGCGTCATACTTCACAACCTGTCCAACAGCAAAGTCGACATTGTCAATTTCGACGGCTCTTGAGATATTGAGTCTAAGCAGGTCCGAAATGGTCCAAGTTTGCGTGTGGTAATCGTATATTGAGGCGTTCCTTTCGGATATCAGCGAAATGTACTCTGAGGAGTTGTAGTTGAACGTGGTAGCAGAAAATGGATAGTCAACGACCGCCAGCTCCCGGTAGCTACCGTTGAACAGGCCGACATTCTGATCCTCCGAGACCAACACCAGATCTGTATCAACAGCTAGGAGCTGGCTCACAGGGTCGCTGACACCGGCAATGTCCTCAATGTCTGCTGTACTGGTGTCAAAGGCCATTAAGTTTTCGCCGTAATCTGACTCAAAGTCCCCAGCAATGTAGAGCACAGAGTTATTAAGATACAAGCCAGTGACGTTTGCGTCTGCAGTTAAATTTTGTCCCAGCAGATCAATGGAAGAATTACCAAACGGTCCTTCGAATCCCGGTTGATATTCAAACAGACCGTTCAACTTGTTCCTTTTTATCTTTTTGATATCCAGACCATTAAACTCAGTGTAAACCGAGCCAGCGACAAAAGTGACATCATCACTGTAAAGCGAAGAGTCAATGGTGACGTCAAGATATGTTTGGGAGTCAGCCTCCATATCAATGTAGCCCGAATATAATATGTCGTATTTTTCCTCATTGTTGGTTTGGTAGATCAGATTGCTGCTCAGGAGCTCGGCATTATTATATAAAGATGCGTTGACAATTCCTCTTTTGTCACACGAGTCGTCCCCCAAACATCCCGGTGTGTACAAATAAACTGAGTAGTTTCCGGAGTAGGTGATATTGAGATGGTATCTGATACCTTGGCCGTTGATATCTGAGCTGGCGATGGTGCTGGTCAAGTAGCCTTGTGCGGGAGCCCAGGACACGTCGCCCAAATTGGACGCTTTTGAGTAGTTCTCGATGTTGAAGCAGGTTGGCTCGTTGAGCGTGTTATTAGCGTAAACTGTAGTTCCGTATTGGAACATCTCAAAACCAGACAATCCTGCATAGCTGCCATAATTATCAAGAACTTGGATCGATATTTCGCTCACCTGCAGAGCATTAACAAATTCGAACTCCTGGTAGTTTTCTCCAAAGCCGAGCCAGCCAGCAGCCACATTGCTTACCGTAGTGTAAAATCCATTGTTGATCACGTCTTCGTGCTGGTCTATTGAAGCTGATAGATTTGTATTCGGGAGCAGCGGGCACAAGGCATCGCAGTACCGTCTCTCAAGCGAGTCAGGATCAACATACGACAGATTCATGATTCCGTTTGCTGGCTGCGTTATCACTCTGAAAAGACTCACTCCGTTTTCGTCGGGTAAGTTGTATAGGCGTATTTTTGACGGTTGCACAGCATTCGGTAATACCGCAGACCACGTCCCCTGTTTCTCTTCTCCCAGAGTCCACTGGGCTCGATCAGAGGGACAAACGATACTTTTTGCACCTGAGCCAGAAGAGCTCGATATCTGCGCCCACTTGAAACTGATTAACTGATCGGGGTCCACCAACGTCGAGTTGCTGCCATTGGTAGCCAAAAGGTCTGGGTAGCCAACGGAATCAAAATCTCCTCCAAATATAATACTGTTGTTGCTACTACGGATCATGGTGTTCACTGCGCCATTGAATCCACCAAATGGAGTACCTGTCAGAGTATCATTCAAAAGGTTGTATACCACCACCCCCGATTCATTGTCATAAGAGATATCTCCACCAAAATAGATCTCGTCATCGTAAAGAAGAACGCTCAAGACATTCCCTTCAACTTGATCCCAATTTCGCACAGGTGTACTGTTTTTTGCTTCGATGTCGTATATGTATGGTTGGCCGTCGACCAGGTAAATAAGAGATGTATCTTTGAGATTAAATATGTCGGTAGCCGTGGTGGTTTCCAATTGGATAATCGAGTCGTTGTCAGCACTCAGGGCCCACAGCCCATAATTTCCCGTTGTGAGGTTGTATTTGGAGACGTCCGAATAATTAGAAATAGAGTCAAATTGGCCATAAATAAAGACGGGCTCCAGTATGGATGGTTGGTCTATTGGGGCTGCATCAAAAATGGCCCCGCGAGCCATTTGAGCTAATACCAAACTGCCCGCAACAGTTGTTTTTGAAAGCTTCATGGCTAAGTCAGTCCATAGACTAAAATCCTTTTTGTAAACGGTTTGCAGATAGTCTGGAAAAATACGTGCAAAGTTTGTGTATTGCCCAAACGGGAAATACATAAACAAAAATTATTCGTGGAATTTGGCTGGCAGGGAAGAGCAGGTAGTGAGTGATTTGCAGAACACCTCCAGGAGGAACGAAAAGAGAGGTTGCCATCTGATGCACGTGACCAGTTAAAAGATACACAAACTTTATCTTGTTTGTCTACTTAGTCATCCAGCGCCCAAAAATTGGCGAAACTTAGCACCGTGGCGCAGTGGAAGCGCGCAGGGCTCATAACCCTGATGTCGTTGGATCGAAACCAACCGGTGCTACTATATTTTTCCTGTTATTTCTTTTTGACGACTAAGCAACCATGTCCCGATAACCATGTCACGATACTTGCGTAGCTATATGGGCGATGCCAGAATTTTAGTTGGTATACTTCGCAGATTGCGGAATTTCAAGATGCCAATTTCGTCACCCCACCCCCAGAAATGTGTAAGGTACAGTAAGAATATTTTGTGGGGCGATATATTAGTTGCTTGAAAGTTTTTACTTGATCCTTAATTACTTGATGTTCTACCATGAGAAAGTGTTCTTTGGTGATATCCGAGCCTGAAAGATACGTTGAAGAGGAATCTAAAAAGCAGCTGGCTGATCCAATCGTTTACAATCCCGGAAGTCTTCCTTTGGTCGGCTCTTTGGTGTACTTCCGCAAGCCAGGTCACTTTGTGTCACCAGGATTGAACAGTGACCAGACTCGCTCCAAGCTGCTGGACCGCAAATCCAGCTCCTACCCGAATTTATCACAGAGCTTGGAACAGGGCACAAAGCACAGTAGCTACGACCTCGACAGTTTGCAACCAACCTCGCCGTCCAGTTCCATTTCAAGTATAGATTCTCAGAAAACGCTCCATCATTATGTCTCAGATGACAAGGACAAAACGGATCCATCGTTCGATGAGCTGGATAGCCATATCAACCACCAGAGAAGGAGCTCGTCGGGATGGAACGATACCGGCGATTGCTCCAGATCCCTCAAAAAAGATCGCAAAATTAACCTAAGGCACAGAAGACGCCTCACATGCGCTGTCGTATTCACAAAGCCAAAGCTTGTCGAGCTATAGTTTGTAAGACCCTAGTATAATAAGTAATAGCTATTACGCTCCATAGTTAGATAAGTGTAAATGCAGGAATTTATTTTTACGTGGAGAGATTACGTGAGTGATTCTGCAGGCAGTAATTGTGTTTAGCGATTGTTACATTGCATTCCAGACAGGAAGGCACCTAGCAGTGAATGCAGCTTATAGGTAAGTAAGGAAACGAACAATTAGATTTGTATAGATGAGAGATCTTGCTGGATGAAGTCTCTGCAGCAGTTGTGCCACAAAACTGAGTGTCGAGGCGTATCTCGCTAATTTAGCAACACTGAGCTTAGCAGTGCTAGAAAAAATTTCAGACTAATGAGTCGCTGCGGACCCAGCGGGTGTCACGTGATACGCGACACGCGATTCGCGAGTACTCTGCTGCCAGATTAGCGCATTGGCGGTGCTACTGAAAAACTAAAAGTGCACGCGTAAACTAACCATGGAGTCAAGACCTCCATTGGCTCGGAAGCGTACTGCTGCTTATTCCAGCGATGATGACATGGCTATAGATGATGAAAATGTGCGCAATCACCAATTTTCAGGTTTCCTGAGGAGCCATGCGAGCTCAGGCACGTCTGATCTGATATCTTTTTCCAGCTCGTCCTATACTCCACACTTTGACAGGCAGCCTACAACAAGCTCTCCACACTTGCAGTACATTAATGATACCGAGCTTGACAACTCCTACTTGACAAATAACACCACGTTGGATGCCATCCCGTCATCTCCGCCGATGATTTCTCAGTCACAGGCTACTTTAGTGGACACTCCGCCAAAAATCTGTGCGGAACGCACGTCCTCTTCAATAGCACCAGAACCTACCAGAAAGCGGCAACGTGTGCTGAACAATGAGGAGCAATTGGCTTTGGACCGTGACGGAAGAGTCTACGGTGTGCAGCTTTGGGACTCAACATTTCCTGAAGGCTATCGGCCTAGTTTATACGACGACCCCATGTTTTTTGTTGTCAAGAACACTGAAACGGCAAGCAAAGCTGCCTCGGAAATCATCACCGCCTTATTTGATCAAGAAATCGATCATGCTAGCAGGGTATACAATTTGGAGCTAGAGGAGCTCGGATTGAACTCGCTACCAGAGCAACTAGCAGATTTCAAAGACCTTGTTCTATATGGGCCAGACGGGATCATTAAGCCAGTTTTGCACATTCATGCCTCTAAAAACCAACTCAGGTCGCTCAATCCCAAAATCTTTGATATTAATGGTCTAGAAGTGCTCTCTCTGCGCAATAACAAAATAGCAAGAGTTCCAGGGCTCATAGAGAAATCGACCAATCTGAAAAGCCTCAACTTATCCAACAACAAAATCAAGTTTCTGCCCCATAATATCCTAAAACTAGAGAACCTACACACCTTGAGAATCAGGCCCAACCCGCTAATTGAACATTCTTCCAGCGAAAATACGCGTGAGGTAAATGGCTACAGGTCTCCATATCCGGACTCGACCCTCAAACATATGGGCCAACTACATTGGACTTCGAAGAACAAACAGGTTTCCAAAGCCGCCTTGAATGCCATTTCGCTTGTAAGGAATCTATCCGTTCTTCAAGAAACCGATTTTTCGCCGTTCAACTCTGAGCAATCTCATCTCATGGAAAAGCACCAGTGGACCCCTACGCTGGTCGAGCTATCGCTGCGGAAGATATCGAACTATCTGATTTCTCAGTCAGAACTTTTGAAATGGAAAGACACGGTACACGAACGAGTGTACAAGCTGGCCATCAAGGCGCTGATTCACGGAAACAACGGAGTGACTTGTGGATATTGTGAGAACACTTGTGTGGAAAGCGTTGCAGAACTGATGGAATGGTGGGATTTCAAAGATGCGATAGAGATCCCCGTGAAGCGAATTTTCTGTTCCAAACGGTGTGCGATTTGTTATTGGAACGATATTAAAGTGTATATTTCTTAGTCGCGCAATTATATCCACACTCTTGCTGTGTTGTCTGCTGACCCGCTCACGAGGTAGCAGCGGATGCCACCTTCGAGTAGCTTCCTGTTCTTGATTTTGTCGTTTGTTGATGATGTCTCGGATACCACTGGAGCGGCAAATGCGATGACATTCACAAAATTCTCGTGGCCGCGAAGTTGCGCGACAGGACCCAGTTGCCCGCTTGATGCCAATGTACGGAAGTCCCATACCTTGATGAGTTTGTCGTCCCCACATGATGCAAGGTAGTAACCGTTAGGATGCATGGAAAAAGATCGTATCCAAGAGCTGTGTGCTTTGAATTCGTGAAGAAGCACAGCTTTGGGGTTAGAAGATGGACAAGGTCGTTCTGGATTCGTTAAATCTGGAACTCTGAGCTTCCATATCCGTAACATACAATCTCGTCCTCCACTAACACAGTACTTGTATCCCAGGACGTCGTATGTCTCGTCATTGATATCCAGTAAAGGATCGATATACTTGTTGGTTTCTGCAGGTAGGAAAATTGAGTCCTCAATGACTTGCTCACTCCCCAAACATAGGGAAATGCCCGCCCCAGTGGCAAAATGAGCAAGTCTCACAGACTGGTCATTCGAACAACTCAAAATATACTCCCCATTTGAACTAACGTCAACCTTCCTAACCCAGTCAGAATGCCCCTTTATGGTTCTTAAACACCACCCGGAAACCACGTCCCAGATTTTAACAGACTGGTCTCTCGAGCAGCTGACCAGCTGCATTTCATCTGCCGGATTAAACTTCAGCCCAGAAACCAAGTGGTCATGGCCTGTGAGCACCCGTACTAGTTGGCCTGTCTTGCTGTCCCATAGCTTTATGAGCAGGTCTGACGAGCATGACGCAAGAAGAACCATTTTCGTTGAATCGACCGTATTTTCTCTGCTTTGAAACTCCAATGCATTGATAGTCCGTGTATGAGCATTTCTGATCACACGCTCAGGTTCAGTTAGGTCGAGCAGGTTCCAGAACGCAATTGTACCATCTTGAGAGCCAGTAACCACCACCGGCTCAAAAGGGTGTATTGAGACACAAGTAACAGATCCCTTGTGCAATTTCAACACCGCCTTCACTCTGCTAGGGATCCATTCCAACTTGTCTCTTCTGATATCCATGCCGCCTGCTGCCTCCAGTAATTCTGAGTAGTTATCTACCAGCTCCTTGTACTCCCTGATTTCCTTCTCCATGTCGTATATTCGCTTCTGGAGTCGAACAACGGTAGCCCATTTCTTCTCCAGGTAGTTATTGGGTAACGTATCTGAATTCTCATGTGCCGGAACGCCCAGCCTTGAGCGAAGCTCGCTGACGACTGCCGAATCATTAATGATACCATCCAAATACTGAATCACAGCTTTGTTGAGCTCCGACCGCTGCCGGTCGCTCAATACAGCGTAATTCATACGATTCCAACAATGTTTACAAATCTTGATTTGTTTTTCTCGACGCGTCTATCGACGTATTGATTTCGCGATATGCATATATAATGTGTATTAACATTCCAGATTGTGCTTGTGCGAAGGATCGTTGATGGTGTTTCCCTTCGCGTCAATAGTACAGTATTTGATTTCTGAAAACCACTCATCCTCAAAGATGTCCTTCATAGTTGCACGCCGCTCTGGATCCACCGTCAAAATTCTGGAGAGCAGAGGCCGTGCAGCATGTGGCAGCAGCCTCATGAGCCTGTATGGACCATGTATTTGACGGTGAGACCGCGAGATTCCTGCGTGGCGCCGTTCAGGCTTCTCCTGCTTGGCAGACTTTTCGTTTTCTGACTCTTGTTGTTGTGGTTCACCAATCTTTGGAGGATCCACTGCCACCAGTGACGGATCAGGCAGTTTGCTGAAATCGAAGTTTTCCGGCATCTTTGAGGGCTGTTCTTCGGCAGCTTCCTGTACGTTCTTCTTCTCCTCCTCCGGCTTCTCTAGTATGTTTGCAAGTGGCTCTTCCTTCTTTGCTCCTGGATCCTTATTTTCCACACCTAAACGTTCGGTCTGCTCGCAAAGCTGCTTGACTTCCGGCTCCTCCTGTTGCTTGCTTTCGGCAGACTTCTCGAGGTTCTTCTCGTTCTCCTTCTGCTCCAAAAGCTTTTTCTTTCTCTCCAATAGAAGCTGCTTGTGGTGTCTCGCGCTTTCTACGTAATCATGAGGAACATCATCCTCTTGGCAGTAGAGGTTGAAGCTTGGGTCCTCTGGCTTGGGGGCCTTCCATGGGAATCTTCTTAGAGTCATGCAGCAGTATATTATGCCAATGGACCAGATGTCCACCAATTGAGGGTCGTAGCTTTCGGTATGAGTCAACACTTCTGGGGCCAGGTATGGGTCCGACCCGACAATTCCGTGGGCATAAACTATTTCATCTTCAAAGGGGTACTTGAAGACAACGGCAGAGCCAAAGTCAATAAGTTTCAGTATACCCTCTGTCGTCACCACGCAGTTATCTAGCTTAAGATCTCGGTGGGCCAGTCCCACAGAGTGCAAATATTGGACACCCATGGTGATCTGCTTGAGAAAACAGTTGATTTCTGAGCGCGTCATCTTGCCAGCCATAACGACTCCAAAGAAATCTATTGGAGCATACTCCATCACCTCGAAATATTGATTATGTTCGCTGATGATGTCGATCGTTTGAATGATATTCGGATGATGGAGCGTGCTTCCAATGCAGAACTCAGCGGTGCACTTCCTGGCGTACTCCTTAATGCTCTCGTTGGGTCTTCGAGGCACAAACTCCTTCACTGCAAATGTTACTCCGTCACTCTCACGAACAAGTAATCTAACGGATCCACCGGCTCCTGAGCCTAAAACCTTCCCCAGCTTTCCGTACTTCTTCGTAAGCGAGCCCTCCAGATCTGCCCAAAATCGAGGGTCGGGTTTCACAATCATGTTATTATTGGCATCATGTGTAAATGTAGGGGAAGCAAGGTCCGAGTGGGAAATGTTCGGAGACACGTTAGTCGATGAGGTTTCCTGAGTCCGATAACCGGATAGCGACGAACTGGATCCACCAAAGTCGTGTCTCTTGGATGGACGGAAGAACCGCTTCAGTTGTACCATGGAGGTGTTCCTTTGCGGGACCCTACGCTCGAGATCGTGGGGCGTTTGGTGGTACTGCGGATAGTTGTGATGACTATTGTGTTCATCAGAGTGGAATGAGTCATGTGATTCGTTTGACGAAGCCTTGCCCATACTAATACCAAAAAACGACCGTCGCGAGCTATTCGAATGAGTCATCAACGAGCTACCGATCGCCAGAGAATGAGTCCCGGAGTCTTTCGGGTGGTGTTCGTCATGGTGTTTGTGTCCCAAATTGCTCAAAGATCCAAATCGACTAGGCATTTTTTAGATATCTGGGGTCATACGAGCCTCAAGCCTCCACTCTCCTTCGTAAAAATATGATCGTATAAAGTGCTCGTTCACCTGTTGTCAGACAAATTGGATAGTCACAGTCGCTAGCTTTCTGTACACTTTTACTTTATAGCGAGTAACGCCAGAATGAGTCTCACTCAAATGATCTCGGACACCAAACGATAACGAATTCCAACAATTCGTTGCTGATCTTTATATTATTCCATTTTTTCCCGTAAATGGCATCCTTACACCACCGATAAATTACAAGCTTATTTCTTAAAACCGTTTTTATGTGCAAGCATATCAAGTTCAGAAAAGCCCCACAATGCCCACGTTGTAGCCGCGCTTACCAAAGCGCTCTAAGTGAGCACACAGTCTTTCGCGCATTGAGGCCTCGTCTAATGATTCATATAGTGTTTTTTCGTGGTCTTCCAGTTGGGACAGAATTTGCTCCCAATCCATCAGACCGCGGTCTAAACAGGTAAAAAATAGTTCCAGTCTATCCAACTTGTCAACTCCCCCATCGCGCAGGAGTAAATGTGTATCCACGATTAGCTCCTTGTATTTTTGTAATAATTGAATCCTCAGACGACCGACGCTGGAAAACGGAGTCCCAACCTTGATCAGATCACAAACGGAGCGTAGCTCCTCTTCTGTCATTGTGAATGGATTTTGTACAGCAATCTCATCAAACCCGCGCCCTTTCCGCAATTCTTTTAGCTTTCTTTGTGCCTTAATGCTTTTTCCATAATATGATTTCATAAAGGCTGGAAACACGCATGTGAACGGCATCAAACTGGGAAAGATATAGTATAATGGGAGCGAAAACTCCTCTAAGAGAGCAAACAAAAGCGCAAAGAGCGGCAGTTTCAAAATATCACCTCTTGTTCGCAACATCGTCTGGAATTGGGCCCTGGATATTTTGATCTGTTCGCGGCTCAGATCGAGTGATCCTGAATTTTCAAGACACGAAACAGCAGTAGCTAGTTCGTCCACCACTTGTGGAACCGTGGAGTTCTTCACGTACAGTTTCTGGTCTTTGGCATCCCCCGTTGCCAGATCGTTGGCAGCCAACCCATTGACGACTAAGAACAAGTTTCGGCTATAAATTTCGGATCTCAGATCTTTGTAGTTTGTCCAAACACTCCCCATTCCCTCCTTGAAGAACCTGAGGTAATTTTTGGCCAGACGGAACAAGACAACGGCTTTCAAACGGACCCCACCGTACGGTTTTTCAAGCAGAACTTGGTCGGTGATGCGCTTCTTCGTTCGAATCAGATGTAAGGGTGGCACACTTGATACGATACCTCGCCTCTGAACAAAGCTAGGCAAACCGGGATACATTCCCTTCATGGCTCTAAGTGAATATTCAATAAATTTTTTTATTTTTGTTGCACCTAAAGAAAATGTACTAGTGATTCGTTTACACTCAGACAAACAAAGCAGCCTTATCTGCTGGATCCCGTCCATACCAAATATACCAGTCTTTGTACTTGACACTCATCTGGTTGTCAGAAATGCCTCCCTTGGCTTGAATGGCATGTTTGGCAGCAACAGCCGCTTGCACGTCAAAGTACTGGACAGCGAAACAGAGTTTCCGAGAAACAACAGGCAGAATCTCCACTATCGGGCCAAACTGTGAGAAGTCTGTACGTATAGCGTTTAGATCAAAATCTCGAGAGTAGTTGAGAATCGGATCGGGATAGCTGGGTCTTTTCTTTTCGGAAGTGATATGGCTGTTGAGCTTGCTTTTGGCAAGAACTGGTTTTTTCAGCACTAGCACTCGCCGTGCGCTTTCAGACCCACCCATCATTTCAAGAGACTGTGAACTGTCTTTCTCGTGGTAGCACAAGTAGTCTTCGGTGTTGACGATGCCGCTACGTGGGATCCAGGATGGATGCAAATGGTAACCATTGACAACAAACATCCCGGTGGACGCAAAACTCATGAACTTTAGTGCGTCTTCTTCTCTCTGGAAATACAGATGGAGTAGAGTCTCGTCCCAGTTGATTTGGTCTCCCAAGTCGTACTGTTTCTCCTTCAAACTCGACTTATCAAGAAGCTGCACTTTCTCCAGAGGACCTCCATAAATTTGACTCATTATACTGGTCAAACTAGTATTGCGATGTATGTTGGAGAGCATGACGACCCTCGATTCTCTCATTATGGCATCCAAAATTCCATTTTTCGTGACTTGTCTGTTCAAATGGAAGGTTGTGTTGACTATATTCTCGTTCATCTTAAGTGCATTGTTGTCAGCTCCAACGCTCCCTGTCTTTCTCCCCATGCCGAGCTGTTTGGATCCAGAACCTCTGCTGTCTCCGGCTTCCTCTGGCTCAGAATCTCTGGTGATAGTCGAGTTCTTCGATGCCCTCCGGGTCTCCTGTCGAATTTTGAGGTTGGTCTCCATCAGTCGTGCAAGGAGGGTTTCCTCCTTGTCGCAAGAGTCTGTTTGCTGGCGCGACACTTGGCTCTGTCTTGAAACGTTACAGCGAGTTTCTCCGGCTAGTTTCCTGCTCACTTTCGACGACGAAAGCGAATAATTCTTGGCCGTTTCGTAGTATCTAGGCGATTCCCGGTCCTCGTCTATGGCACATTGCACAACCTCGTCCAGATCGGTTCCCTTGCTGGCCGTGACATTCTTGCTGTCGTTGTGCAATAGACTCTTTGCCAGGCGTCTAAAACCCAGTTTCTCGTCCTTAACGTTCTCGGCGGATCCAAGGAGCGAGGAGAGAGAAGGAAGCCTGGATCTCGACACTCTCAGACTGCTAGCGGTGTTTTCGTTGGTCAAGGGGTGGACAGCTTCGGCGTCTTCTCCAAGAGGGATTTGGCGCAACATGATAGCTGACTAGAGGTAGCAATGTATGAGCAATACAGCGGTCTGTGTGTTATAGCGCAAGGGATTAAAAACTACTTTTTTGGGGATCTCTAAGCCCTTTTTTTTTACGGCGACAATTGGGCGCAATATAAATTATCTCATTGCTGTCCATCAAGAATCTCTCTGAGGGCCATCGTGGCATACGCAGACACCCCCAGCTGCATCTGCACAACGAGCGCCACTTTCGAGCCTTCTGGCCTCGAAATCAAGCGTGGCTCCTCTCTTCCTTGCTGACGTAAGCGCAGGAGCTCGAGATCTGTGCGGACCAAGGAGTCGGTGTTGGCATCGTACTTGCAAAAGTAGTACTTGAGGCCGTCCACGCGGCCAAAAACGTGGCGATAGGAGCCTGCAAGTGAGAACTCGCGCACGCGGCGCGACATCTTGAACGGATCGAGCCCGTCTTTGGCCATCACGTCCACATATGTCTGGCGCAGTGTCTCGTTCTCCGGGTAGAGAACGTCAAATCCTGGCGTCGGCAGCACTATGTCGTGGATGGAGTATGCGTTGTTGTCGACATCCTCCTGGGTGACAGGCTTGGCACGAACAAACGTTTCTTTCTTGACGTCTTCCTCGAAGTCGTCATCCTGCTCCACCGTCTGGGAGTCGTCGATAACGAGATCTCCTGCGACAACTTCCATGCCAAACAGTCTCATTCTGGCAGATGCGACCATGTTCCAGACATAAGATTGGTAGGCATGACCGTACATGATCCTGAGATTCCGCGGAATGCCCATTATAGCTTTGAAATAAGAGTTTTCAGAGTACTCTCCGTCCTCGTCCTTTTGGTCGTGCTCAAGACGGCTCAAAATGGAGAACTCAGCAGAACACCGACGGGGCATCTTTTTAAGTGCCTGGGATGCGTCCCTAGTCTCTTTCCAGATTCTACGAGCTTCCACGGAATCGGGTAGCACAACCTCTTGCTCGCTCAATATTAATTCGCCTGCTTTTTTCCACTCACTTTGAAGCAGGCACTTGCCAACCTCGTGAGTCGAAACCGAAAATGTGCCAAATCTCTGCATTCCAAAATAGTTGATAAAGCCATACTTGTCAATAGATTTGAATATAGGAGCCAGCTTTTCTTCCAGAGTTGGGATATCTAGTGTTTGCCCATTAAGAGTGACATCCTTGATGGTGATGATAAATTCGTTCCCTCGGAGATCGCCCAATCTTAGTGGCTCGTCGGCATAGCTAAAGCCGCCTATCTGAAACCCGCGTAGAGCTCTATTGAGGTTGTTGATTCTTTCCACTGAAATGCGTTCCAGAGATATCTTTTGCACTGTCACTCCACGCCTGTCCTTGGTTCCCGCATATTTCACGTTTTTTACAGGAATGTTGAGAAACTTCGCTAAAAGTCCAGCAACCTCCATGGTCTCCTTATTTTCCTTGTATAGAACAGCATGCAAATAGCGCTTTCGATCGCCCAGGTTGTGGTTTATCACTGTTCGCCGCCTGCTACTTCTCGAACTCAATGAAATTTCAAACTGATTGGTAGCCATGGTCAGGCTCTCGAGACGGTTTTTGAACAGTTCGCGCACGAGTTTATGCAATTTGGTTCTGTCCTCCTTGTTCTCAAAGACCTTTTCAGTGACGAGTTTCTCGCCAGAAACTGGGATCTGCAAAAGCTTCTCAACGTCTGATTCCCCTAGAATGGCAATCAAATCAGATTTCCGGTCTTCAGGGATATTGAGTGCGCCTCTTTCTGATTTTTCTGGGTCCGTGTCTTTCTCTACCTCCTCTTCAGGGAACCCCAAATCCTCCAGATGAATGACTTTTCCATCCAAACCTATTTCATTGACGAGGAAGTCGGTGTATCTCTGCTTCAACAGCCCAGCAATTCTGTCGCCTCCCTTATATATGTATTCAGTAATGCCTACGTGCTGTTCGGTGATGCCCGAGTCAGCTTTTTGGCGCTCTATATCGGCGAGCTTCCGCTTCATGTGAAAATTATTTTTTTTTTAAATTATTTTTTTGATCATTTTCAGTAAACGAGACGCGTTTAATAAAATCACTTGTTTTTCATGAACGGGGAGGCTTCTCAAAAAGATCAAGGCCAGACAACCCAACCCACCCAGCCGACACAACCGAGTGCGTGGGATGCGCCTGGCAATGACGTGCTTGCACAGGAACTGATCAGTACCGGAGTAGTTTGCAGGCTGATTTGCACCACCAGCACAGACATATGTCGCGGAAAAGGCTACATTGACGTGATTCTAAAAACAGACACCTTGGAGGATAAGCAGGAGTGGATATTCGGACGCAGAGCAGAAAGTTGTGATTATCCGTTGAAAACCAAGAGCAACAGAATCAGCAACAAGCATTTTAAGCTCTGGATGAGTACCAAAAATTCCAACGGGGGAGCAAATGGTACTTTGATGATCCAGGACACAGCTACTAATGGTACATGGGTTAACGGAACCAAATTGATCAAGGGAACGAACTACATCTTGACGCAGGGCGACGAGATCAGTATAGGCATAGGAGTCGCCGCAGACGTGATACGATTTGTGGTGCACTTTCCGAAAAATGGTGCGCGCGACGAAACGCCAGAGCGAAACAGCAATAGCTCAAATGCAGGGATACATATGGATTTTATTGTGCGAGATGAGATCGTTGGCTCGGGTGCTTTTGCTACAGTCAAGAAGGCCATCGAGCGAGCCACCGGAGAAACGTACGCTGTGAAAATCATAAGCAAGAAGAAAGCATTAACAGGGGGTATGGATGGAGTGACGCGGGAATTGGAGATACTCAAAAAGCTGGACCACCCAGGAATTGTTAGATTAAAAGCTTCTTACGAGGACGTGGAAAATTACTATCTGGTGATGGAGTTTGTCCCTGGTGGAGATTTGATGGATTTTGTGGCGTCTTACGGATCTGTTGGAGAGGCTGCGGGCCGCGAAATAGCAAAGCAAATCTTACAGGCCATTGACTATGTGCATTCCAGAGGTATATCGCATCGAGACCTCAAGCCAGATAACATCCTAATAGCGCAGGACGATCCTGTGACCGTCAAAATAACAGACTTTGGGCTGGCAAAACGCCAGGGCATTGCCAGCATCATGAAGACTTTCTGCGGAACGTTGGCTTATCTTGCGCCTGAGGTCATTTCTGGCAAATACGGGGCCCAGATGGCTTCATCTAAAAAACGATACATGGGAAAAGGACGCGTTTTCGAAGATTCCTACTCGAACAAAGTGGACATCTGGTCGATCGGGTGTCTTGTATTTGTTATTCTCACTGCGCATTTGCCTTTCAGCGGGTCTACGCAAGAGACTCTGTTTAAAAACATCACAAACGGAAACTACCACGAGTCTTTGTTAAAGGAAAACGGAATATCGCTTGAAGGACGTGATTTTGTGAACCGGCTTCTGGAGACCGACGTGTCGTTGCGTCTAGATGCTCGTCAGGCACTCAATCATCCGTGGATCAACGAAATGAGCACCGTTGACTCCCAGGTGAGTCTTTCTCAGAGTCAGTCTCACCAACAGCGTCTTTCGCAAGCTTTGAGTATAAAAGCAGAACCGCCCGTTTTCAAGGTTCCACAAGTACCAAAGCCGAGTCAGCGAGTGCACACTGCGGGCGTGGGAGAGATAGATGAGTCAATACAGGAGATTGAATTCATCGATTCTCAGCCTCTATCTCCACAAGAACAGAATAGAGAAGACGAAAATGTGCCCCCGGGAACATTCCTAACTCTGAAACTCATAGCATCGGAACCTGCCAATAAGTACGAGTCAGTGGTCCATATCAAGCAAGGACAGCCATTTTTCTCCATCGGAAGACTAGATACACTGGATTATACAATCTCGGATGAGAGAATATCGAAAACCCATGCTGTGATACTCAAGAAACGCCATCCAATCACAACAGCCTCATCTATCTACGAATCACCAGCTATGGGATTGGAAGACATCTGGATATTGGATCTGAGCACCAATGGATGCTATGTTAATGATCAAAAGCTGAAAAAAGGTAATAAAACCAAACTTTTCAATGGTGATGTGCTGAGCCTATTCATAGATAAACAGCGGGGAGAAAAATTGGCCTACAAGGTTATAATCAATGACACAACGGGGCTTTTCAAAGGAGCCACCAGGGAAGAGAGAAATGTAAGCATAGAGCCGCAAGATGAGGCAGACCAAAAGCTTCCGCTGCTAAAGAAAAGACAATCTAATATTGATAAGAAGAGGAAACACACAGAGCAGCACATGATCAACAAAAGGAAAAGAGCAGATTTAAGCAATTACTAGAAACTGTTCAAAAAAAATCCAATCTTTTCATGTTTTATAGCAATAATAGAGACACAAAGAAAATCGTTGTCAAACAACCGTACCCGATAAGAATTCATGCTAGCAAGCTGAAGCTAATACGTAACTGCCTTGCAGTTACACAGCCTTAGCCAATCCCACAGCGTCTTTGCCAAGGTCATAAACGGAGTAGTATCTTCTGAGGAAAGCGTCACCAATGATGGCCATTGGACCAATTGGGGCTGGGAGATCCATTGGAGTGAATGCAGAAATACAAGAACCAGAAACTTCCAAAGTGTAGTCGTAAGGCGAGATGGTAAAGTTGTAACCATCGAAATTGAAAGTCAGGTCAGGCAGCGAATCTCTCTTGTCACAGTCGATCTGGTACTGTCCAGACCATGACTTCTCGGCACCAATTTGAGAGTTCAATATTTCAGCCAATTGAGATGGAAGAGCAATCAAAGAGGTTCCGGTGTCAATGGCAGCTCCCGTATTCTCCAATGGGGCGTATTCGTCACCAAGGGCAATACCACTAAACTTCACTTCCCAGTAAGCCTTTCTTCTGACTGGCAACCAGGTGATGTCACCTGTGTACTTAGACACATCGTATCCACCAAAGGTAGCCTCTCCTCCGTCCTGCTCGGACTTTGAAGTGTCACCAAGGTAAAATGCGAATTGTGGGGCGTCCAGCAGTTCCAAATTGATAGCATTGTAAATTGGAGGAACGATTCTGTTGACCGAGATAGTGTCGTAAGCCAGACCCAGGATACCGTCAAACTTTCCAAAAGCAAAAGCCAAGCCAGGTTCGCTAGTAGCCTCAGCGAAATCCTGCTTAGGGATGACAAGGTCACCAATAGTCAGTGTGTCTTGGGAAACGTAACCCTCGAGGGAACCCGAGCCATATTGAATATTAAAGGAAGAACCGTTTTTCTGGTAAGTGGAGGACTCATCGTGGTCGTATTTAGTATGCAAGTAACAGGCCAAAGACGAGCAATCGCTACTAGGAACCCACAGGTTAGAGGAACCGGTGTCGAGGATAACCTTGAACGACTGGCCAGGAGTGCCCAATTGTATCTCGGTGAAGTACTGAGCGTTGAGATAGTTGGTCAAAGGAGTGTTGTGTCCAGAGGTTGCACTCTCGTCAGAACGCTTGCCGAGCGAGATAACTTGCTGGTCATTCTGTTGGGCGGCGATAAACTTATTGTAAGATGTAACATACTTTTGCTTCAACGACTCAACATAATCGCCGACAGTAACATCCTGGTAAGTAGCCTGTGCAGGAGCTTTTTTGATGGGAGCTTTGTGCACCTTGGCATCGGCCACGGAGACCAATCCAAGCACAAGAGCAAGCGAGTAAAGGGTTGGGAGAGAAAGTTTCATCTTTGAGATTCGCTTTGTTTATAATAGATGCTCAGCGATGCTAATGATTTTGACAAGGTTTTGGAGCAACTAGATTGGTGACTCTCTATTCAGAACAGGTTTGTAAATTATGGAACCTACTTAATGAACCCCAATTTTTACTCTCTTTGCCACCCTCATATTTTAGGTAGTGCGTCACACATAAACACATCAGTTTTGAGCATTTACGCTATCCCAACTAGTACTGGTGCAGCTTCCAGAATAGGAAAGTGATCTGATTAAGATATAGATCCGTAGTTTGACAGCTTCAAAACCTCATCGAATTGTTTTTTGCCCTTGTAAAGTTGGGCATTCGCCATATAGTCGTCCAGCAGGAAGTCGATAGGCGACAGTGGCGTGTTTTCACTCAGCTTGCGAACGTGATGCGGGGACATTGGGATTTTTATGAATGCTGACCTTGTGGCAGGCGACTTTGACTTTTTCAGTTTGATGTAGTTTTCCGCAGACATACTTTCTCTTCTCATCGCGGATTCTTCTACTCCCGGGGATTTGGCGGTACCTTTGTTGTAGTCCCATTTGTACCATTGCAGGAGCAACGTGCAATCAAGGGCCACCGTGCCCATGGCTCCCAAAAGGTAGCTGAGCTCGGACCGCCAGAAATCCCGCGATGTGTCACCACCACTAAGCGAATTCTTACATGTTGCCAACGACATCGAGTAGCACAAGTTGCCCAGAAGCGCGCATATGACAAACTTGGGGGAAATGCCACGCGTCGATTTGAGTTTGTTATTGGTCAATATCTGCGGAAATCTGGAGCTGATATACAAGAAAGTGCAACACCAGGCCAGGATGGTTCCCATCTGATGGACGGAGAGTGTGACTAATGCATGAAATATTTTTAGTAATGCGGAGTTGTTGGTCTTATCCGGTATGGACATTGGCGAGTAGATCGGGGCAGCTTCTGCCCTGCTGAACCCCATGATGAAGCTCGAGCTAATCAGCTTCGTTATGCTGCTTGTTATGTTCGTGTTATTTGGTTGTTGTTGCCTCTCTATCGGAATAGCGGAAGATATATGTTCTGCAGGAACGTAGGCGCGATCAATGGAATCGGCGTCGATTTCACGCACAGGATGGGCATTCAGAGCTGTTCGAAGCGCTGTACGAGGCGTCTTGATCTCACCGAGCCGCTTGGCACGTCTTTGATGGTAAAAGCGGGACTGAGGATTGTGGTACAGGCGGCTGTAGTAGTAAAACTGCCCGGCCAAAACTATGTCGATAATGAGATAATACGAGCTGAGCAGGATTTGAAATAGCAAAGCATCCGTCATCAAACAACTCATAAAATTGAGCAGGTCCCCGGCAAACCAGCAACACAGAAACCCTAGTGAAAGCCCGTCAACTGACTTCTCTGAGTAGTTTTTTATGACCTGGGGGATCTGAGCAAATAGCCACGCAGTAATCGATAGATACCCTGCATAGGCAGATATAGGTTTGAAGAAATGGATGACCTGATTCCGCGACACGTCCAAAGGACATTCTCCCGTAATGATATACACCAGTCGGACAATCAGATCGAGCTGCTGGCAGAAGCCGTCTGGTGGAACACCTGACGGTGACTCAGATAAGGCTAATGGCCTTGTTGGAGTATATTCTATTCGGGACATGGGATTCCCTGTTTTTATTAATTGATAAAGTAGTGAATCATTCCAGGGTTGCCCTCTGTTTCACTGTTTTTCGATTATTTTTTTGTGCACTAATTTAGTTTCGCTGATAATCATAAAAATTAGATCCCCAAAAACAAAGCAGTCCTTTGATCCTACCGTTTATCTTGGCCTTTGTGACCCGCACTTTCACTGCAGGGCCAAACACTTCCATTGACATTCGGTGTAACTGGTCTAGGTCGGAGTTTCGCGGCAGGAAAAGCACTATCTTATCCGAGACTTGTAGGCAGCTTCTTAGAAGGTCGTCTAGCGGTAATGGTTCAAGCGCGCGCAAATCAAAAGTCTCCTGGTCGAGGTACTTTGGACCGCCCCACGGCGGAGATGCAAATATAATGTCCACTTTGAGACTCTTCACTATGCTTTGAGTTGCAGCGTATGCAACAGGATCCTCGGGATTATCATTGGGGAGGGCGTACTTCCAATCACAATTGAGCAGCTGCAAGCTTTTTCCGGCCTGGTCGAGTTGGTTTTGGTCGAAATAGACATGCACATTGTTAGCCGTACATGCAAGATTTACCTCGTTGTAGTCGACACAAACACACTTTTGATATACTCTGATGAATTGGATGGAGTTACCGCCGCCGCCACAAAACAGATCGAGCACAGTCTCGGTGTCTGGATAGCAATGTCTAATAAACTTTGCTGTGTATACGGCAAGATCCTGCGGAGTAACGCTGAACCACAGTTCTCTGGTCAGTTTGATACCGTCGTCAAACTTGCTGAATAGTGTGTAGCGCGATTTCCAGTATTTCAGAAGATCTTTGGGGATCTTTTCCCGTCTGTCGAGAATCTCAGTCTCCATAAAGAATATTTGAAAAAAATTCCCAAAAAAAATACTACAATCCGAATACATCTCCAATGAGCTCGGGATACGTCCGAGGGCCGCAGTGTGGGGTGGACAATTGCACTTCGAACCTGTGGAAACGAATCGACGGGCGAAATGTCTGTTTCTACGGACATGTGAGGGAAAACGACATTGAGATAGATGATGAGGAAGATCAGCTGGACAAACAAACAATGGGCACCTACTCGCGACGTCTGCGAAACGTCGCTGGCCTCACAAATACATCTGCAAAAGACCTTCGAAGCCAGCAGTTTCTGCAAGAGCAAAAGCGAGACTATGCACACGGTATGGAATTACGCAAGCTTCTTGTGCAATGTTTACAGATCATCCTCATGAGACAAACTGAGACCCTCGAGGACAAGCTCAAGCTTCCCCAAGGGTACCAGTCGGTGGTAAAGCGGTACTGGGCAATATACCTTCTTCACAAACACACCAAAAAAGACTCGAACGCCGTTTTGAGCCAGATGGCTGATTTTTCAAGCGTTCCCACTGTTTCTGACCTCTTGGTGTTTTGCTACCTTGGACTTGTTCGAATGAAACTCCCTGTCTATTTCAGCGACCTTTGGGGTTTGGCATGTAGCGGAGAGCTGCCTTATCTACGAGCAGAAAATGTGATTCCTTTGGATCTGCGGCTGCGTGTTCCAGTGCATGCGCTGAGAGTCTTCCACGGCGCTGCGGGAGATAGGGTCGACCATTTTGCGAAAATGAAACACACGATGCATAATCTTGGAATAAGTAGCGAATTTGCGCCCCCTATCAATTGGTATCCGTTGCTGACTAAGACCGTGTTGCAGCTACGGCTGCCTTTGGAAACAATTGAGGAGGTGTCGAATTTCATCGAGCTAGCTAAAATAGACATGGGTATGGACATGCGCGGCGCGCACCATCCGGAGCTGAAACTCTGGGCGCTTTTGATAGTGACGGCGTGTGGACATTTCAAAGCTAATGTAACAAAATACAAGGTCTGGAAACTGCTGCACGAGTCCAGGGCTGCAACCAAACACAATAAGATTGTGATGCAGAATCAGATAGTTAACAAGTCTGGTTTTCTGGATCTTGTCAGCTGGACTGACAAGCAAACAGCAGAATACCTCGACTTCTTCGAGACCAGCATACTGCCCATTATCTCGAAGGAAAACGTGGTGGACGACACCAACACCAAATATCACACGCAGAAGATGATGACCAGGAGACTCTTCAACATTTTTGACCTGCCGTCTCGCGCTGAAACGGAACAGGACCCTTTGACCCAATTGGTGACAGATTACCGAGCGTACGCCGAATCTTCAGGCGACCACGACTATAACGAGGCGGAGTTGATAGCCGTATTAAAAGCAGAAATGCGTGCGCATTGTGGGCTGCGGGCGCCCATTATTGATAGGCTGGTGGGTTGGGCCCTGAAGATGATGGGCGCCATATCAGCTTATCAATGACGCAAGTTCCGTTTTCGGAAACACGTTGCCGTTTGTTTTCTAAAAAAAGGCCTGCAGACCGAACACAACCGTGCATAACGTACGGCACTACATACTTAAATTTGAGCGGTAGCTGCATACAGAACAACGGATTTTAGTGCCGTCACGCCAAGACCCTATTATGTCACACTTGGAATTGGCTGGAATTAAGTAAAAAGATTTTCATCCCCGCTGCGAAAAAAGTAATCATCTAAACATCAACTCTAGTATGGGTAAGGAATACTCGACTGGATCTGGAGCACAGTCCCTTATCTCGGTCCACACCCGAGACTATGCTCTCGAGATGCAAAAGTCGCCCTTTGGCGCTGGCACAGAACCCTTAGCTCTCGAGGATGGCCATCAACTCAAGAAAGATCTCAAATCTCGTCATATTACCATGATTGCCATTGGAGGTGCCCTGGGTACGGGTTTGCTGATTGGTACCTCGTCGTCTCTGGCGAATGCCGGTCCTGGTAGTGTTTTGATCTCTTACTCGCTGGTGGGCTTGGTTGTTTATTTCGTCATGTGCGCACTTGGAGAAATGGCAAGTTTCATTCCTCTTCCGGAGGGTTTTGCTGGTTACGCCAAGAGATACTGTGACGAAGCCCTTGGCTTTGCCGTTGGTATCTCTTACTTGTGCAAATACCTGATCGTCTCGCCAAACCAAATGGTGGCAGGCTCGCTGGTTATGCAGTATTGGGTGTCTGCCGATCGCGTCAACCCCGGTGTCTGGGTTGCCATTCTATTGGTGGTGGTGGTTTCCATCAACTACTTTGGCGTGAAGTTTTTTGGTGAGTTCGAGTTCTGGCTCTCATCGCTCAAAGTCCTCACCGTTCTTGGTCTCATTCTATTGCTACTTTGCATCATGTTGGGAGGTTCTCCAACTCACGACAGAATTGGTTTCAGATACTGGCACAATCCCGGCTCGTTCGCACCATATAGTGGTGTGGAAGACGAAGGAACATCAAAATTCGTCGCTTTTTGGTCTGTTCTGGTGACGGCAGTCTTTGCCTACCTCGGTACCGAGCTGGTCGGTATCACATTCGGTGAGGCCAGAAACCCAAGATATACCATCAAGAAGGCCATCAGGCTCACATTCTACCGTATCATCATCTTTTACGTTCTGTCTGTGTTCCTGCTTGGCTGTTGCGTGGCCTACAACGATCCACAGCTAATGACGGCCAAAAAAGCTTCGACCTCGGCAAGTGCTTCGCCTTTCGTGGTTGCCATCAGAAATGCTGACATTAGCGGATTGCCTCATCTGATCAATGCCTGTGTTCTTATTTTCATTTTCTCGGCCACGAACTCAGACCTCTATATTGCAACCAGAAACGTCTACGCGCTCTCCGCCAACGGAATGTTCCCAGAGATTTTCTCTAGAACGAACAAGCGCGGTGTCCCTGTTTACGCTTTGATCTTTGCCAGCTTGTTTTGTCTGCTGGCCTTCATGGTGTGTTCGTCATCTTCCTCGAAGATCTTCAACTACTTCGTCAACGTGGTTTCTATCTTTGGTCTGATCACGTGGATCTCCATCCTGGTCACCTACATCTACTTCTGCAGAGCTGTCAAGGCGCAGGGTTACGACAGAAAGAAATTCATCTACTATGCTCCATTGCAACCATACGGAACATGGTTCTCTCTGTTCTTCTGCTGCTTGATTTCGATCACCAAATCGTTCACTGTGTTCATCGGTGGCTTTGACTACAAGACATTCATCACCTCATACATTGGTATTCCGGTTTTCCTGATTGCTCTTTTCGGTTACAAGATCATTAAAAAGACCAAGACGGTTAAGCCGGAAGAGGCGGACCTGGTCACATACAAAGATGTCATTGATCTAGAAACAGAAGAATTTGAGAGACTCGAGGAAGAACGCAAGTTGGCCAGGGGTGGCAAGAAGGACTTGAGCTGGTTCTACGATCACACAATTGGTTACGTCTTCTAATTACTCAGGTATTCGCTTATGTAATTAATACCCCAGGGTCACAAATTCGGAATCCGTAGATGAAAAAAAAAAGTAGTCATTCAGTATATCGTCAATTATGCAGTCTTTCAGACATTCGGTCGCCTCGATCCGGAGTTTCTCAACAACGTCCAGGGCTCTGGGCAAAATCAAGGTCAAGGCTCCAATAGTGGAGCTGGACGGTGATGAAATGACCAGAATCATCTGGGACATCATCAAGAAAAAACTGATTTTGCCCTACCTCGATGTCGACCTCAAGTACTACGACTTGGGAATTCTGTCCAGAGATAAAACGAACGACCAGATCACTATCGACGCTGCCAATGCCATCAAGCAGTACGGAGTTGGTGTTAAGTGCGCCACTATCACTCCTGACGAGGCTCGTGTCAAGGAATTCGGACTCAAGAAGATGTGGGTCTCGCCAAACGGAACCATTAGAAACATTTTGGGAGGAACTGTTTTCAGGGAGCCAATTGTGATTGGTGGGCAAGACGGAGGCATTGAAATCCCACGCCTGGTTCCTGGTTGGCAACAGCCAATCATTATTGGTAGACATGCTCACGGTGACCAGTACAAAGCAACCGACTTGGTTATTCCTGGAGCCGGCTCCTTGGAGCTTGTCTACACGCCTAAGGACGGTGGAGAGGTCCAGAAGTTTAAGGTGTTTGACTACAAGAGCTCAGGTGTCGGTCTTGCAATGTACAATACGGATGAGAGCATCCGAGGTTTCGCTCATTCCTCTTTCAAGATGGCATTGAATAGAGGTCTCCCTCTGTACATGTCTACGAAAAACACAATTCTGAAGAAATACGATGGCAGGTTCAAAGATATCTTCCAGGAGATTTATGAGACCACGTATAAAAAAGACTTTGAATCAAAGGGTATTTGGTATGAGCACAGACTTATCGATGACATGGTTGCCCAGATGATCAAATCGAAGGGCGGATTCGTTTTGGCTTTGAAGAACTATGATGGTGACGTTCAGTCTGACATTGTCGCTCAAGGATTTGGCTCTCTCGGTCTGATGACGTCCGTCTTGATGACTCCGGACGGAAAGGCTTTCGAGTCTGAAGCTGCTCATGGTACTGTTACTAGACACTTCAGACAGCATCAACAAGGTAAAGAGACCTCCACCAACTCAATTGCTTCCATTTTCGCATGGACAAGAGGTATTGCTCAGAGAGGCAGATTGGACGGCACTCCGGAAGTCGTGACTTTTGCAGAGACTTTGGAAAAGGCTGTGATCGACACCGTTTCTCAAGACCAAATCATGACTAAGGACCTGGCTTTGCTGATTAACAAGAAAGACTATGTTTCCACCACTGGTTTCTTGGACGCTGTTGAGTCGAGACTCAAGAAAGCGCTTCCTTAAATATTCCGTATATCTCCACACGTTTTTATAAGCAGTTGAATTGCTAATAAATGTGACTCACTTCTCAGATTTCACGTCAGTATCGTCATCTTCGAGATATTGCCATAAAAACTTGAGTCCGTAAAATGTTCCCAGACTGACAGCACCGACTTTCAAAAGAGGCACCGCAAGAACCTTGTAGAAGTAGCTGTGTGGATTGAGGTTGGGTTGGTTCCCTTGGTTACGTCTAAGCAAACTGCTGCTGAAGCATCTGCGCATCGTGTGGAAAAACATTAATTAAAAAAAATAACTTTTTCATCCTCTGTTTTCACCATTTTCTGAACTGCTCCCAGAATCCAGAGCCATCATACTTTCATCGAGATCTCGCTCAATCGCAGGAGATGATTCTCTCATCTTCTTGAATTCAGGAGAGTTAAGGAGCGGAATTGTTGTCAAGCCAAATTGAAACTTCCCATCAGACCCGAGGCCTGGTCCCATACTAGACTGCACTGGAGAAAGGCCCCCTGATCGGTGGTTATCTGAAGGCAGAAGTGGTTTGGATGTCAACTTAGTATCTGTGGAGGGTATATCTTGGAGTTTCTTAAGATTGGCTGGCTCGTTGAGCTTAGGGGATTCCCTGAGAGGAGACGACGCAAATTTTCTGGGAGCTGTGCCTTCGCTCATGCTCACATCCGAATCTTCAGTATTTGGAACCTCCCAGCGTACTTTTTTGGCTTGTTTCACTGTGGTATCAGAGAACGACCTGTTTTGTAGGGACTTTGCGTTGATGTCGAGTCTATTTAGTTTTGCAAAGCCTTTGGTCAATGGTGAAGACGACAAGCGTTTTGCTTGCTTCACGGGCGTTGTGGCCAGTTCCAAAAACTCTGGTTTCCTTTGCTTCTCGGAAATTGTAGAGACTGTTGTAGTGTCTAGGTTGACGTAGCCCCCGTCTTCTAGAAGACGGGAAATAGCTACTTTAAATTCCATCACCATTTCCCTCAATGACGTTGAAACATTTACCAACGCATCTTCATTATCCGATGATATATCCAACAGGATCGCTGTTGCTCTCTGCAGTGTCTCGAAGACGAAGTTGAAAGAGTTGAAATTTTTGATGGATCGATCAAACACAATTGAGGAGTCAAAAAGAATAGCTTTTTCGACAAAATCTTTGAGATGCAGCACGTGTGATTCATAGAGTTTCGTGTCTTCGTCTGACCATGTGTCTAATTCTGTGAGAGCGCGGAGAAGAGAGGCGGAAGAGTCCTTGATGATAAAATCAAGCTCATTGGGCTTGCTATATTGGGTCTCCAGTTCTTTTACTCTTTGTTCCAATCTTTCTGACAGGTCCTCACAAAGATACATTAGCTCACTAAATCCTGGGACGAACATGTCAATATCAGCCAGGTCTTCCTTGGGACCGAATCGATTTTCGAATGAGACCAGTAATCGTTGGATCTGATGTCTTTGAAGAAGTAGAAACTTGCGCTCTGCAAGTATGTATGCTTTTTGAAGCCTTGCCTGCTGATTTCGTTGTAAAGATCGTTGAAGCTCGCTCATTGCTTCCCGCAATTTTTGCAGACATCTTTGTCTGTTTCTGGTGTATTTTTCAATACTGATTTTAATCATCTTGTCCTCCCTGCTGCGTAGCTCCTCTATTTCACGTTTCTGTTCAGTGATCATCTTGAGATAGGAACCCACATGACGACTGAGATTATGCTGATTTCGGGTGAGCTTTGTACGAATTTCTTTAGCACGATCGGCGTATTTCAACGTGTTAAGTGTTTCGTCATAGTGACGTGATGATGGAGACACGCATACAATCATGAAAGTTTTGCAATTCCCGCCCAAAGAAAATTTCAGTAGCCTCGTCAACTTGGAATCTCTGTAAGGAACATGGTTGTGTTTTCGAGGGTCGCATAAAGCATTAATACAGTTTCCCAAAGCAAGAAGTGACTTGTTAATATTTGCTCCCTCGTGAAGCCTTGCCCCTTTGTTTCTAGTGGCCGACGCGCGCTCACTTCCTGCCAGGTCGATAAATGATAGGGTTGCGTAGGTGTGCTCCTCGTTGAGATCCGCTGTTCGAGGCTTCCGTAGCACATTGATCTGAAGTATAGCATGCGATCGCGAAGAAGTAGAGTTCGCTTCTGTTGGGGAAACTGTGCGGTTCTTGTTCCCTATGATGATCAAATCCATGACTTCGTCCACAGAGTTCGGAGTATGTGTAGATAAATTAGCTACTGTTATGCGCTTATTTTCGTCCTCTCGCAATATCAATGACCTAGGATCTGTGCTGGGATTAAGCAAGTCCCTGATCGTTTCATTGTAAATTTCAAGATAGCTGAGAGTTATCTCTGCTCTTTGCGTGTCTTCCATCTCGTTTATTCTGTTGAATAAGTCTTGCATGGCTAAAAATATGATACCTGGGTTTTCCGGCGTACCTGATATCGTGAAAGTTTTACCACATCCAGTGGCTCCATATGCAAAAATAGTGGCATTGAACCCGTCAAGAACGGAGTCAAGCAATGGTTTTGTCGAAAACTCGTACACTTCCATTTGTGTTGTATCCTCGTCAAATAGTTTGTCAAACACAAATCGATGTTCTCTAATTCTCGAACTGTGCTTGCCGATGCTGTTTGTATGCCTCTTATCTCCATTGTTTAATGTGTTCGAGAACACGTTCTGCTCAATTTGGACCAGAGGATTTGTATCACTTGGGTCGAATATTAGCATTCGATCGTCCACAGCGTTCAGAATTTTGCGAATTCCATTATGGAGTAGCAGCCTGTTGCTCGTATTCTGTGGCACACCATACCCATAAAGTGTGTTTTCAGGGTTGTCGGGCTCGGATCTTAGTAGTTTAGACGATTCCACAGATGTAAACGGCCGGATCCTCACAGCAACAGTGATCGACGACTCTCTGGACATAAACAAAAATACAGTGCGGTCAATTTGCTGTGAAGACTATCTTGATCGTACCAAAGAAAGGTGCGCTTGTGCTGGTGTCGCGGTAAAATATATCTATCAACAAGCCCTTTTGATCCAATATTTATGTAAACAAAAAAAATACAATACAGTCGACGCGTCGTTGCGAGGACTAATTTTTATTGAAGTGGAGCATATAAAATCTGCGTGACATACTTTCTCTTGTACCTCACTATACTTGCCACAGCTAATGTGTTGTGTTTGATGGACGTTGTGGCCAGGTGGTTCAACACCACATGATTTGGAATGCTCAGAGCACCGGAGGTATTGTCTTTATCCGTGTGATTGTAGCTGTTGAGAATGACACTTTCTAGATGTGGTGGTAGCTGAGGAGGAATGAGCCATTGCTGGCTCTGGTTACCTTGTCGTTGATTATTATCGAGTGTAACGTAGTAATCCTCCATCACCTTCGGGTCCGTAAAAATTGGAGGAATCGAATCGATGTATTCCGCAGGAGCGCTATCAGGAAGCTCTTCGTCGTCGTGGTATCTGGTGTAGCCATCTCCCATGTCGTCGTCATCTCTTGTGAGTCCTAGCTTCGAATCCAGCGTCCTCAAGTATGATTTGGACCGGCTTCCTTGTGTGATGGCATTCAAACTGGTATAGTCATCATGCTCGGACGGAATCACTTCTAAATAATTAACAAAGTGTCCGGAGGTGTCTGTTGCTGTAGGAATGAAGTTAGAGAATCGCACTTCGTTATCCACCACGAACTTAAATCTGTGTGTTCCCGGAGGTAGTGCAATTTGTACACTAAAACTACCATCCTTCTTAGAAGGACCATTCAAAGCAATCATTTTTCGCCATCCGGTGAACGTTCCCATAACAAACACCTTAGAACCTCCTTCCGTCCATTTGAACACCGTTGGCACCAATATGGGTTGAGCTGTCTGCTGTTGAGATTGAGATTGTTGCCCTTGTGGGTGCTCGCCGATCGGAGAATGCCCTATGTCGTTTTCGCTGTCAATTACCATATCATCATCCTTGTGCATCCTGCTTCCTGTCTTGTGTTTGTCGTAGTCCATGTCATCCGTAAGTATGAGTGTGGACTTGCGTCTTGTAGGTACTGAGCTATCGGTAGTATTTGTCGCTGACTCCGACTGCCCACCTTCCTCGCTGGATCCCGTCTGTCTCTGAAGGTCAACCATGGAGACATCTTTGAGATTCGACGCCAGCTCATCGTAAACAGATGACGAGTTTATCGACGAGTTATTCGAATTGTGGGACATATTAGACATCACGGATGTGTGGTCCAGTGGTGGAGTGCTCGTCACTTGGCGTATGTCAGGTCAAAAGAGGGCGCTGGCGGATAGAACTAACTCCAGCAGCGAAACTCAATTTAATCGAAAAGTAAACTCTCGTTTGTTTTTTTGCTGTCACGACGTTGGGTGCCAGTAATAATAGATACGGGTAAATTTCATAGGGAAATGTATAATTTTATTTATATTTTAGCTGCTAAAAGCAATTATGGCCGCTTCACCCCTTGGATCTGAAACCATAGACGACAAGATAGAGTCGGCAAAGGAATCAATTCTGGCTGACCTGGCCACTAGAACTACCAACAAGAGCCTTTTGTCTCCGAAGGTGCTTATTATATGTGGATCAGGCTTGGGAGGCATATCGGAAATTTTGAAAGGTGAGACGGTCTCCATCCCCTTCCACACAATTCCAAACTTCAAGACGTCGACCGTTGAGGGTCATGTGGGGAAACTATTGTTTGGCGAAATTGGCACCAACAGGGTTCCTGTGATGTGTATGGTGGGGAGATTGCATTTCTATGAAGGCTATTCGTTTGAAGAGGCAACGTTCCCCGTGAGGGTGGCAGCAAGCATGGGAGTGACTACGTTAGTAGTCACTAATGCTGCCGGAGGCATCAATCCCAACTATAAACCGGGCGATTTGATGGTTATCAGTGATCACTTGAATATCCCTGGTATGGCTGGCTTCCATCCTCTCAGAGGTCCCAATCTAGACAAGTATGGACCTCGATTCTTGCCCCTGTCTGATGCTTATGATTTTGATCTCAGGTTGGAATTTTTGAGATTAGCAAAACAGGTTCTTAGACTCAAAAGAACCATACATGAAGGTACCTACTGTTACGTGGCTGGACCAACATACGAAACTAGGGCTGAGGTGAGACTGATTAGAAAGTGGGGTGGCGACTCGGTTGGGATGAGCACTGTTCCAGAAGTAATCATTGCAAGACATTGTGGAGTCAAGGTTTTCGGTCTGAGCTTGATCACCAACGCAGGTTTGGGAGAGCCTCCGATTAGCGCATTGGAATGTTTGCAGAATGGATTGAAGAAGGAAGATGTTTTGGATCAAACAGAAGGAATGGCTAGTCACGAAGAGGTTTTGGAAAACGCCAACAGTGCCTCAAAGGATGTCAACATATTGGTTGAAGCATTTATAAACACTATCATTTGATAATCGTCAATGCATTATAGTATACAAGATAATCAATGCTCAATGTGCATTTTTGCCAATGGCCACTGCGGCGGCCGCTGCTGCGCTCGACTTATCTGATAATTCCATTTGTTTGATACCGCTGCTAGCAGAGCTGACTGTCCCATTTTGCAAGGAGCTTCTTCTCACTGATTTAGATGCAGACGCTGGCCTGCTTGATCTCTTGGGAACACTGTTTGTCGTGACTCTCGCTGCAGAGTCAGTGCCTGTTTCCTTACTTTGCCGCAAAAGTTCACGGGCTTTCAAAAGCGAATCAATCCACGAAACCGATTCATTAACTTTGAAGCCCACTCTTACATTTGAGTTGATTCCCCCTCTTACCAGTGTTTTTGAATCATAGGCACTCAGAAAAATGAGCTTGTTCATATTCATCAATTCCAAAATAAGGTATCCTTCTTTCAATTCTTCGTCAAATTCGTAGTCATACATTGACACGTTACGGTTGGTCAGTTTTACCTCAACTATTTTCGAGTAAAAATCCATTGCCTGCAATTGTGTCGACGATTGAGGGTTCTGCAATTTGAAGTCCGAATTGATTTCATATATGAGTAACCGGGCCATCGATGTGATAATGAGAATGCAACTTTTGAGGTCTCGGTTCAGGCTTTGATAATTTTCCGTAATAACCTTGTTCAAGATGTTGTCATCTAAAGTATGGCCTTGTGGAACAAACTGATTTGGCTTATGCGTCAGCTCAGATTTGAGAATGTTGTCAAGCTTGAGGATGTATTCATTGGCCATCAGCTTGTTCGTGATGCTCTTGGGAATCTGTTTATCCAGTAAAATAGGATTGATCATTTGTTGTTGTTGGTGTTGTTGATATTGAGAGCTCGACAAGTTTTGAGGAGCTTGCAACGCCCTCTTATGTGACATCATATTTCCTATTGCACCCGCTGCACTTACTGCTTGCGAGCTGGGTTGCGGAATCCCTAGAAGCTCGTTAATGGAAGGAGCGCGCATAATTGGCTTCCTATCCGGTCGGTCGCTTCGTTTAGGAAGTACCGAACTCAAGGAGCTTTTCGAAAGGGAGTCCGAAGAAACGCGCCTGTCTGATGTTTGGAAAGAAGAATTTGAAGGATGCGACTCCGCGTTTGTCGACAGGGGAGGTGTGTTGATGGAAGAAGTCATTGCTTGACTGTGTCTAGGACCGACCATACGCAAAGTGGTTCTTAGGGATGTTTCCGATGGAGAAGGAGATTCGGAAGCTGGAGGGGTGATTGAAGAACCATCACCATTGACGAATTGTAAGCTGTTTCTTCTTTCAACTATGTCGTTCTTGTTTCGAAGTTCACTGGATATTGGTGACTTTCTGACGATTGGGGTGTTGGCTGCGACGGGGGGAAACTGATTTGCTAGCACCCGATTTTTGACTTCCGGATCCTTTTCGGCAAGTCTGTGAGACAAAACTTTGTTCATCAACTGCGGATTATTTTGTGCGTTCATTATCTGTCGTTTGAGAGCATTTTGAGGCACAGAAGGTGTTTTGCTAGATATTTTACCATCAGAAGGACCATATAAGTTTGAACTAGAGTTTGATGGAGAAACCTGTCTCGATTGAAGCAAATTATGCAAACGCGGATTATAGGCTTCCAGTTTTGGGACTTTGGTTCTCCAGATGAAATCTTTGTTGTTCCAATCTATGTTTTCCAACCAGGGTTGCCTTTTGAGATCTTCAATGTTGCACCTCTTTTCTGGCTCAACTACCAGTAAACTTCTGATCACTTGCTCAACTTGCGGTGGAACAAAGTAGTTCTTGGGGAAGCTGTAGTCTAGAGAGATGATTTTCTCGAACGTCAAATATTCTGTTTGACCTTTGAATGGAGGTCTTCCGACAATGAATTGATAGAGAATGCAGCCCAAGGCCCATAGATCACATTCGAACCCGCAAATGTTGTACTTTAGTAGCTCAGGGGAAACGTACTCTGCCGTTCCTACAAACGACCCGTTGCTTGTTTGGTTGCTCATTTCCCGCCCAGCTTCGTCTATAGGCTGCATGGAACGGCCATTGGCCATCTCTTCCTGAGACAAGATCTTGGCCGCCCCAAAATCTGTAATCATCAGTTTCCATTCGTGGTTAAGCAAAACGTTTTCCGGCTTCAGGTCTCTATGAATGATTCCCTTTGAATGTATGAACTCAACAGCATCAATCAATTGCACAAAATAGTATTTGCTCAGGGTTTCGCTAAGAGATCCCATTTTGCGAATCAGTGACAACAGCTCGCCGTTTTTGGCAAAGTCAATAACAAAATAAAGCGATTTTTCGTCCTGGAAAGTATAATATAAGGTCACTATCCCGGGATGTTTGCCCAATATGTTGAGTGTGTCCTTCTCTATGTTCACATACTTGCGTTTGTTCTCTCTATGTATATGTGACTTCGAAAGGATTTTGATTGCATAGGTTCGGTGGTTGTGTATAGAAACACCCCTATACACCTTAGAGTAGGAACCTTCTCCAATACATTCACCGAACTGGAAATCTATAGCAGATCTCTTTCTAGCCATGGTGACTTTCTGGAGAAGCTGAGAAGTTCAAGTTGCAGGGAAAAGATTGGATCTCGGAATTGTGGACGATTCCAATCCAACTTCTATTCTTATACAGCCTTGTCTAAAACAATAAGGTGTGTTTTCACTCCGATTTTTTGTTAGCTATTGACACATTATTAATTATGGCAGCGTCGACCGACTTTTATAATCCGGCCAACAGACGAGTCACGTCGTCCATGCCGTCGTGTTTCTGGTCATCTAGCCTCTGTTTCACGACCTCGACCAGATCTCCGATGCTCACTAGCTCTCCATCATCTTTTTCGTTACCAGTACCCAGCACCTTAACTCTGACCTGGCCCTGAGGATACTCTTCCCTCCCCAGGATCACAGCAAGTGGACATCCCGACTTCTCAGCAGCCTCGAACTGCTTACGTGGATTGGCCTTGGCTTTGTACAAGTATTCACACTCAATTCCCGCCTTCCAGAGTTTGGCAGCAATAGCCATTCTTTCCTTCAAAAATCCGTTCCATCCTTCACCACCACCAAAGGCCATCACATACACCTGGGTCGAGGATGCTCTAATCTTGTCTGCCAGTTCTGCCCTCTGCTTGATGAGCGAAAACAGCCTTTCCACACCAAACGAGACACCAACACAAGGGATGGATGGAGCTTTTTTTCCCTTGGAGTTTGTTCCTAGGAACATTCCAACTAGACCATCGTAACGGCCACCAGCAGCAATAGACCCGACGCCAACATACTCTGAAGCATCCTCGTCGTCCTTCTTGGATTTTTTCGCCCGGGCCTTCTTCTCGGCAGCGTCCTTAGGAGGCGCACTCTGAGACGTCACGGCCTCGTATATCACACCTGTGTAGTAGTCCAAACCGCGGGCCAGAGACATGTCAAAAGAGATGTAATGGTCAACCTCAAAGGCTTCGACATAGTCTGCCATAGTGGTAATCTCGTCAATACCCTGTTTTGCGGACTCGTTGGCCATCAAAGTTGGATCGCTGGATAATCTGGCCAGAACGTCTCTGAGCGTGCCATTGATCTTCACATACTCTCCGATTCTGTCAGCGACATCCTCCGGCTGGTTCTTTTCTTCACACATCTCCTTTTTAACCGTATCCCAGGGAGACTTGTCCAGTTTGTCCACCGCAGAAGAGACTTTACGCACGTCTTCTTCTTTTACTCCACAGACCTGGAAAATACCGTCCAAGATCTTTCTGTGGTTCAGTTTGATTTTGAAATCTCTGATGCCGAGTCCAGTAAGACCAGAAACAAGAATATTCATTATCTCTGCGTCTGGAACCATAGAATCGTAGCTTCCCGCAATGTCGAAGTCACATTGGTAGAACTCTCTCATTCTTCCCTTCGTCATAGCCGGCTGGTCTCTTCTGTAAACCTTGGCAATGTGGTACCTCTTGATATTTGATATTCCATTCATGGCAACGTATCTGGCAAAGGGAACAGTCAAGTCGTACCTCAAGGACGTCAGTTCACCTCCTTGGTCCTCCAGATTGTAGATCAACTTTGAGTCTTCCCCGTACTTACCAGCCAGAATTTCTCTGAGCTCAAAGACAGGCGTGTCAATAGTCACGCCGCCATGCGATTTAAAAAGAGATGTGAGCTTGTTGAAAATGGCTTCTCTGATAATCATATCCTTATCTGCCCAGTCTTTGGTACCTTTGGGGGTCTTTAAGTTGAACTGCAAAGACTCTTTGACTTTTTTACCAGCCACTCCAGCAGTTGCAGTGGCTTGAGACGATGGTGCACTGGTGGAAATGCTCTGCGACATTGCTCGACAAAATATATTATATCTTTTGATCGAGGAACAAATGAACATAGAGACGAGCTACGGTCAAGATTTTTCATCATTGGGTTTGTGTGGCGCACGACACTTTATGACCTAATGTTTGTTGTAGGAGTATACTGCGTTTCATAGTGAATGCAGCAGAGTGTCGATGGCTGCCATAGGTCGGTCGAAATTAGACCTTTACTGATATATCCACTTTCGCTTTGAGGAACAGGCCTCTCACTCAATGTCCCGTATATTAATTATCTGTTTTTATTAATTGCAGGTTATTGTACACTATTTAAATTTCTCTACTATATAGTCCTCTCCATTCTCCTGGTATTCTTCCTTGCTGATGAACAGGTTGCCGAAATCACCCACGGATGAGCTCGTAAGCACGTTGGCTCCAACCCAGGAGTCGAACTGTCTTTCAACAGTGTCAGGAGAAAGGTAGGTAATGATTGTGTAGTCTGAAATCAGTCTAGCTAGGTCTTGGGCAATTCTGTGTTCAAGGTTTGGAATTCCGGAAAGCGAGCCGGTGAAAACGATGTTTTTCAGGAGCTCCATATACAGAGTAGCTGGGGCTTCGAGGCTTTTCATGGACTTCAAGATCAAGCTAGAGATCCCTTCTGCATCTTGCGCGACCTTGAGGTGAGGCAGTTTCTTCGAGTATTCGGCAGGGTTGAACAATGGCTCAGCCAGCTTATACTGTTCAATGCCTATGTCTTTGATCAGACGTCTATTTGGGAGCTCGTAGTTTCTAAATTCAATCTGGGAGTGAGACTCATATTGTGGATAATTGGTCTGTGGAGGGAGATCTTGTTGGTCAGGCGACAGTGGATACAAGGAAGCGTGCAGCAGCACATTTTTGAATTCGGCTAGAGAAGTCGATATTTGGTATGTTTTGAAAGAGTCACTCATTGGGACCGATTGGAATGGTTTGGGAATGAGGAATGAGTCCACTGGCTCGTTGGGGAATTTGGATTGTATGAACTCCAAAGCAAATGGGCTGAGGAAGTCGCCACCAAATTTGGTGAATTGGATGCCTTTTGTGAGCACAGATCCATTGCTGATGGGGGTGACACTGACGATATCGTCATCGATATCCACGACAATGGAGGAGAAAGGCTTGGAGACAGAAAATGCGGTACAAAGCTGTCTTTTGAGAATGGAGAAAATGGGCACCTCTAGCTCTTCAAAAGCAACCTGACATGCCTTAACTTTATTTTTCTTGGTGTTCCAAGCGTTCTCGGTCACCACCAGGGGAATTTCGTTCGACTTGACTTTCAGATCGGAGTACAACTGCGCCCAGTGTTGCGACATGGCATCCCAGTTGTAGACTATGCCCTCGCTATATATTGTGTAGATATTATTTTGCGGATACAAGTCTATGTCGTCGCCAAAGATGTAGTCGCCCTTATCGACAGATTCCCGCGAGTACACCGTGGGCATCACCACTGACGGGATATCAAAGGTCGACAGGCCTGCTTTGGTGTACGACGAGTTCGAGTCGACAATTAAGGAGGGAAAGTCGAAGTCCATAGTGTTGTTAAAAAAGTAAATAAAATTTCGCGAGAAAATAAAGTTGAATTAATCCAGCCTTACCATGTCTCAGCAGGACTACGAACGGCTGAAAAAGAAGCTGAAAGACGCACTTAACCGCAAGAAGGAGATCGATCGAGAGGTTGCGAAGCTGGAAGAAGACATCTTCAACAAAGAGACCGCATATCTATCGGAAGGAGCGCAACACGGGAATATCATCAAAGGATTCGAGAACTTCACGAAGTCCACCACATCGACATCGTCTTCGCGAGGGAAGAAGATACAGTTCACAGACGAAGACCGTATATTTTCTCTCAGTTCTGCTACCTACGTTCGCCACCTAAAAAAGATCAACAGCGGCCAGATGCAAGGGAGCCTGAACCCATTGCTGGCCCAGTACGACGAAGACGATGATGAGAGCGAGGAGTCCACACCTCGCAAGAGACGAACCTAAAAACCGGCTATTTGATACTTTGCTGTTCAGATACACCGCTTGTGGACGACCGTCGCTTTTCCCGTGTAGAATATTTAAAAATAGCGTCGATAAAATTTTATCTGCTAATGCATTTGACACCAGAAGAGATCGCCAGGTTGCAGGCCCAGACCGGCAACATTCGCAACATTTGCATTCTCGCACATGTCGATCACGGCAAGACTACGTTGTCGGATTCCTTGCTTGCATCCAATGGTATCATTTCTCAGAGAATGGCAGGCAAAGTGCGGTATCTTGATTCCCGACCAGACGAGCAACTCCGGGGAATCACGATGGAGTCTTCGGCCATTTCTTTGTATTTCAAGACCATCTCGAGGGCCCAGGAAACTTCCATTGTCAATGAGTACCTAATCAACCTGATCGATTCTCCTGGCCACATCGACTTCTCTTCGGAAGTCAGTACCGCCTCCAGACTGTGTGATGGCGCCGTTGTTCTAGTAGACGTGGTGGAAGGTGTGTGCTCGCAGACAGTCACGGTGCTGCGCCAGGCCTGGGTTGACAAGCTCAAGCCGATCCTCGTTCTGAACAAAATAGACAGACTGATCACAGAGTTGCAAATGACGTCTGTCGAGGCCTATTTGCATCTATCCAAATTAATCGAGCAGGTTAATTCGGTCATTGGATCATTTTTTGCGGGAGAGAGAATGCAAGATGATATGCTGTGGAGAGAAAAGGTCGAGAGAGGCGAGGTGGAGGAATACGTCGAGAAGGACGACGAGGACATCTATTTTTCTCCCGAAAAGAACAACGTTATATTTGGTTCTGCCATCGATGGCTGGGGCTTCAATATTGCTCAGTTTGCTGTGATTTACGAAAAGAAGTTGGGTATCAAAAGAGACTTGCTCCAGAAATGTCTTTGGGGGGACTTCTACTTCGACCCGAAGACTAAAAAAGTGATACCAGCAAAGGCATTGAAAGGCAGAACTCTGAAGCCGCTTTTTGTGAGTTTTGTGCTGGACAGCATTTGGCACATCTACGATACCATTTTGCTGCACAAGGACACAGAGAAACTCGAGAAGATTGTGAAATCTCTCGGAATAAAGGTGCTTCCAAGAGACCTTAGATCAAAAGATACAAAGCAACTGATAAACACCGTTATGAGCCAGTGGCTTCCTGTTTCGAACGCCGTGCTGCTCACTGTTGTGGACAAGCTGCCATCTCCGTTGCAGTCACAGAAAGAGCGGATTCCTCATATTCTAGACCCTACTCCGAGCTCTAACATGATCGACGCGCGATTGAGAAAAGATATGGTTGAATGCAACAGCAAGGGTATTGTCAGCTGCTATGTCTCCAAGATGTTATCTATTCCCGAAGATGAACTGCCACAGAATCAGAAACAAGCGATTGGTGAAGAAGACCGGCTCGAGCTCGGCCGCAGAGCCCGTCTGGCCGCTCTGAAAGCCGCAGAGGAGGCCAAAAAGCTCGAACAATCTTCCGAGGATGATAACTTTGGTGTGGTCAAGGATTCAGGAGAGGTGGAATGGGAGTTCGAGCAGGAGGAAGAAGGAGAAGAGGAAACGGAAGTGAAAAAAGAGGCTGTTATCGGGTTTGCCAGAATTTACAGCGGCACACTCTCTGTTGGACAAGAGCTGACTGTGTTGGAGCCTAAATTTGACCCACTGAACCCAGAGGAGCACACCAGCCACGTGACTATTACTCATCTGTACCTGCTGATGGGTCGGGAGCTCATCTCGTTGGAAGAAGCTCCAGCAGGAAGTATCGTTGGTATTGGTGGTTTGGAGGGCAAGGTGCTTAAAAGCGGCACTCTCATTTCCCCGGGCGTGATTGGCGTCAATCTGGCAGGCATCAATTTGAACAACCCGCCAATTGTGAAGGTTGCAGTGGAGCCTGTCAATCCGGTCCATATGGATCGTTTAGCGCGCGGACTGGAGCTTTTGAACCAAGCCGATCCTTGCGTGCAGACTTATTTGGAGGACACCGGGGAGCATATTTTGGCAACGGCAGGTGAGTTGCACCTCGAGAGATGCTTGAGGGATCTCCGTGAGCGGTTTGCTGGTATCGAAATTACGTCCTCCAAGCCGATGATTCCGTTCAGAGAGACAATACTGGCTCACGTCGACATGAACCCGCCAAAGGGTGAACTGGGCAGGGGTGTGGTCGAGATCAAGCTGGATAAGTACCATATTCTGCTTGAGACAAGGCCGCTTCCGGAGAAAGCTACCAGTTTTTTACTGGAAAATAAGGCTTCTATTGCAAAGCTTGTCCGTCGGCATATCAGAGGAGAAGATGAAGAGGAGACCATTGTGGGTAGCGTGCTCAGCAAAAAAGAGTTCTCCGAGAGACTGAAGGAGGCACTGGAGTCCGGTAACAAATCCAAGATGAAAGACAATATCGACTGGAAAGATACCCATCTGCGCGTTGTTTCATTTGCCCCAAAGCAAGTGGGCCCGAACATCCTGTTTGATACGCCAGACAACCGTCTTCGCCGTTTGCTTGGTACCGACTCCAGATCTGAAAAGTTTGAGTATGAGGACAGTCTGTTGAATGGATTCCAGATTGCATGCTTTGAGGGCCCGTTGACAGCAGAGCCTACTCAGGGCATTGCTCTCTTTGTCAAGAGCATTCAGAAGCTTGACGAGCCTGTTCCTGTGAATAACGTGGCTGGCCGTTTACTCGGTGCCACAAAAGACGCTGTGCACAAAGGGTTCTTGGACTGGTCGCCGAGATTGATGCTGGCAATGTATTCCTGTGATATCCAGGCCTCTGCAGAAGTGCTGGGTAAGGTGTACGCTGTGATTCAGCGTCGTCGCGGAACTATCATTAGTGAGGAAATGAAAGAGGGCACTCCGTTCTTTACAGTCAGTGCTCGTATTCCGGTGATTGAGGCGTTTGGATTCAGCGAAGACATCCGCAAGAAAACGTCTGGAGCAGCCTCTCCACAACTGGTCTTCACTGGCTTCCAAATTATCGACGAGGATCCGTTTTGGATCCCGACTACGGAGGAAGAACTGGAGGAGCTCGGTGAGTATGCGGAGCGTGAGAATATTGCAAGACGGTACATGAATGAGGTTCGTCGCAAGAAGGGCTTATTTGTTGACGAAAAGGTGATTCAGAACGCTGAAAAGCAGCGTACACTGAAGAAAGACTAATTACGTGCGCGGCACAAAAATGTGTAAAGAACGAAGATAGTATATTAGCGACTTTTATATTCTATAGACAGTATGGGGTTGTTTAGCAAAGAAAAGTCACCAGAGGCTCCAAACCGCTCGAAGCGAGAGAAGTGCTGGGAAAGCAGGGACATTTATTTCAAATGTTTGGACAGAATCGATGTGGTGAATCCGCTAGACAAGAACGTGCAAGAGAAAATCAGGAAAAACTGCTCTAAGGAGGATTCCCAGTTCCAGAAAGACTGCGTGGCCTCGTGGGTCAAGTATTTCAAGGAGAAGCGTCCTTTTGATATCAAAAAGGAGAAGATACTGAGGGAGGCGGCAGAACAACAAGCAAACGCTAAAATAGAAAAATGATTCCGATCGTGTAAATAAGGTTTCTCATTATTGTGTGTATATAAATGACCAGGGAAGGAGTATCAGATTACAGAAGCTGGGGAACGCGCATTTTGGACATGTGATGCTCAGTGTAGGAATAGTGAATGAGAAGTCTAGTGTACAAATGTAGCATAAGTTTGTGCAAGAAGTTTATCTGCGGCTCGTTAGCTCGCTCCTTTGACAATTTGTAAAAGTTGGGCAAACCTCTCTTTATTCTCCTCTATCTCTCTTCGCAATTCGGACACGCGAGCGTTGTATAGTCGTTCGCAGATTTCTACTACCAGCGGCTCGTTCATTCTGTAGAACTCCATATCCTTGTCTACAGAGTCGATAAGCCCGTTTTCAAGCATGAGATTGTTGTAAAGAGCCAGCAGCTGGCTTTCAGACGGTGTCCACTGCGGACTATCTTTCATTAGTGGATTTTCTTTCGTTCTCTTTAGTATAGTGCCCAGGTCAAAATTCTTACCTGAGGACGAATGCAAACACTCAAACAGCGTTTGACATATCAGCAAGAGCGTCTGTGTGGTGTAGTTCTCGGGAACAGTCAAATCTATCTGCTCCATCCAGATAAATTATTTTTCATGTACAATATCTGTTTATTTACTTACAGATCGGCAAAAAATATACAATTTCATTCTTGGATCCGTCTCAATGCCTTTCCGAGGTGATTCGCAATTGACATCACTCTCCAACGATCTCAACGGATTTCAAATACACAATGCTGGCTCAAAGTCTGGCACGAAGACGGAACGGAGTGCCCTGCATCATCAAACGCAGCTGTCTGGCACATCTAAACGATTTTCATTAAACATGCCCCTAGATCCGCAATTCAGCTCGAAAATCCCCACACGCTCGCCCTCAACAAAGTCTCTCAAACTGTTAGACCCTCCACATGCAGATAACTCCAGACTACCTGTCGCCAAAAGGTACTACAGCGATTCCAAACACACACATAGAAAACCATTCGCCAACCCTCCGTCAGCCCTCCCGACCTCAAAATCGATGCACCATCTCAGCTTGCACACTGCATCTACTCCATCCTATTTGAATCCTACCATGTCCTCGTTGAACCGTTCGAGACACGAAAAAGAGAACGTTCCGCTGCAAAGAAGACAGAGCCTGAAGCAGCCTCCAGCTCGAGGAATAGTGTCATCGTCAAGTGTCGCTGATCTCCAAGTCCTGAATAAACCAGATAGAAAACCAGGGATAAATCGTCCTACAGTGCCTCCGGCCCATCGAATTCCATCCATTCCTTCTAACCGGCAACGACGCAAACCTGTCTCCTCCGAAGAGGAGCTGTATAAGCTCATGGAGAGCAGCTCAAAAATCGCCCACCAATTCCGCCAATTTTTGCATTATGCCTCCCAAGGTCGCCATGAGAGACCACCACATAGTCCTCAAAATTTGGCGACTGCCGATCCTAGCATGTACCAGCAACTGACTGTGTATGAACGAGGTGAAATACTGAGAAAGAGAGAAATATACTTCACGGGAGACAGAAGCGTCAAGGCCCGAGTTGACAGTCAAAATTATAGCTACAATTTTGGTTTTGACGACAAGAACAAGGACTACAGATGCGCCGTTGGTGACCATATAAATTACCGGTACGAAATTATGGCCAAACTTGGCAAGGGATCCTTTGGGTCTGTCATATGTGCCAAGGACCACAAGACACAGCAGCTTGTGGCCATCAAGATCGTGAAAAACGAAATGGACTGGTCTGTACAGGCTATGAGTGAGATCAAGTGCCTGAAGAGCCTCAGCGGATGCTCTCCATACGTAGTCCAATATTTTGAGCATTTTCATTTTAGATCACATATTTGCATCGTCACAGAACTGCTTCTTATCAACCTCTATGAGCTCATTGAAATTTCAAAGTTCAGAGGTTTGGGCATGGGGTTGTTGAGAAAGTTCGGAAGCAACACCTTACACGGGCTGCGATTCATCCATGAGCAAAAACTAATTCATTGTGACATGAAGCCAGAGAACTTGATGCTAGCTTACAATAATCAACTAGGATTTCACGTCAAAGTGATAGACTTCGGGTCATCTTGCGAGCATGGCCGTCCCGTATTCTCCTACTTGCAGTCAAGATTCTACAGAGCACCCGAAGTGTGTATCGGAGCCAGATATAACCACAAGATCGACATATGGTCTTTTGGAGCAATCATGGCTGAACTCTATACGGGGACCCCGATATTCTGTGCCAAAGACGAGTATGAGCTTCTCGACTTCTTTATCTCCTACTTTGGTCCTCCTCCTAGGAGTTACATTCTTGAACTGCGCACACAATTGCTAAAGGAAGGGCCCATAGTCAATCTAAACAGACCGTCTACAAACTCTCTCAACTTCCGCACACTGTTATGGAAAGCATTCAACGATGACGGATCATTGAACTCCTCATATCTGCATTCGAAGAAAAGTGGTTGCAAGTTTAAGCCATCTTCTTTCAGCCTATCTCGGCATCTTGCTCGCTATCACACAGAGCCTGGAGCTGGTTTTGAGCACTTTGTTGACATGCTCGCTGGGTGCCTCACATGGTCACACCACCGGAGAGTTGACTGCGACAAGCTTCTTTCCATGCCTTTTTTTAGTCAGTATGAATAAGTAGACTTCCGTGCACCAGGAGTCCCCAGAAATCATTTGTAGAAATAACTTATCAGACAAATGAGCAATTCTCCTCCTTCGACCTCAAGTTCCGGGAAGGGGCTATCTATTCCACGGAAGATAGCTCTCAATGCCATTAATGAGATACAAAATCGTTCCAATGACTATTTGCATAGCAAAAGAGGTGGAAAGGGCCTTGAAGAAGGGCGCAAAAGAGCAGCTCTGGCAGCTGTGATCTCGACCGTTTCCTCAGTTGGTGCTGATCGGTTAACAAAAGCAGATTTCGATGAGCTCAGAGATTTATCAGAACAGGAATCTCACGACAAGGTGCATTTCATGGACAAACTGACCAACAAGCTGTTAGATGCAATCCCTCGACGGTCCGATGAATCGATGGATGATTTGAGAAAGCGATTGGAGGACCGGCATAGGATAGAACAGCCAGGGCTCTCTATAAAGAGGATCAGCAGAAATTTCAAGACGTTGAGCTCGAAAATGGATCTCGTGTTCAGTCTTCAATACTCTATAATTCACGTCATATCCTGGGATAAGCCCTCGTTGACACTGACATTTCTGATTCTCTATACCTGGGGATGTCTAATGCCCTACCTGTTTCTTGTTTACCCGGTTTTTTACGTTCTGACGGGGGTTCTCATTCCAAACTATCTCTATCGTCATCCTTTAGCGAAGCCAGATATCATTCCCACGCGTGCGCGTGGTGACAGCTCAATATTTGGGTTTTTGCGAACCGAAAATGCCTGGGAATTGGACAGGCAACGCATTTTGCTCGAGAGAAGTAGGACACTCGAACGTATACTGAGCCAGGAGCTGGAGTTGTCCACAATAAGCTCCAGAACATCAACAGACTCAGAGGACGAGGGAAGCTCCAGTCTATTTTACGAGGTATTCACAGCAGACTCGAAAACCAATTTGGTGTTCAAGGCTGTTCTGGAGGAAGACGAGGACACCACTGAGAAGGGGCCCACGGGCGTGGTGGATAAAGTGAAACTACTGATCAACATGAGAGATTTACAGAATCTTACCTCCGACATAATCAAGATGATGACTCGCATGCAAGATAGCATCTACGAAAATTACAGTTTCAAGGACGAGAAACGAAGTACCAAGCATTTCTTCAATCTGATTGCACTAATTCTCATAACGGTAGTCCTTGGGCCCTACGTTCCATGGCGAGCGATTTTTATTATCACTGTGTGGGTTCTGGTTCTGTTGAAACATCCCAACCGCCAACATATCCTCAAACAGCTCAAGCCAGCGACTAAACACAAGCTCCCACCGAAACACAAAACTGAAGTGAAAAACAGAGCGTTTAGGCTGGGTGAGTTGATAGTGGATGATCCTCCTCAATACAGGACCATCCAAATTTACCAGATAGAAAAACAGGACCTTATCAAGCCTTCTGTCTACGAACTTTACATGTATTCTTCGTCGATTTTCAATGAGTCCGATACCCTTAGAATACAGAAAAAAAGACCCAAGGGGACTACCAATCTCTCACTGGTGCAAGCTCCTAGCCCAAGCTGGAAGTTCACGGAAAAAAGCTGGACAGTGGACGCCGATCCGGAATCTTGGTGCCTCGAAAACGGTGTCTTGGATGAGATGGAGATTGACGGAGAGTGGGCATATGACAAGTCCGGCGACTATCGTCGCTGTCGTCTTGTGCGTGAGGTTGTCAGATACAGCAGGCCACCAAAAAAGCGATAGGGGCTCAACTATGATTCCTGAACCAGGCCATCGAAAAGCCGTCTGAAACATTCGTTCATAGGGTTATTGTAATGAGAATACGGATCCGTCCTTGATAATGTCTCACCACACAAATTGCAGAAGTAGGTTCGGCACCGGGAACATGTCATCTTGTTGCAACCATCAGAACGCTGAATAAGTAGAGAGCAGGATGGACACCGGACGATCCCTGCCTCTCCTGACTCAATCAGGTCTTCAAACATCATATCCGAAAGATGCTCCTCTACGGCAAAAACAATCGCTTTTCTGCCGTACTTGAAAGCCAAATTATTGCGCGTCTGGGAGCCTGGTTCATGCTCGAGCCACAGCTGAATATCTTCCAATGGGATCTTTTCGCCAAGATAGTTTCTGCAACTGTTGAGATCACCATGCCACGAATGAAGACACCCAAAGCAAAATGCCATTTGGCAATCGGGACAGATCGAGAGTAAATTGTTCTCGTCTTTGCGAAGAAAATATTTAGCACAATGCCTACGAGGACACTGGGCTACTCTGAAAGGGAACAATCGCCTATATTTTTCGAATTTGAATGTTGTGTTGAGCTTCCAATACCTTTCTGTCAGTTCTGGGTCGACTACTTTGTTGAGAAACTCTTTTGTCAGCGGGACCTGGAAGAATTCTTTTTCGAATTGCTTCAAATCTTGATTCATCACGCCTCGGGACAATCGATCATTGGTCTCCACATAGGCTTTGGTGCAATCAAAAGAAGGACAATGGATATTGTCGAGCTCTCCACGAAGTATGTTGGAGGTAAAATAATCTCTCAAACACTCGTTGCAATAGATATGGCCACACGATTCAAATCTTTGCACCGCAAGACCCTTCTTGTCCGTCTGACATATCTCGCACATGAACGTGGTCAGGTTGAATTGGTCTTGCTTTGCCTGTGTATCTGCCGCCACGTATTGTTCGTATTTCTGTTTATCAAGCACCAAGGGCTGCGATAAGTCAATCACTCCAAAGGCATCACGGCTTCGCTCTTTTATGTAATCGATAATAGAAAAAAGCACAATCTCGCGATAATCCTGCCATAAGCCTATCAGGGAGGCCACTATCGAATCCTTGTTACTAGGAACTATCCAGTGAGCACCACGGAGCTCCAAATGTGGAGGCTCTTCCTCTGGATACTTGTCTTGAAGCGTGAAACAGAGCTCTATGGGGCTAAGATTCGCGATAAGCTGCGACTGAGCGCTATTTTCCATACGGATCTCCAGCTCCTTATCTAATGCAACTGGAATCACGAGGCGTCCTGATTTCGCTGAAAAGTCCAGCTCGATTTCTGGGTAAATTGCTTTAAGACTTTCAAATTCCTCCTCCACATCTAGCATAAAAGAAATCAAACTAATCTTTTTTTTTTTTCACTTGACACGATGGATAGATCGACCGGGTTTATTCGCACATTTGATGCTTTTCGTAAGTGAAACCAGTGGTTGTTACTGACACAGCAGCAAAAATAGCACCATCGCAGCAGGTGCGGTCTACGAGAGGATCGTACTCCACCATTATCACCTATCTGTTTATTTTGTTTCTCATATGGGTCGAGGTTGGAGGATATATCGATGGTGCCATAGATCACCAATTTACAGTTGACGAAGTGGTACGCAAAGACCTGGTGATAAATTTGGACCTTGTTGTTGCCATGCCGTGCAATTACATTCACACAAACGTTAGAGACTTGACCGACGACAGATTCTTAGCAGCAGAGCTGTTGAATTACCAAGGGACGACATTCAACATTCCGCGATGGTACGAGCAATCTGCCAAGAAAATTGTGACTCCAGAACTGGAAGCGGTTCTAGAGAGATCCCTTCAGGCTAGGTTCCAGTATCAGGGCGAACATCACGACGAAGGAGCACCTGCTTGTCGTATATTTGGCGCAATTCCTGTGAACAGAGTCAAGGGCGAGCTTCACATTACCGCAAAGGGGTACGGGTATAGAGATAGAACGCGCGTTCCTGTTGAGGGTCTGAATTTCACGCATGCTATTTCAGAGTTTTCGTTTGGAGAGTTCTTCCCTTACCTGGACAATCCGCTGGATATGACCCTTAAAACAACCGATGCCCATTTACACACTTTCAAATACCACTTGAACGTCGTGCCGACCCTTTATCGCAAACTGGGAGTTGAGATAGACACCAACCAATACTCGCTGTCGCTCACCGAGTCTTCAGGCAAATACGTTCCTGGAATATTTTTTCAGTACGACTTTGAGCCTATTAAGCTTGTTGTGGAGGAGACAAGATTGTCTTTCTGGCAATTTGTGGTGCGTTTGGCAACGATTATGGGCGGAATTCTCGTGGTTGCAGGATGGTTATACAAATTGTTGGACAAGTTGATTTTGCTCACGCTCGGCAAGGAGTTTGCCAAAAGGGGCCAGGAGAAGAAGGAAGGCGGTTTGCTCGATAATGTCGAGGATTTCGAGAAAATATAGAAGCTCCATCTAATTCAGCAGAGCCTGGGCGTCTTCCTTGTATCCCACACCCGGTACGACTTCAGTATATCTGATGTATTCGTCGTCGTCAAAAGTGATAATATCCCAGTACTTATAGACCATCATGATTGCAAAAAGGTTACTAAGAGTGCTGAAAATGAGCCCGTCTGCGTAGTGGCTCAACGATGTGCAGATGTCATAGCTGAAGACGTACAGGAGACACTCAGCAGCGACGAAAAAGAATACTGAGAGGCATAGTGCTTCGATGGCCCACCAGTTGAGTACAAGAGTGACGAAGCATATGAATAACTGGCACAGCAGGTACATGAAAAGCAACAATCCATTGAATATGAAGTAGAGCACGAATAGAGGGATAGTTTCGGCAGTGTTGATAATGCTGGTCCAATTATTAAATGTGAGAATTGCCACGACGTAATTGAGGACGAAAACGCCAAAAGAGGAGCCAAACATGGCTGCCATAGTGTGCAGGGAGCCATCGTCCCATAAATTCAGACTTGACAGTCCCGCAAAGAATAACGTCCAGCAGCAAACGCCGGTCATGGCTATCTGGAAGCTAACGAAATATGCGTATGTGGAAGATCCGCTTGGAGATACTCCAGTGTCCACTACGATGCAGGACACCGTGAACATTATAAAACTCCAGAAAAACGTGAGCATTTCTTTTCTCCCGACAGCAGTGTATCTCAATCGCACGTTGTATATGATCATAAGGGCCACTATGAGCGAGGACATGTGTATAAATGACGTTCCGATCTGGAATATTAATGTGTTCGAAATATCTACCGTGCGCGCGTAGCAATCCGGGATGATCCCCACAAAGGTGGCATTATGGGCATGCAACGGATTGATCAGCGTGCACAGTGGAAGCGAGGTTCTCGTGCAAATTCCGGAGAAGTCGCCAATCATACAAGATATCTAAATACGAAGCTATTTTGGCGCGTTAGATAAGATAATAAATTTACTTGCCAACTAAGTTTTTAGGAGACAGACTTTTCCAATATTCGCTGGTTGTGTGTTATTCAACAGCAACCAGAGTTTGCCACCCTTTGCGTCTACTGCAACCACTAATTCATGCTGGCGCGCTCCAAATGAAAAATTACCCGATTAGTACCTTGGCAGAAATTAAAAGATCTGTAATTTTCTTTCAAATTTTTCAGTTTAAAGACTTCCCTCCCTCCGTGATTCCGCCATGTCTCCTTCAGTCACAGACAAAAAACAATCTGCTTCTGCCAGAGTGCTTGGATCTGCCTCCGCAGGTATTTGTGAGATAGCTGTCTTCCACCCGGTTGATACGATTTCCAAGAGACTAATGAGTAATCAAACCCGAGTCAACAGCTTGGAAATCTTCAACAAGGTCATTTTCAGGGAAAATGCCTCCAAGCCAATTGGCCAGAGATTGTTTAGTTTATTCCCAGGCCTTGGTTATGCTGCTTGCTACAAGATCTTGCAAAGAGTGTACAAGTATGGCGGTCAGCCTTTTGCAAACGAGTTTCTGACTACCAACTTTAAAAAGACGTACGAGGACGCTTTTGGAGCCAAGACCGGTAAAGCACTGCTGTCTGCCACTGCTGGATCTCTTATTGGTATTGGTGAAATTATTCTACTGCCTCTCGATGTGCTGAAGATCAAGAGACAGACAAACCCTGAAGCTTTTAAGGGTAGAGGTTTCTTCAAGATCTTGCAAGATGAAGGACTTGGTTTGTACAAAGGATGGGGATGGACTGCTGCTAGAAACGCCCCTGGCTCGTTTGCTTTGTTTGGTGGATCAGCATTTGCCAAGGAATACATTTTCCACCTGAAGGACTACTCTTCTGCTACGTGGGGCCAAAACTTCGTTGCCTCGATCTTCGGTGCCTCTGCATCTCTGATTGTTTCCGCTCCCTTAGACGTGATTAAGACCAGAATCCAGAACAAGAATTTTGAGGCCAACGAGTCTGGTTTCACCATTTTGAAGAACATGGCAAAGAACGAAGGAGTCACTGCTTTCTTCAAGGGATTGACTCCGAAACTGCTCACCACCGGTCCTAAGCTTGTTTTCTCGTTTGCGTTGGCCCAGACTTTGATTCCAGCCTTCGATAAATTACTTAATTAACCTGCCTGTATATACAATTAATTAGAGAGTATTCGCCAATTGCAGGATTAATGGGTGACAATTAGCAGGCAGACGTGGTAAGTCAACCCGTATCCCAGCTTTAGCCAGCACCCGTATGTCTATAAGAGTGCAATAGACGAAGTTAAACTTCTTTGGCTCCGTCAAAGGACCAAAACACCCGTCCTCGTCGACTAACTCAGAAATCGACTTGAGATTAGCTTCCACCTTGTTGCGCCATAATTCCAGGCTGGGTTTCTCATCCAAAGCGAGCTCCTGGAACTGAAGACTGCGCCGAATGGGGTTTTTGTAGAAATTGTCCTTTTCTGGAGCGAAAAGTAGCAAGTCTGTGTCGAATAGTTCACAGAAGTCACATCGAGTAGCCAGATGGAACATATCATCGAATGCAACATATTCTTGCTTCATACTGATAAAATAATCCACCAATCTTCTTTCCACTTCAATGGGGACCATCGCATATTTCAGTCCGAGATAATCTGACAAATGGTGTGCGCAAAGAGAACGGAGTTCATCGTCGTCGTCAGAAAGAAAATCAAATAATTTCAGTCTTACCTGAACACCGTAACCATCGTCTCCGGTATGAACAGAATTGAACCCAATGAGTGCATTCAAAGATGCTTTTCTAGCTGGAAACTCATTGCTATCAGCACTCAGGCGTTTGACTGTCTTGAACCAGCCATCGAACTCCAATGGGTCCAGTTGCTTTCCAACCAAAGGTCCCAATGCTTCAATCAAGCTCATCTCGATATCACTGTTTGTGTGCAAGGTAAGCAGAGAGAAAAGACTGTGTACCATCTCAGGGTCATCAAATTCTGTCGTTTCTAAAAGGTTTTTCAGACATTTCAAGGCCATCGATTTAACGTAGTCCCAATTTTCACGCTGACAAAGGTCCCATAAAATCCGGATTGCTTCGGACTTCACATTGTCCGGGAGATCTACATCACAGGACTCAATTGCAGCAACACGTACCTCGTGAAGGGAGTTCATTGCAAGCTCCAGAAAGTCAATAAACACGCTCCATTTGCGAGACTTCCTGTAGTAGTCCAAAAGTAAACTTGCACACTTCCTCAAAGCCAGCTGGTGCGACCCGTCAAGTCTAGACATCTGGCCGTTCTCAATGAACCAGTTGCCCAACAGGGCTACTGATTTTGGATCCAGTTTGCACTTGGTGAGCTCTATTAGCCTGAAATACGTCAGTTGAATAGCATAGTTCTTTTTCTTTAGCATGCTAGGCAGGTGACACAGAATCAAATCCATATACTCCTTGGGAACCTGAGACCATTCGTTTTTCAGCTCTTGTCGGATAATCAGCTCCTGAACAGCCAAGATCGAGCCATGGACGGCATTAAGGTTTCCTGGTTTTTTCAGTAATGCAGAGCATTCCTCAAACACTGTGTCGGAGGACACCAGAGCAGGAAGTGCTCTTGCAGCCATTTCGCGCAACTTCCAGCTTTCATTACTCAAACACGTAAGAACGAGCGGCTTGAATTCTTGCAATCCCTCGTAGCCAGGCGTAGCTTCAAGCCGCGTCAATGTGGTAAGCACAGGATACATTTTTTCCACATTGTCTCTTGTGAAACCTGTGCTGATGGAGTCGGAAAGCGATTCAAGAAGAACATTGCGGATAGTCTTGAACCTGGAAAAGAACAGTCGTGCAGAGATAGTGGAGAGATGATTGTTGCTAATTTTTTTGCTCCCAAATAGCTTAGTTTGCAACGCAGCAAAAAGCATCACTCCGCAATTGCGAACGGCCCAGATTCTCGAGCCAAAAGAATCTAAAGCGAGTTGCAATGCCTGTCCAACGTAATTTGCAGACTCATGAGACAAAACAGAATCCACAATGATGGCCTTGATCGAGTTAATGGCGTTGACTTGGGGGATGTTGGTCGATACTGCTGCATTTTGGTCAATCGGTAGCTGTGCAATTTGAACAAGACTATCCATAGTGGAGGCTATCAGAGTGCCATCAGAACGTAGCATAGCGGTGAGAAGAAACGGGATGCCGGCAGATCTTCTTGTAATTGAGATTTTCTCGTTCTTGACCAGATGAAGGGTCTGATCAAGCCATTCCTGGGTATAGCTGGATTTCTTACAGCATGCAACATATGTAGGGAAAACGGAGGTAAATGCTCCCTTGTGCCTGACTGTTGCAAGTTGCTCCATCAGAGTCTCACCTATGGATCGGAGTTGCTCTTCATCTATGGTGTAGTTTGAAATTAGTATTTCGAGCAGATTAGTCGACTCTTTCAAAGCCCTCCAGCAATAATTGTAGACCACCTGCGATGCTTTGCCATATTTTGCTTCCAGGTCGGCACTAAATTCTTCCACTTCCTCCGGTAAATTCCCTTCTGGAGAGTCATTTTGCAGCACACCTTTTGTGACCTGCCAAATATCCATGCAACAACCGATCAACGCAGGAACGTGGTCTTCCAAATCATCGCTCTTGATCGTGTAAATATGCCTGAGTGCAGAAAAGTACCCCTGCATGCTGGCTTTGAAGCAAGCTTCTCCAAGGTTGTGCGTGGTGTCAATTTCGTGCCTCAAGCTCTGTAGCAGCAGCCGCAAGACAGGCTCTACATCAAGGCCTTTATCCCTCTTATGTCCAACCAAGAACTGAAAGAATTTGCCCGCGAAGTCCACACTCTTTCCCTTCATGTCGGACAGTAGCAGTAGGCTTCTCTTTTGAGCAAGCTCTAGGTCCACATAATCTTCAATGTCAACAGGACACATTTCGAGAAATTCGCAAGAAATCGAACGAATATCGTCGTAGTCATCTGACAAATGGTCGATGAGGATGCGAACCAGGGTTGCGGAATAAATTTCCATTGAAAAAGGAAAACCATTGTGTCTGTATTTGTCGAAGTAGCGGTCGTCAACCCTGCTATCGAGACCGGACTTCACCAGAGACTTTAAAACTGCGTAGCCAAAAGAAACACAGTGGTACGATGAACCTGGTCGCAAATTGAAAAGCACCTTCTCCAACAGGGTCGCCAAAAACTGCTGAGCATCCGAGACAAGCGCTTCCTTGTATACTATCTCCTTTTCAAATCTGGCATAGTTCTTTTTGGCCAAACTCTTTGCGTCTCGGTCCAAAGCGTACGACGAATCTCTGACTCTAATAATGAAAGTGTTGAGCAACGAGAGAGACGCGGTTCTAGCCTCTAGATCCGTTTGGGAAAACAGGTGGTCAGTGATGTCCTCGAGAAGTTGGTACACTGTGCTCTGTATAGGCATGGCTCCCTTAGGAGAGGAAAGGAGCAACGATAATGCCACAAGCCGTAGCCGATCATCCTGTTGCAACAAGAAAGCCCTGAACTCGTCATAGGACAAAAAGCTAGTTGGATCCGAGACAATCGCAAGATCTTGCGCGATTTTCAAGCACCCAAGAAATATTGGTGTGTTTGGTCTCACAGCATCAAGAAAAATTTCGGTAGCAGGTCTGCAAATTTTGAAGAGATTCGGTAGCAGGTAAGTTTCTGTGTGTTTTTTCAGTTTTGGGATCTTCAAATTATGAAGCACAGGCTCTTTCCACAGAGAAAACCAAGAAGATATATTATCTTCTGTGTATAGGTTTCCTAGAAGTAAGGGCACAGTTTTTCCAATACAACTAGCTAGAGCATTGCTCCATATGTATTCAATAGCTTCTTGGATAAAAGACGGACGCTGCTGGATCACATAGACACTCCATTGTCGCTCTTTGATAAGATGGTCTAATAAGAAATATAATGCTCGAGAAGAATATGGAAGCTGCAGACAACGATCAATATATGCTTCGAAAATGAGGTCTCTAGATGGGGCTCGATCTATGAATAAAATCAGCTTTGCAAACAATTCCCTGAGACATTTCCCTATTGGAGCCCCGGAATCGTTCCAGAAATCAATGATGTACTGTAAAAAATAGTCAGATCTATCAGTCACCAAAGACAAAATCTTGTCCTTGTTGCCAACACCATTTTCGACGAGTCTCTGCGATCTTGTCAGCCAGAGACACAATGTACTGCACGCGGAAACACGATCCGTCTCAAGCTGGCTAAATATGAAGGTGAAAAAGTCGACTAGCTGAGGCTCCACAGACTCGTCCACATCTTTCAGTCTGATCAGTGCCGCCCTGACACCATCAAGCTGCATCTTGAGGTACGTGCCAGGAAATAAAATTTTAACCAAGGCTTCGCGAAATAAAAATAATTTACGTGTTTTCTCATATCATAATGGAAGACAAGTACATTGGACTGGCGCTGGCCATCAGTTCGTCGTTGGCGATTGGAACGTCGTTTGTGCTTACAAAAAAAGGTCTACTGAAAGATGGAAGCGGCGGAGAGTCGTACTCGTACCTGACGAACCCAATTTGGATCCTTGGTACCTCGCTTATGGCTATTGGGGAAATCGCCAATTTTGCGGCCTACACGTTCGCTCCTCCCATACTGGTGACCCCCCTTGGAGCTCTTTCTGTCATTATTGGCGCCGTTTTGGCCTCTGTATTTTTGAAGGAGGAACTTGGTACCCTGGGTAAAATGGGATGTGCAATTTGTTTACTTGGCTCGGTAATCATCGTGCTGCATGCTCCAGCAGACAAGGAGGTGCAGACAGTGGACGAGATTCTCAACTACGCCAAACAGCCTGGCTTCATGCTGTACGCTCTTGTGGTTGGTATCTACGCGGTGTTCATGATCTACAAAATTGCTCCTAAGTTTGGAAACCAAAACCCTATGATATACATCAGCATCTGCTCCCTGGTGGGATCAATTTCCGTGTGTGCGATCAAGGCATTTGGAATTGCCCTTAAGCTGACTCTTCAGGGCAACAACCAATTTACACATCCTTCTACCTACTTCTTCATCATTGTGGTGGTTGTGTGCATTCTGACACAAATGAACTACTTCAACAAGGCGCTGGCGCAATTCGATACTTCCATTGTCAACCCACTGTACTACGTGACATTTACCACAGCTACGTTGTGTGCTTCCTTCATCTTGTTCCGCGGATTCAACACCACCTCGTCCGTCAATATTATTTCTTTGATTTGCGGATTCCTCATCATTTTCAGCGGTGTGTTTCTGCTGGACATTTCCCGTCACGGTTCTGACACAGATGAACTGTTTGCTACGAAGAAAGATGGATTATCCGACATTCCATTAAACTCTGACCTGTCTGCATACCAGTTCAGAAGATCAATGCAATTGAACAGACCGAACCAGGATTCTGCGTACCACAATTTAAACAGCGACCCATCTGACCGCCTTCGAAGACGCTCCGACAGTTTCGAATTGAACTAGCACCCCGAAATTGAGCAAGAATACATAGAGACCATATACACCTCCTTTAAATATCGTCAATATCCAACTCCTCCTCTTCATCCTCTTCACTTTCATTTCCAAATTCGAAGTTAGCGTCGTCGTCCACGTCCTCACCAAATGTATCTGTTTGATTGATCTTTGCTGTTTCGGGAAGCTCCCCTTGGGAAATCAGCGTGCGTGCTTCGTCCGCGGTATATTTATGCACCACATCGGCCTGGTTGTCTTGAAACTCTCTCAAGGCAACAAGAATGATGTCTCCTTGCGCCATCCAAACCTTCTTTCTCAATTTTCCTCTGATATGCGCAATTCTGGTGACACCGTCAAAACAAGCTGCTTGCACGCGGCCGTTACCCAGCATTTTTGTGATTTGTGCATATTCCTGCTGTTCATCCTTGTAAATAAGCTCTCTTTTCTGAGACCAGTTCTCATTCTTGCCTCTTCTTCTATTCTTTCCTCCTTTGCCCTTTCCTTTATTAGCCATTTTGTCCAGAACAAATTTAGTAAAATTTTTTTTTTCACCTGAGGAAATTGGCTGTGCCAAAACATCTACAATATTTATTCATTACCCGGAACCTTTTAGGCCATGGACTCCTTCGAGGCGAGAGTCTATCTTACGAAACAGCTGAGCTCGCTCACGCCGTCGAAACAGGCTGCTCAACAGTGTGCCAAGTTTTTGTTGAAACACAAGGAGCTTCAGGACGACCTTTATTCTGTTATTTTGGAGAGTCTCGACGCTGCAGACCTCAATATTCGCATCAACATCTTCCAATTCCTTGAGGAATTGATTCTATACTGCCAGAATGACCCACAGAAACCATACATATCTTCGATTATCAAGGATATGAAACTTATACTTACCAAAATCCTCCCTCCAAAGCCTGATACCATGTCCTGCGAAACCAGATTGCTGACCAATCTCCATGCTGCTTACACGATATTGGTAAACATCTCCAGATCATGCAAGTTCACAAATCTCAAAGAATACAAGGCCAAATATGGCTCCAACTTGCTGACTGATATGGATAGAAATAGGATCGAGCTTCAGCTCCAGTTCGACGAAAAACCTTTGTACACAGACAGAGATGTTCCAGAGTCCATTGATGGCCAGCTCGACTGTGCGTGGGAATTCCTATTGGAGAAAAGACGCCAGTCTCAGTACGAACGTTTTTTTATAGATAAGCACCAGATGCAGTCTCCGACAGAGCCCCTGCAGGACACATTTGCAAAAACGCGGAAGCAGCTTTTGGCTAGGATCGAGGCCGACCGAGAACGACAGAAGCGTGGCAAAGAGAATCTCTGGCAAATCAACAGGGAGAATGGATCAATAACGGAATTTGATCTCGTTTACGACACTTTCCATCAGTTTGACATTATTGAAGATAAACCCCTTATAGACGAAATCAACGAACTATATGATAACAGCAAATATGGAACACCTCACAGACCACAGCCGAACAAACGTTTTAGACGATGATTATTTGTCGCTGGCGATGACCGTGGACAAAATCCTAAATAATTCATTGACACCCGATAATTTTTCCTCTGCTTTGGAGTTGGAATTATCCTGTCCGACCCTAATGGTGAACTTATTCTCAATATCGAATTCCAAGCTGTTGAAATAGTTGAACACCTCTTCGTCCACTGGCGTGTTTCCACCAGCTGCCATGACAAAGCCTAGATTGTGTTTGAGCTGAGGTTGATTCTTGAACGACATTGTCAGGTCGGATGGCTGGGAAACAGGACTTGTGAGTGACGACGATGGAATCTTTCTCAGATGGCCATCGAAGGAGTTCTGATTCATCACGAACGAAAGCGCACGGACAATCAAATTTGCTTCTTGCACAATGACAATGCCGTTGATAAGATTGGCATGTAAGTTGAATTCCTTGGAGTATAACTCATTCACGTGTGTGATCAGTTCTCCAACTAATTTGAGCTTGTGGTCCCTGTCCACGTCAGAGCAGTTCTCGGTGTGGAAGCGAACAGTACACTCCTCCACCTCAACAAATGATCCAGGCAATCTTTCGCACAAAGCATTCATCACCTCTATGACGGTCGGCATCCAGGTAAGCTCATTCTCGTCAATAACGGTGAACCAGTCATTGCTGTTTGGGAGCTTGATATAGCCTCCGTTCTCGGCAATAAGACCAAGCTCGCCAATTCTGCGATACCTGCGCAACAAGTCGGACCGTTTTAAGAAACTGAAAACGTAAACGATATTATTCGGGTCATTCGCAAGATTGAAAAGCGTGGACATGATGTATTCGTGCTGAACAGGATTGATCAAGGAGCCCGGAATGTTCACCTTGGAAACGAGATTGCCGAGGTTGATAATGAACAACCGTTTGCTTTCTGGATGAGGCAAGCTGTGGTACTTTTCCTTGAACAGAGCCTGGGATAATTGCGTCAGTTCAGAAGAACAGTCTTTGCGATTGCTTGCAAAAGCTGTTTCGATGTCGTGAATACAATTTTTCACCCACGACTGGGAGTCGTGTTTGAGGATGGTGGCATACATTTTTTTCCATCTCTGGAGCTTCTCCTCGGGAGACATCTCCAGGCCGAGCTTGATGTTTTCTGCCACCTGTTTGACATCATACGGGTTGGTCAAAAGAGGACCCTCTGTCATTACCTGTGCTGAACCAACAAACTCGCTCATGATCAAAGGAGAATGGGTCTCTTGTGCCGCAACAACAAACTCTTGAGACGTGAGGTTCATTCCCTCTCTAAGGGTAGAGATAATGAACAAATCTGCCTCTGCCAGGAGCGCCAAGTACTGCTCAAACTCAATATCCTGGTGGAGGAATATGACAGGCTGATCGGTGGAGATGTTGCTCGACTTCGCGTTGATTCTTTCGGCTATATTGAAAATTGATGTCTCAAAATCATCATCTTTCTCCATCTTGGCCTTCGTATAGATAAGAATGAGTATAGTATCAGAAACGCGTTCTGGATTATCATTCAAAAAGCGCTCGTATGCCAATAATTTCTCTTTGATTCCTCTGATTCTATCAATTTTGTCTCTGCTGACAATAAGTTTCTTATCTGCCCATCTCTCTCTGACTAGTGTTCTCCAGTTGAGACATAAGTTGTTTTGTAATCTCTTGTTGAGTAATTCGGCGTCGACTCCGATAGGATTACCCCTGACACTGATAACTCTATCTTTGTACCTGATTCCGTACTCATCAAAGTCCGCTAGGAGTAGTCTGTTGCACGTTTGGTAAAAGTGTCTCACGTATTCCTCTGTCTGGAAAGCAATGCAGTCGGCTCCTAGAAGACCTTCCAGGATATTGTTTCTCTGCGCTAGACAGCGGAATACCTCACTCGAAGGGAACGACACATGCAAAAAGAACCCGATTTTGGCGTTTGGTATCTTTTCACGTATCATTTTAGGCACGAGCATGAGATGATAGTCGTGCACCCAGACAATATCGCCTTCCCTATACTGCGAAACAATTTGGTCTGCAACTGCCCGATTTAACTTCTCGTAGTGTTTCCACGAATGGTTCTCGAAAGCATTTGACTTTGGATTGTCAGGGATCTGGTAGTGAAAGATTGGCCATAGGATTTCTTTCGAAAAACTGGTGTAGTGGCCATGGAAAGTGACATCATCCACAAATGCCACAGAGGAATCATACTTCTCGCTCAGCTCTTTTGCTATATTGTTTTTGGTTGTTTGTGGAACCACATCTGATGGAATGGGCAAAACGCCCACCCATCGAAATTTGGTTTCCGGATCAGAGGCGGCCGCAACGCGAATGGCATTCTTCAAGCTACCATTGGCCTTGTCAAACTCAACCACTCTCCAAGGTGCAGTTGCAAAAACGTTGTCTTTGATGAAAAGGTCGTGGTAATCAGGTTTTGAAAAGCCTCCAAAGGGCGTCACCTTATCCTCGTCAGGCAGAAAAGCATTCTCGTGTTCCGGCGGATACTCGTCTTTTTCGCGTTCCAAAGGCTTCTCTAGAGCTTGCTTTGCCACCTTCGAGCTTGAGCGACGCGACGAAAGCCCTGGTCGGTTGACTTTCAGAGACGAGTGTAGCAACTCAGGGCCCTTTGTTGCTTGCTTCTCCGAGACCGATGACGAAACAGTGATTTTTGTAGTGCTGACCCTCGACTTTGGCTGAATAAACGTTGATGTCGACACATTGACCGATGGTGAGCTTTTCGAAGCTTCTTTCAACTGGCTAATCTCATCCAGCGTGGGCTGTTTGGGGTTGTTGAAGAAAAATTCTTGAACAGATACATTCTGGTTTGCTCCGTCGGTGTTCGACGTAGATACCGAAGTTTCGCCATCGTCATCCTCGGAGATAACCTGTATCCTGTTGTCAATCAAATCTGTTTGGCTCAAGTTCGAAGCTGACGAGTTTTTCGCAAGAGCCTTTATCAAAGAAATAGTCGTATTGGTAGCATCCTTTAATTGCTTGTCTTTGGAAGAAGCGCTCGTTTTCGGCTGTCTAATAGGCTCAGCAATATCGTCAAATTCAGTGTCATTGTTGACACACTTGTCCTTGACTTGGACTTCAAAATGCACAGTGTATGGCAGAAATCTGGAGAAGGTGTTAGATCAATGTAACTCTTAGCATACTTACAAAGAAGCAACGAGAATGGTCATCTTATAATGAACAAACCCTGAGATTCAGTTTAGACTCAATGGTAGATTTCAATAGCTCGTTAAGAAATGGCACCACCGAAATTATTTAGATCGCAACTGGGTTGCTCTTCAGTGCTAAGAAAATGCAAATATAATAAAAAAAGTGCTATATTGCATAAATTTCTAGAAGAACACTTTACAAAGTTATACATACATACCTCGGGGCAGTCGGTACTACACAAGTAAAAAAATGAAATATATTATCCTTCTCCAAAGGACGAGTACTAAGTAGTTAATGGTGGACTCCAGTCGATCATTGAGCGCTAGATCAAGGCAGCAGCCATGCCAAGAGCAGCTCCAAGCATCCCAGTGTAGCCGACGCTCGACATGTAGGCATCACCACAGTACGTGGACTCCAATGCAGTCAGGGTGCCGTTTGTGGAGTTGGCACCCCTAAGCAGCGAGCTGGAATTGGTAGTGGAGTTCGAGTACTCCTCAATGTATGGCGTGCTTCCATCCAGGGCAAAAGAGTCTTCTTCATGTCTCCTGAACTTGCCCTTGGTCTTGACAATAGTACCGCAAGTGATCTTGGTCATATTGGCAAAATGAAGGTTGACAGAGAGTCCAATGATGTAAGCTTTGTTCTTAGGATTCAGCGAGAGGTAAGGATCGTAGTAAGTAGCCTCGAAACAGGTGGTGTTGATCCATCCATGCTTTCCAGAGAGATCGCCGACCTGGCACAGAGCATCATCATCGAAGCTATCACATTCATCAAGTGGTGCGTTGTAAGGATTCAAATGGGTTCCCGTGGCTTCGCAGTTACCGTTTGCTGGAACGGGAGCTTTGTGGATGTGATAATAAAAGGGTCCTCCCTCTTCGGGAAGTCCAGTCACGTCAATGTGGACTTTAACTGTGCCGTTCTTTGCGGAAAACTCAATGATACCCTTGGTGTCTTTTTTATCAAGATGGGCTTTGGCAACCATGTTTCTAGGAGAGTCTGTGTTCTCGGGGGCAGGGCCGGCGAGCGCGACAGCGGCAAGAGCGCCGACGATTAAGAGTGAAGAAGAGACCATTTTTATGGGTAGAGTGATGCTAATTCTATGGATGTAAACTTTAGATGGAGAAAGTAGTTGTAGAGAAATTGGGGGTACAAATAGGTTGGCGTCAAGGACAGACGCCCAAATTTAGGGATAGCTTTTTAGTTTTTTACCCGGCCGATCATTTATTTCTCTAGCTGAACCCAGAATTTTTTCTGGTGTCATCTTTGGTCGATAAGCGACCATCCACTGATAAGATATGGGTGATAAAACTTTACACCAATACAGGCCTGACAGTGGTCGGAATTGACGGAACAGCGAAATCGTCGCCTACATATTATATCTCGTTTTGCTGGCCATGAATCGAAGTAGTTTGTTGTGAGCTATGTAGCATGACTATATGCCATCAATCATCCCTTTGCTTCTCAGGTAGTGCACCAGATCAATAAAATTTTTTTCACGTCCAACGTTTCACGCAAAAATATTTATCAGCTGGAAAAAAGATAACAGAGATAGACAACAAGTACTTTGCGTATTTGTCCAAATTGACGTTTTGTACTATATATCAGCTAGTTTGAAGCTCCTGTGTGGCTATTAAACCAATATCCAACCACATTGCAACCTTTAGGAAGTTTTTTTATCGGACTGTTTTGATTCTCAAACTGGTGGGCTTTCGTTACTTCAAATTACGATTTTACCACCATGTCAAACAACATATCCTTGTTGAAGCCAAAATTCACTCCGTCATCACCAACTGACCTCAAGCACACCTCACTGGACTCCACTCACTACTCGTCCACATCTCCGGGAACAGAGGGGTCGCCACCATCAGGCTCAGACCCGCTGCATCCTAACGCTAAGACAACCACCACTACTCAAAGCAACGGTGCCACTACTACCAAACAAAATATGTCTACGCCCACGTGCAAAAACTGCAAGACTCAGACCACCCCATTATGGAGAAGAGACGAAACTGGCCAGGTGCTTTGCAATGCTTGTGGTCTGTTCCTCAAACTTCACGGCCGCCCACGGCCTATCTCTTTGAAAAGTGACGTGATCAAGTCGAGAAACAGGGTCAAACACAGCAATTCAAAGTCGAATCCGAACACTCCTGAACTCAAGGCTAAAGATTCGTCTTCGAATGGCAAGGTTACTAAATTTTCTCCCAAACAATACAAACCAAATACGAAAACACAAGGCGGCCAATCCAGAGAGTCGTCTCCAATTTTGAGTTCTACAACCAACGGATCGAATGCACAAGCTGATAATAAGTCTCCTGTGATCTTACCGCTTTTGCCTCGCAATCAACAAGACTCAAATGGACAGCAATCCCCAGGTAACCAGTACTCATACTCATCTACAAACCCATGGCTCAATAAAAACCAAAACAATGTACAACCTTTACACTATCCTGCGTCTGCTCCAACGCAGTATGCCGGCAATTTGGCCAAAGTCACGTCGCCGCTACTGTTGTCGACTGGTTCCGGCAACGTGTCAACTCCTCAATACAACCACCCACAATCCTCAGAGAGGTCGAGCAATCAGAATTTGGGCAGAGAGGCCATGCTACATGCAGCTGGGGCACTGGAGACGCTGAGTCAGCAAAGCTCCAGCGACAAAATTCCAGGCATGAAACTCGACAGCGAAATGTCCAATAGGCCATCGTCCCCTCCACAGAAATTGCCTTCTATTTCCAGCATCAGTAAGCCTTATTCTCCTGCTACGGAACTCAATAACCATGCCACTCCTCCATTCGGACCCACAAAGCTGACGTCACTGGACCATGGACACCAGCCAACTCCGTTGCAGTCGATTCTGTCACCTAGTTTTGGCCCCCAGTACTCACTCAACAACTCATCCTCTCAATTCGTTCCGAACGGCTCTGAGAAGCTGCCTCCACTGAAAAACTTCCCAGTGAACGGCAGCATGCAGAGTTCCAGCCAGAAGATGTCACCACTGGTCGTGCCTGCAGATTCTAAACCTGCAAGTAGAGGTTATTCGCAACAGATGGAGCAAAGAAGCCATTCGAACATGTCCTCATCGGAGGATCTCCGGACAAGAATTTCAGAACTTGAACTGGTCAACGATTTATACAAAACACGGATTTCAGAGTTGGAAGCTATGGACGCTGCTTCGAAACAGAGAGAAGCTCTGTTGAAGAGACGTATTGAGGAGCTTACAGACCTAGTCAAACAAAGAGATGCCTCCAAGAAACATGCAGAGCAACGTTACCACGCTAACCAGCAGGGAAATGAAGCCAAGCGCTTGAAAGTGGAACCTAACTAACGAAAAAAGGATCTCATGATGTAATTTGTATAATGGTTTTAATGAATGAATCAAATTAAGGTTATTAAGAAAAAAAAATTAAGGTGACTATGTCCAAACCACTATCAGTGCAGTTTACAGAGGCTCTACAGCTTGTGCAAAAACTTGACAGCTTGTCTTTGCGGAGAGATTCTGCTGAATACAAGGAAGAGCTGAAAAATGTTCTTGACTCGCTGAATTCGGTCAAGAAGTCCATCCAGCAAATGGCATTATTCAGTGTCAATGAGGACATTGATGAGGTGAGTACCGGCCACTTGCGGTACTTGGCAATCGATTTCTATATTGCACAGGTCCTTGGAAATACTGTCACCAATAGGGCCTCCACTCTTAAGACCTGCAATGGTTTGTATTTACAGTTCCTTTACACCTTGGAAAATTACGGGATATTAGATAAAAAGCAGCGATCTAAATTGGACGCGATAAAAACATCATATGACCCGCAAATTGACGAACTGCGCTCGGACGATCCTGTGACGAGAAGACAAAGCAAGATCGACGAGTTCAAGATGACGAAAGACTTCGAAGAGAAGCTTAAGATCCTGGAGTCGTCAGATTTCCATAGTCTGGACGATGAGGTAGTGAGACAAGTCTACCTTGATCAGCTCAGATACTTTGCTTTGAAGTCGTTCCAGAGCATTGAGTCGAATCTGATGGAAATTGAGCTTCTTGCCAACATGCCTGTTCGCCCCATTGAACCGATTCAGGAGCCGGATGAAAGAGAGAAACAGAAGAAATTCGACGAAACTTACACTGACAAAGTGGAGTCCATAACTAATCCGATATTGTCAAAGGACGGCAAGGTTCTGCGGCCTTTCACGATTGTGCCATCCCGTGACCAGCTACAGAAGAAGGTTTTTGGAACGGGCCAGGTTCTACCCACGATGACCGTGGAAGAGCTTGTGGACCAAGAACTGGCAAACGGGGGCATGGTCAAGGAATCCTTGCCAGAAAAAGAATTTGACGAGGATAATGAAGACGATGTCGACAAGCTCACATACAAGAACCGCGAATGGGACGAGTTCACTGACAACAATCCCAGAGGAAGCGGAAACACGCAGAATTTGGGCTGACAGGAGTCGTGCACGCTTCATATTTGGAAAAATATACAATCGAAAAATAAACTGAGCAGAGAAAAAACGGACACGAGTAGGGGCGCCATGAGTTCGTTTGTTCCTGCGCAATTTAGCTCTTTCACCACGAATTTTGACTTTGACAAGCTGAAGGTAAGAATTTTCCAGAGCAATGGGGCTCGAGGTATACTGACTCGTAGACTGATACGACATCGTCTTTCCAAAGCCGACTTCGGTCGCTCAGAAGTCCACAAGACTTCTTCGATTTCAGAAGAATGAGCAAACCAAGCGGCATATTCGAAGCTCAGCAAAGAGTGAATTTCAACTTGACATACTTTAGCTCAAACTACATACTCATCACAGGCATCATTTGCTGCTATTGCATTCTGACCAACCTTTTATTGTTTTTCATTTTAGCAGCCGACGCGCTTGTTGTTTACCTGACACAGCTGCTGTTCAAAAGTTCGGACGAGCTTCAGTTCAGAGGTTGCAAGGTGTCCAAATCAGCAATTTACTCCACTCTTTTGTTGATCAATCTACCATTGCTTTTCGTGGCCAACCCCTTTACCACCTTGATCTGGCTGGCAACAGTGAGTGCTGGAGTCGTTCTGCCCCATGCTGTCTTCATGGAGAAGCCAATAGACGCCTCCTTTGCCGAAGTCGTTTAGGTATACTAATGAACGCTATTATCCACCAACCACACCTGACACCTCCCTTGTAGCTTTATCTAAACTTAATTGCTAGCTGATTATTTTTGACGGCAAATTGTTGCACTTGATTCCACCATGGGAAACCCCACCCTTATGAGATGGCCAGTAACGAGGATACTAGTTTTAGGTCTCGTGGTAACTGTCCTTTACAAAGCAATGGCAATATATAGTTCTCGCCGCGCCCCAGTCCAAGTGTGTTTTACGTCTCCCTCATCGGCCTTCAAGATCAAACATATATTCCACAACGCTGCAGACGGCAGGACTCACAAAAGACTGGACATAAATGACGAGTTTCTTAGCATTTACAACTCTGCACGTTCCCAGATGGCACACATCGAGGATATGGATTTATTTACTGTCTCTCCTTTCGAGCAAGAGCTTGTGATCAGACATACAGAGGGACAAACTGTCAGACTGGCGGACCGGTCGCCCGACTTTGTGGAGTCATATCTTGACTATGCACTTGAGAATGGTCCCGCTTCGCGTATGATCGAGTTTGATTGGCAACAAGAATCTCTCTTGATCCCAAATATGAGCGATAAGGAGACAATCGTCAGTTTGGCCCTAATGTCCTCGGACGCGTATGTCGGCCTTCCTACTGACGCTGACTGGAATGATGTGGGCGACAAGTACAACGAGTCAGAGCGTTTTGGATGGGAAAATGGAGGTGTGAGAGGTCATGTTTTCACCGATCCAGAAGAAACAATTGTGATAATTTCAATTAAAGGCACATCAGCCGCGGGCTTGAACACGGGAGGAGACGGCCAGACAGTGGAACAGGATAAGACAAATGACAACTTACTTTTTTCTTGCTGTTGCGCGAGAGTGTCGTCGTTGTGGAAAACAGTGTGCGACTGCTACGAAGAGTCGTACACCTGTAATCAGAACTGTTTGGAACAGGAACTGAGGCGACCGGACAGATATTACAAAGCAGTCTTAGAAATCTACCGCAACGTGACGCACATGTATCCAGAGTCGGAGATATGGGTCACAGGACATTCCTTAGGAGGATCGCTGAGTTCGCTTCTTGGCCGCACGTTTGGCCTTCCTGCTGTATCATTTGAAGCCGTGGGAGAATTACTGGCCACCCGCAGATTGCACCTACCAATGCCCCCAGGACTACCAGAGGAGATGGAAAACATTTGGCATGTTGGAAATACTGCGGACCCTATCTTCATGGGGGTTTGCAACGGTGCCTCTTCTACATGCTCTTTGGCCGGTTACGCATTGGAAACACAGTGCCATTCGGGAAAGAAATGTGTTTACGATGTGGTAAACGACCTGGGGTGGCACGTGAACCTGCTAAACCACAGGATAAGAACTATCATCAGCGACGTTTTGATGGTCTACAACGACACTGCCGAGTGCGTCAAACCCCCACCCTGCTACGACTGCTATAATTGGAGATTTGTGGACCATTCTGGCGATCGGTACAGAACCACAGCTTCCTCTCCGTCACCAATACCCTCCGAACCCCCTGGACGGCGGTGTTTGAAGCGCACGTGGTATGGCCGCTGCTACGAGTGGGCAGACGACCCCAGCGCGGTGAAGACTACCTTCGCAACTAGCACGATATACAGAAAGACTAGTGACATCAGCACCAGCACGCACACAGGAGGAAATACTACATGCATCAGAAGATCCTGGCTGGGGTACTGTCTCGAGTACGGTCCTGAGTTATGTTAGGCAAAGGCATAATTTTTTTCTCGGATAGCTACCATCGTATATACATTTATTTATGCTTACGGCTGTGCAAGGGAATAAAGTAAAAAACGCGTCTTTGAATTTTAAAACACGCTCCCCAATGTTTAGAAAAGTCAAGCGGAGAACAGACGGACGCCGGAACTTTGATGAGATCCAGGCTGGAGAGTCAGGGTACCGTCGTCTGGGCAGCAAGGGGTTCAAAGATGACCTCTCGATATATCCCCACAGGCTGTCCTTCTACAAAGTGCCTCCCTTTGAGGAGATCACACTGGAGGAGTTTGAAACATGGGCTATTGACAGATTAAAGGTTGTATTGGAGCTTGAATCATGTGTTAGCAGGGGCAAGCCGTTCAAAGATATTGAGATAATCATGAAACCACTGTTGTCCAAGCTGTTGCCAATGAATCTACCAAACAGAGAGTCGACGTCTTTGTATCTAGAGCGCAAGAAGGACCACTACTCGCATTTCATTCTTCGACTGGCATTTTGTCGTTCCGAAGAGCTCAGGACGCGTTTTATACGTGCTGAAACTCTACTGTTCCGACTCAGATTCAATATGATGTCGATACAGGAACAGAAAGACTTCGTCGCGTCTCTCGATCTGCCGTGGGAGACCGTGTCCGAGGAGGAGAAACAGGAGTTTCAGAACGAGTTGATGGCCTGCTGCTACAACACGGCACGGTCGATTTTGACCCAGACTGTGGAATACCAGCGCACGAAGAAGGTGACAGACGAGCAGGTGAGGGCGTTTTTATCGGCAGAGAAATTCTACAAGATCCCATTCGAGTTTGTTCCGGAGCTAGTCTCCACCAGACAGTCGTTTCTGCGCCGCGGTAAGGCGTTTGTCGCGCAGTTCCAGCAACTCTCGCTGATTTTGACTGAGTTCAGCAAACATCTAGCGGAGCAGCTCAATGTCACGATGCGTGCTCTTCCGACACTAGACGAGGACGACCGTCTGATTCCGGTGCTCAACAACCTCTCGCGCGGGTACGCCTCAATGGACTATCAATCGGAACTTGGTGGCTCTGAGACGAACGACGGGTCGGTGACCGCGGAGAGCGTTCCTAGTCTGATGAAACACATGCCGTTGTGCATGAACCGTTTGATGCAGGGTGTTATGAGCGACCACCACCTGAAATACCAAGGCAGACAACAACTGTCGTTGTTTTTGAAGGGCATTGGCCTAAGTGCAGAAGAAGCACTACGGTTCTGGCAGATGCAATTCACGTCTGGGCCGGGGTCGATGTCGATCGAGAGGTTCAACAAGGAGTACAAATACACTTTCCGACACAACTACGGTCTAGAAGGTGGCCGCATCAACTACAAGCCGTGGGACTGTCGCACGATCCTGAGCAAGCCGCGTCCAAGTAAGAACGAGTACCATGGGTGTCCTTATCGGGATCTGCATCGCGATCAATTGGCCGACCAGTTGCAGAAAATGGGACTGGACCAGGGAGCTCGACTAGACGACGTTCTGGAGCTCAGCGACCGGGGCGAGTACCAGGTTGCATGCACCAAGGTGTTCGAGCTGATGCACGGAGAAAAGATCAATGCATTGCTGAAGAACGGTGACACGGTGGACGAAACGTCGATCACACATCCTAATCTGTACTACAGTCGATCACTGTATTTAGAATCCAAGTAAACAAACATACAGTTGAAGGATAAAATAACCACAACATTCCCGCTTCTACAAGAATTAAAGTTTAAACTGCGCGTCAACAATGCAGCGGATAAATATGTTTCCTGTTGCAATTGTTTGAAATGTGCTGCACGAATTATTATTTGGGCGATGCATTGCCTTTTTAGTTTATTTTTCCACCTCTCCCAGTCTTCTCCAACAACCCTTGTTTATATATCTGCTGAGACGCTATCTCAAATCCATTTGATTTTCGTTAATGAGCTCAGAGAACAAAAAGACGACACTCGGTCTGTTTTCAAGGACGAAAACACGAATGGCCCGCAAGTCCAAAACCTTCCTCTCTCCAAAGACTCCTTCCGAGGACGCGTTTTCAGAAGACGCCGAAGCAAAGAGATACGACGAGTTGGAGGCCGAAAACAAAATGCTCAAGGAACAAGTGACAAAGCAGAAGTTCATGATACTCAAGCTCATCGACGAGCTCGAGTACATGGAGACCCTTTACAAAAAGAAAGCAGCTATAGTGGTGGACCCCATGTCACCTACCAATTCCGTTTCGTCCAATGCCTCGTCTATGGAAACACTTGTTGCCGAAAACAGTGAGAAGGAGAAGATGATAAAGCAGCTCCAACTCAAGACCAAACTACTTGAAGCGAACGTCGCGGACTTGCGCAGCCAACTGAAGTCTAATCTCTGCCAATACCAACGTAGTCTCTCTAACTTGTCCGACTCCGTGACGATGATCACGGAAAACCAGAAATTTCTTACGCCACCGCCAAGACCCCACATTGTTCCTAGTTCGCGCTCACTGAACCTCAAACAATACACGGACGCGGACGCTGGTGAGACCTTTGTGCTTCGCAAATTTAGTATCTGCTGATATTTTGCGTCGCGTCGATCGGCGATCTCGTTATAATTTTTGTGTACTCTTAGATTTCAGCTGTATAGTAACTACTATTTTTCTTTTTGTGATGCGGTTTATTTTAGGATTGGCCTGTTTCTTGGCCGCGTGCCGCGCTGCATTCCGTGCCGAAGAACTCACGGAGCGGCGATTACAGTCTCCGTCGGGAATTATCCGCGTCAAGTCAAGCGAGTTTGACAGCTTCTTTGAAGGAGAGAAGGATTACTTTCTTGTCTCGTTTCTGACCGCACAAGCAAACCAGAAATGCCATCTGTGCCAGTATTTTCAGCCCGTGTATGAAGAAGTTGCGCGCTCATTCTATGAATCAAACCCGTCGTTCCAAAAGGTATTTTTTCTCTCTGTCGATGCCGGCGACAACATTGCACACTTCAAGAAATACAATATAAGCACCGTGCCACACCTCTGGATCTACCCTATATCTTCCCTTATTTATAAACCTGTTGACAGCGACGATGAATTTGACAAAAGAATCCCAATGCCGGAGAGCTTATCTATCGTCAGCGAACATTACACCTATCCAATATCGGACACCATCAAGCAAGCGGACCAGGAGCTCCGGTTTGCCACATTTTTGGGGGAGCTCACCCAGACCAAAATTGTGATCAACAAGCCAATGGACTTGGTGCTGGCATTGAAGTACTGCGCGGGCTTTTTCGTTCTGTTTAGAATTTTGAGGTCGAGAAAACAGAAGGTGCTCGACAAAATAAGAAATGGAACAGCGCTTCTGGTGCTGAGCGTCATAGCAATATACATCTTCTTTTCCGGCGTGAACTTTGCTGTGCAAAGAAACGTGCCATTCCTGGTCAAAGACAAAGATGGTAGCCTCAAATATCTGACCCCTGGAGTCCAGAACATGATCGGAGCCGAGGTCACGTTGTCGATAGCGTTCCAGATGATATTTTCGCTTCTTCTATGGCTCCTAATTCAGGGCATCCCACGGATACCGAAGGAAAACCGGCCTGTTGGCATGCTCCTTTTTGCTGGCATGCTCTTCATCATCTACAACTTATTCACCAGCATGTTCAAGTCAAAAGATCCCGGTTATCCATTCACATACCTTTATATACCTATTTTCTAGACTACTGCTCGCTTTCACTTTTGTTCACAAAGTAGAAAGACAAGCAGATAAACAACGCTCCCATAATATACACCCCTGAGTTGACCTTGTGTTTGAACACAAAGTCGCACAACATAGCAAATGGTATTGTCAGCGATAAGCCTAACGTGACCGTCAATGGCGATGTGAGAAGCATGGCACGGGCCCAGAGGAAATCTGCGAGAAACGAGATGGCACAATTGAAGATGACCACGAAATACACGTACGAGGTTGGTGGGAGCTCGAATTTCTCGTACCCGATTTTGTCCAGCAAAACTAACGGTGGCCATAAGAATAGCAGGTTGAAGATGCCAACAAAGCCAAAGAAAAGTCTCATATCGATTCTGCTGTCGTTCTTGATTTTCAGCTTGAGCAATATTGAATAGACACCGTACAGGAAAGCGCCCGATAAAGCAAGAATGTTACCCATAACGACGTATTGTTTGGTTTCGGTCGGGGAAGGGTCATCGTTGCGGGTGACAAGTACAACGCCGACAAAGGACATCACGATAGAGACCAGCTTTGTTTTATTAATGCGCTCAATCAGGAAGAAAGCGCCAACTAGCATGGTGAAAAAGGATGACGTCGATGACAGGATGGTCTGGGAGGACACGGAGGTGTATAGTAGCGATGCGTTTGTGACCAAATTAGACAGGAACCACAGGGTGCAGAACCAAAATGCCAACTGGATAGTCTCTTTGACAGTCAGCGGTGGATATTCTGCATCGAGATCGAATTCCGTGTGGTTTGACAAATGGTACGGAATGAGGTAGAGCGCGAAGGATGCAGTGTTTATCCATGTGATGAAAAACGGTTTTGAATAGATGTCTTTCTCAAACAGGTCGTTGAGCAGCACTGACGATGAAACCCAGAGTCCAACCACACAGAAGAGAAAGAAGAGTCCCAAAGACCAGTCGCGCGATCGCTTCGCCCTTTCAATAGCGCTTCTGGTGACGGTCAGCGAAGACATATTTGGGTTACAGAAATTGTGGCTATTATTTAATTTTGCGGGCGATCGACGCGTCGACATCTAGAGTAATCTGGTGGCTCTTTGCAGCTCAGTATTCAGCAGGTAGGAGAAATACTTGAACTGGAATGTCGCCAGCGAGGTAGTGCTCAGCTCAGCTGGTACACGAGGAGCAGACACCGTTTTAGCGTCCTTTCCAGAGGATGGTGCCACGCACATTTTCTCATAAGGAGGAGACACTTGAAGAGGTACCTGTTCTGCCACCAAGAAGTCAAACTGTTGGGGCGACAACTGAGGGAGTTGAGCTTTCAGGTAGTCGAGAGTCTTTTTGCGCAGCAGGCGTGGGTCGTAATAGGGCTCTAAAGTAGGCTGGTAGCCATGGAGGAAACTTGATTTGTGGTCACGGGCCGAATTGCTAGAGCGGTGGGTAATTTCGGATCCGGGGCTATTTTCTGACTGTGCACCAAGCGAGAGCTGGGACATGGAGGTTTCTGGGGTGAAAAGCTGTTTCCGCCGATCGTAAAAAGACTGTTTGGACGAGTTGAGCGACAGGTATGCAGAGAGACTCAGTTGCACGGAGCCAGCAGATGAGAGGTCGGTGCTATCCTTGTTTTCTAGCATGGGATGCGAGGGTGAGAAACTAGAGGAAATACAAACTATTTAATTAAAGTTTGCAGAGAGAAATTGCCGAATTCTGGCCAACAAAGTGCAGAATAGTTGTACTGGGTGGGCTAACTAGGCCAGAAAGCAGTATTTCCATCTGCAACGGCATAATGGATCCCCATACTTTTATGTATTTTCGTAAATGGGCAATTACCCGGTTGAAAAGTGAAAAAAAATTTTCAAATTCAAGGTACCACCGAGTGTTTGCCACAGCTTATTGAGTCACTATTTACGATACAAAAACCATGTCGTGGCTGTTTGGAAGTAAGCAGGAGAAGAAAGAGACGCCAGTGGCTCCAGCTGGCCAGGCCGGATTCGATGCCAACCAAATTTCGGACATCTCTAGCATTCTGAAGAGTAATACTTTGGATCCAACCAAGCTGCATCCTCTGGCCGGTCTCGACAAAGATATCGAATATCTAGACCTGGACGAGGAAAAACTCACCACTTTGGAAGGAGCCGGCAACGGGTTGTTGCCATCTAGAGGATGGACCGACGATCTTTGTTACGGAACGGGTACCGTGTACGTTCTAGGACTGGGTCTTGGAGGTATCCGTGGACTAAATGAGGGTCTGAAAAATCTGCCACAGGGAAGAGTGGACCCTGTGACAAATCAGCTCAGGCCAGTTCCTTTCAAGCTCAAATTGAACACAGTTTTGAACCAGGTTACCAAGTTTGGCCCCCATATGGGTAACAATGCTGGTGTTTTGGCTATTATGTACAACCTGATTGACTCTTCTCTGGACAACATCAGAAACAAGCACGATGACTTCAACTCGCTGGCTGCTGGCTTTTTGAGTGGCGCGCTCTTCAGAAGCAGCAAAGGCCTCAAACCTATGGGTTATTCGGCTGGCGCAATGACCTTGGTGGCCGCAGCATGGTGTGGACTCAAACGACTGATCAATTGACGATTAACGATTATAGATGACGAGTCATAGATGTATATATGCGAACTGTGCGAGAATTCAGATTTGCGACGGCAGAGGTAGACGCCATGGGCTGCCCCACGAGCTTACAATCAGACAGTAGTGTCTGTTGATGAGGTTAAGCTCCTCGAGCTCGTCCAGCAGCTCCAGGCGGTTGATAGCGGTCAGCTCGTCCTCCGATATCCAATGGCTGTATATGTAGCTTAGGTCTGACACGTTAGTGGACTCGAAACCGAGTTTTTGCAGTCGTTCGTGCTGCTTTTCGATGGTGGAGTATTTCAGCAGCGATGGCATCTGAATCCCGCGCATTGAAAGGTTTTTCAGCATGATCTCACCGTAGTTGCCTTGCGAGTCTCCGCCTATTGGGTCGTACACAACGAGAACGGCCTCAGCGAGGTTTTCGCGCAGAAATCTCAAAACACGATCGCTTTCAACGTCTTCCATGTAGCAGACACAGCATTCGCTCAGAACCAGAGTAGGCAATGACGGGTCAACTGCTGGCAATTGCGCCATGGAACTGAGCTGGCGTAAATCGAGCGGAACCAAATGGTACCGAGGCGTGTCCAGCGCTGCCGAAGATGCATTAAATTGCTCAACTGTGGTGGGTAGGGGCTCTGGCTGGGCCCCAACTGTAGACCTCAGCAGTTCTTGGTCCAAGATACTGTATTTTTTTATTCTGCACGTTTCTTCGAAATCGATCTCGACGACGGTCAAATTGCTATTGTTCTCAAGCAGCCTCATGCCCCTTGTGTCGCTTCCACAGCCAAGAATGAGAATTTGCACCGGTGTGGCGGTCTTTGCAGCCAGCCATTTGTCCACCACAAGATCGATGGCACGGGTCCGGATCCATGTCCCGCGGTTAATCACGGGAGACTTGAGGACGACGGGCTGTTTTGAGGTCACTTTGGCCTTGCCGGTCCCATCAAAAAGTCCAAAAAACTGCTTACTCAACTGTCTTCTCACAGCCAGCCGTTTGTATTCGGAGTCAATTGCCAGCAGTTGGTATTTGAGGGTCCCGCTAATAATGGCCTCGAGGTATCTATCCTGCAGATAATTCTTTAGAAGACAGGAAAATCTGCATGCGAGGGCATCGTAGTCGGTCGACCTGGTGATCTGATCTTGTTGGAGCATCATTGTTTGGGATGAAATTAAAAATTGGGGTCTCGGGTGTATAGATGTGGACCTCCAGGTGCAGGGGGTAGATTTTTTCCCTAAACTGTGGAGTTGGAAAAATGCAAGGATTTGTGCCATCTGTGTCAAAAAGCATGCGTGGTAGAAAAGTACGCCTCGCAGATTAGCGGTTTGGAGAGCCATCCATGTCCACGTCGAATGGCTTTCAGATAAGCGTCCTAGCCAATGCCAGGCCGTCTACACTGTGCAGAAAACGCCGCCTTGCACGCTCACCTTTTTTGCCAACTCCAGCCCCTGATATATTGTGGCAGCAGCCACATCAAGGCTGTGCTCCAAGCGTACAGAACGCTTTCACCAGGATTTTGCAACCAGCGCCACTGTTTGAAGATATATAAGATGCACTTCACATCTAGTAGATACACACTTATTTCAAGTATGGTAAAGGAAGACTCGGTCATCGTTTCGAATGAGAGCGCACATTCTTCAGATGAGAGCCTAGATCTGACCGACGCCCCAAATCCCTTTTTGGATCCTGCCATAGAACGCAAGTTCAGACAGATCTACGAGGAAAGCGAGTACGAGTGTCGTCATCGGCTGGATCCGGAGTTCACCTGGACGAAGAAAGAGGAGCGCAAAGTTCTGTGGAAGCTCGAATACCGCGTTACTTTTCTCGCCTGCTTCATGTTTGCTGCCTTGCAGGTCGATAGAGGTAATTTAGCGCAGGCTGTGTCGGACAACCTGTTGGACGACCTCAACCTCACCACCAACCAGTACAACACTGGCAACACCATTTTCTACCTGTGTTTCCTGTGTATGGAGCTGCCATCGCAGCTGATCTCCAAGAGACTGGGGGCTGACGTCTGGATTCCTCTCCAGATGTGTGCCTGGTCGATCGTCACTATCTGCCAGTTCTGGCTCAAGGGCAAGCACAGTTTCTACGCGTGTCGTGCTCTTCTGGGAATTTTCGAGGGAGGCTTCATTCCAGACCTGGTTCTGTGGATGTCCTATTTTTTCACTGCCAGCGAGCTTTCCATCAGACTGAGTTTTTTCTGGACCAGTTTGTCGCTGTCGCAAATTATTTCCGCTTTCGAGGCCTACGGACTGCTCCACCTGCGTGGGCATGCGGGCAAGGGAGGCTGGGCATGGCTTTTCATGGTGGAAGGTCTTTCGACGCTCGCCATTGGAATTGTTTCGTGGTTCCTGATGGTGCCTAGTGCTGTGCAGACTAAGAAGCCATGGAACAAAAAGGGATGGTTCACCGAGAGAGAGGAGAAAATCGTCGTGAATAGGATCCTCAGAGACGACCCTACCAAGGGCGACATGCACAACCGTCAAGGACTGACCCTCAAGATGATCTGGACCGCTCTGATGGACTACAACTTGTGGCCTATTTACTTCATTGGTCTGATCGCGTACATTCCTGTCAATACTGTCACGGCGTACCTGACTCTGGTTCTCAAGAGCTCTGGATTCGGCACCTTCGATGTCAACCTGCTCACGATTCCATACAATGTGCTCCACATTATTTTGCTGCTGCTGATCACGTGGCTTTCCGAGAAAATTAACGAGAGACTGCTGCTTTCGCTGGTGCAACCCTTCTACTCGGTTCCGTTGATCGGTATTTTACGGTGGTGGAGCGGCTCGCTAGACAACAAATGGGGCACTTTTGCCGTCACAACGCTGCTCCTCGGTGTGCCTTACATTCATGCAATGATGGTGTCGTTATGTTCGCGGAACTCCCAATCGATCAAGACCAGAACCGTTTCTGCGTCGCTGTACAATATGTTTGTGCAGGCGGGCTCTATTGTGTCATCCAACATCTACAGGACCTCGGACAAGCCATACTATCACGCGGGTAACACGGTGCTGTTCTGGATCTCGTTCTTGATGATCCCAACCCTGCTGCTGTCAAAGCTCTACTATGTGTACATGAACCGGAAAAGGGAAAGGATCTGGCAGGCAATGTCCGAAAAGGAAAGAGAGGACTACATTCTCAACTCGCAGGATGAAGGTTCGGCAAGACTAACGTTCCGGTTTGCCCATTGAATAGAAACAGAATATTAATTCGTCGAGTTTTTCCGTGACGTCAAGTAGAGTACATATATATTGCTGTTGAACTTTGTCTGTTGAACGGTGCCGGGTGTGTCCAACAAAATAAAAAAAATTTGTAGGGCGGCGCACCTCAATAAGCCTACGCGTAGCGAGCCAGCGCAGTGCGCAGAAAATATTTTGATTTAAATTAGACGTCTATGTCTTGTTGAGAGAGCTCAAAAAGAACGGTGTTTGGATTACGGTAAGTGGGAAGACGTGGACGAAGCACAGGCACAGCCGGGACGGCGAACAACTGCGCAACTGTCTAATTGGGGCGAATTGGCATTCAGGGGTGGATCTCTGCTCAGCACAAGATGCTGCTCTTTATCTCCCGCTGTCTTGCCAAAAACTGTGTCGAGCGCTCTTACGGATAGACACAGAACTGATAAATCATACTCTTGTGGTCTGTTTTCCTGGCAAATTTCTGTCTAGAGGACTGGCTCGTCCCCCGGCCGTGCTGTGTTTTTCTTCCACCCATAGAATATATTTTCCATGACTAATGCTAAGATTATTTAGGCTCTCTAAATTCGCTACTCGACCCTTAGCAACGATGACAGCCTCATACAAACCAAAGCATGCAACTCTTCCCAAGCATTTTTTGGGACTTAATTCCGTCGAAGTCGCAGAGCCCTCTGAGGTGAAGGACTTTGTCGTCAAACACGAAGGACACACAGTTATTCAGAAAGTGCTGATTGCCAACAATGGTATCGCAGCCGTGAAAGAAATCCGCTCGGTGAGAAAATGGGCATACGAGACATTTGGCAACGAAAGAGCCATCCAATTCGTCGCCATGGCCACTCCCGAGGACCTCGACTCTAATGCCGATTACATCAGAATGGCCGACCAGTACGTCGAAGTTCCTGGAGGAACGAACAACAACAACCATGCCAACGTGGACCTGATTGTCGAGATTGCAGAGAGAACCAAAGTAGACGCTGTCTGGGCCGGCTGGGGACATGCCTCCGAAAACCCAGAGCTGCCAGAGAAGCTGGCTGCGTCCCCACGCAAAATCGTCTTTATTGGTCCGCCAGGGTCTGCCATGAGATCGCTTGGTGACAAGATTTCTTCAACGATTGTGGCCCAGCACGCCAAGGTGCCGTGTATTCCGTGGTCTGGAACCGGCGTCGACAAGGTCACCGTCGACGAGCACGGAATCGTGTCTGTCGACGCCGAAACCTATGCCAAGGGATGCTGTGAGGGTCCTGAGGATGGTCTTCGGAAGGCCAAGGAAATCGGGTTTCCAGTTATGATCAAGGCCTCCGAAGGAGGAGGAGGCAAAGGTATCAGAAAGGTCGAGAAGGAGGAAGATTTCATCACCTTGTACCACCAGGCCGCTAGCGAGATCCCAGGATCGCCGATTTTCATCATGCAGCTGGCCGGCTCCGCCAGACATTTGGAAGTGCAGCTGCTGGCCGATCAGTACGGAAACAACATCTCACTCTTTGGCAGAGACTGTTCTGTGCAGAGAAGACACCAGAAGGTCATTGAGGAAGCGCCAGTGACAATCGCCAAAGAAGACACATTCAGACAGATGGAGGCAGCTGCCGTCAGACTGGGAAAATTGGTCGGCTACGTTTCTGCCGGTACTGTAGAGTACCTTTATTCGTATGAAGACGACAAGTTCTACTTTTTGGAGCTGAACCCTAGATTGCAAGTCGAACACCCAACAACTGAGATGGTTTCTGGCGTGAATCTGCCTGCCACGCAGCTGCAAATCGCCATGGGTATTCCTCTGCACAGAATCAGAGACATTCGATTATTCTACGGGGCCGACCCTCACACCGCCACAGAGATCGACTTTGAGTTCAAGAACGAGAACAGCGTGACGTCGCAGCGCCGTCCTATCCCCAAGGGCCATTGTACAGCCTGCCGTATCACCTCAGAGGACCCCGGCGAGGGATTCAAGCCCTCGAGTGGTACGCTGCACGAGCTGAACTTCCGGTCTTCATCCAACGTGTGGGGTTACTTTTCGGTCAGTAACCAGTCCTCGATCCACTCCTTCTCCGACACGCAATTCGGTCACATTTTCGCGTTTGGAGAAAATAGACAGGCGTCGAGAAAACACATGGTGGTTGCATTGAAAGAGCTCAGCATCAGAGGTGATTTCAAGACGACCGTCGAGTATCTGATCAAGCTGCTAGAGTCTCCAGATTTCGAGAACAACACCATCACCACTGGCTGGCTGGACGAGCTGATCAGCAAGAAACTCACGTCGGAGAGACCCGACCCTCACGTTGCTGTGATCTGCGGTGCCGTCACCAAGGCCCACCAGGCGTGCGAGGAAAACAAAAAGGAGTACATTGCCTGTCTTGAGAAGGGACAGGTGCCGGCAAAGGAGCTGCTCAAGACCATTTTCAACGTCGACTTCATTTACGAGGGCCAGAAATACACTTTCACGTGTGCCAAGGCGGCAGAGGACATGTTCAGCTTGTTCATCAACGGCTCCAGGTGCGTGACGAAGGTCAAGGCCCTCGCTGACGGCGGTCTGCTGGTTGCTCTAAGCGGCAAGTCGCATTCTGTCTACTGGAAAGAGGAGGTCGGGGCTACCAGAATCTCTGTAGACGGCAAGACCTGCTTGCTAGAGGACGAGAATGACCCTACCCAGCTGAGAACGCCGTCTCCAGGTAAGCTTGTGCGATATCTGGTGGAGAACGGCGGACACGTGACGGCAGGCAAGCCGTTTGCCGAGGTCGAGGTGATGAAGATGTTCATGCCGTTGGTTGCTCAGGAGAACGGTATTGTGCAGCTGTTGAAGCAGCCGGGATCCACTCTGGCTGCGGGCGACATTTTGGCCATTTTATCTCTGGACGATCCGTCCAGAGTGAAGCATGCTCTGCCGTTTGACGGCACTCTTCCAGACCTGGGCGACCCGATTGTTATCGGTACTCGCCCTGTGCACAAGTACCACAAGCTGCTGAACGTGTTGACCAACATTCTGGCCGGTTTCGACAACCAGGTGGTGATGAACGCCACGCTGACGGACCTGATCCAAATACTAAAGGACCCAGAGTTGCCATACTCTGAGTGGCAGAACGTGATATCTGCTTTGCACTCGCGTCTGCCGGCCAAATTGGACCAGCAGCTGACTGAGCTGATTGAGAGAAGTCACAGAAGAAAGGCAGAGTTCCCTGCCAGACAGGTTTTGAAGCTGTTTGAGAAGGCCAGAGCAGAGGGCCAGCTCGGAGCGCTTCTAGAGCAGGCCATCGAGCCACTTCTTGAGATTGCCCACGGCTACCTAGAGGGCCTGGAGAACCACGAGTTCTTTGTGTTTGCCAAGCTTCTGATGGAGTACTACAATATTGAGAGTCTATTTAGCGGTGAGAACACGAGACTCGACGACGTGATTCTGAGACTTAGAGATGAGAACAAGAACGATCTAAGCAAGGTGGTGACGTATGCGCTGTCGCACTCGAGAATCGGCGCCAAAAACAACCTTATTGTCGCCATTCTCGACAAGTACAGACCGGTTTTGCAAGAGAATCCAGAGGCACTTCGAATTTTCAAGGGGCCTTTGAAGAAAATTGTCGAGCTTGATAGCCGGGCAACCGCCAAGGCCACGCTCAAGGCCAAGGAGGTTCTCATTCTCTGCTCGCTGCCATCCATCAAGGAGAGATCTGACCAGTTGGAGCATATTTTAAGGACGTCTGTTGTGGAGACGAGGTACGGCGAGACCACTGCTGCAAAGCACAGACTTCCAGATATGGAGGTTATCCGTGACGTGATCGATTCCAACTACGTTGTGTTTGACGTGCTGACGCAGTTCCTGTGTTCTGCGGACCCATGGATCGCTGCTGCTGCGGCAGAGGTGTACATCAGAAGGGCCTACAGAGCGTATTCGGTGAAGGAAGTCAAACACCATCTTTCGTCGTCAAACAGCTCTCCTGTGGTGTCCTGGCGATTCCAGCTGCCTGCGCTGTCGACAGCAGCGTACAATTCTGTTCCCGACTCCATCAGAAACTCCAAATCCACGTCGATGAACAGGGCCGTCTCCGTGTCAGACTTGACGTTCATGATCAATAAGGACGACTCGCAGCCTCTGCGGACGGGTATTCTCGTTCCGGCTGGCCATTTGGATGATGTGGAGGACATGCTCAGCAGAGGCTTGGAGCTGGCAGAAGTCGGCGCGGGACAAGACCCGATCAACGTGTGCAACGTCTTTGTGCAGTCGACGGAGGGCTACGACACCGAGGAAGAGGTTTTGAAGCAGATGGCCGAAATCGTCGACTCGATGAGGCACGAGCTACACGACGCCCTGATCAGAAGACTCACGTTTGTGCTGACCGACCACGTTGGCACGTATCCAAAGTACTACACGTTCAAATACTCTGACGGTGCGTACATTGAGGACCAGGTCATCAGACACATCGAGCCGGCAATGGCGTTCCAGCTGGAGCTTGGTAGACTGTCAAACTTCCACATCAAGCCGGTGCAGACCGCCAACAGAAACATCCATGTGTACGAGGCGGTGGCCAAGAATTCGTCGGGCATTGATAAGCGGTATTTCACCAGGGGAATTATCCGCACGGGCTCGATCAAAGATGACATCACGGCGCCCGAGTACCTGACTTCCGAGGCCCACAGACTTATGAGCGACATTCTGGATGCTCTTGAGATCATTGACACCTCCAACACCGACCTTAACCACATCTTCATCAATTTCTCGGCCGTCTTCAACATCACGCCCGAGGACGTGAGAAACGCGTTCGGCGGCTTCCTTGAACGGTTCGGCAGAAGACTCTGGAGACTCAGAGTCACCGGCGCGGAGATCAGAATCATGTGCACGGACCCAGAGACAGGCGTGCCGTTCCCTCTCAGAGCCATCATCAACAACGTCAGCGGCTACGTCGTCAAATCTGAAATGTACATTGAGGAGCGCAACGCCAACGGCGAGTGGATCTTCAAGTCCCTGGGCACTCCGGGAGCCATGCATCTCAGGGCCATCTCCACCCCCTACCCAACCAAGGAGTGGCTGCAACCAAAGAGACAGAAGGCCCACAGCCTGGGAACCACGTACGTGTACGATTTCCCAGAGCTTTTCAGACAGGCAGTGCACTCACTGTGGCAGAAATATGACCCTAGTGCGAAAGTGGGTGATGACGTCTTCAGTTACCTCGAGATCATCACCGACGAGGCCGGAAACTTGACTGAGGTCGAAAGAGAACCGGGAGCAAACACCATCGGTATGGTTGGTTTCAAGATGACCGCCAAGACACCAGAATACCCAAGAGGAAGACAGTTTGTGGTGATTGCCAACGACATCACGTTCAAGATTGGCTCGTTTGGTCCAAAGGAGGACGTTTTCTTCCACAAGTGCACCGAGCTGGCCAGAAGTGCGGGAATCCCTAGAATCTACCTCTCTGCCAACTCTGGTGCCAGAATGGGCATGGCTGAGGAGCTTATTCCTTACTACAAGGTCAACTGGATCGACCCCTCGAGGCCAGAAAAAGGTTTCACGTATCTGTACCTGACCTCTGAAGACCTGGCCGAGCTTGAAAAGACCGGCAAGGGCGGCTCCGTCATCACAGAAAGAGTTGTCGAGAACGGCGAGGAGCGTCACGTGATCACGGCCATTGTCGGTGTGGAGGACGGGCTCGGAGTGGAGTGTTTGAAAGGGTCTGGTCTGATTGCCGGTGGCACGGCCCGAGCATACAGAGACATCTTCACGCTGACACTGGTCACGTGCAGATCTGTTGGTATCGGCGCCTACTTGGTGAGACTTGGCCAGAGAGCCATTCAAGTTGAAGGACAACCTATCATTCTGACGGGTGCTCCGGCCATCAACAAGGTTTTGGGCAGAGAGGTTTACTCGTCCAACTTGCAACTTGGAGGCACGCAGATCATGTACAGAAACGGTGTATCGCATATGACCGCAAGAGATGATCTGCAGGGTGTGGAGAAAATCATGGAGTGGCTGTCGTATGTGCCTGCCAAACGCGGGCTTCCTGTTCCGATTTTGGAGTCACGTGAGGATCCATGGGACAGAGACGTTGTTTACAGACCGGTGAAGAACGAGCCGTATGACGTGAGATGGCTGATTGCGGGAAGGGAGACCGAGGACGGCTTTGAGCCTGGTCTTTTCGACCGCGACTCGTTCCAGGAGGCTCTTGCCGGCTGGGCCAGAGGTGTGGTTATTGGAAGGGCCCGTCTGGGTGGTATTCCAATGGGAGTGATTAGTGTGGAGACCAGAACCGTGGACAACCTTATTCCTGCGGACCCTGCCAATCCGAACTCGACCGAGCTGCTGATTCAGGAGCCGGGCCAGGTTTGGCATCCAAACTCGGCCTTCAAGACGGCACAGGCCATCAGAGACTTCAACAACGGAGAACAGCTGCCGTTGATGATCATCGGAAACTGGAGAGGTTTTTCTGGAGGCCAGAGAGACATGTACAACGAGATCCTCAAATACGGTTCGTACATTGTGGACGCGCTTGTGGACTTCAAGCAGCCGATCTTCATCTACGTTCCTCCTACTGGTGAACTGAGAGGCGGATCGTGGGTTGTTGTGGACGCCACCATCAATAAGGACATGATGGAGATGTATGCAGACGTGGACGCTCGTGGAGGCATCTTAGAGCCCGCTGGTGCGGTCAACATCAAATACAGAGAAAACAAGCTGGTGGTCACGATGGACCGCCTGGACGACAAGTGCAAGAGGCTCCGTCAGCAGCTGTCTGCCGAGGGTCTTGCCGACGAAGAGAAGACTAAGCTCACCAAGGAGTTGAGCGAAAGACATCGGGAATTGATGCCTGTTTACTCGCAGATTGCCGTGCAATTTGCCGACCTTCACGACAGATGCGGACGCATGCTTGCGAAGGGCGTGATCCGGAAAGCTCTGGAGTGGACTGACTCTCGTCGCTTCTTCTTCTGGCGTGTGAGAAGAAGACTAAACGATGAGTACCTGATTGCCAAAATTGCCGAGCAGCTGCCACAATCGACCAGATTGGAGAGGGTTGCCAGACTAAACTCGTGGTATCCATCTTCGCTGGATCTCGAGGACGACAGAGCCGTTGCCACCTGGACCGAGGACAACCACAAGCTCTTGGAGAACAACCTCAAGAAACTGAAGGGAGATGCGGTCAAACAGACTCTGGCCAGACTGTTCCGCACCGACATGAAACACACAGCCGAGGGGCTTTCGGAGATCCTGTCTCTGTTGCCTGCGGAGGACCGTGAGGCGATTTTGAAAGAGCTGAAGCACTAATCAAAATTACATTCTGTTGATATGTTAAATAAATTAAATATCCTAATCTTTTTACCTGTTCTATTAAGTCCCAAAATCTTTTTTAAAGGCGCTAGCGACCGATCCGCTTTTTATTGCTTTGCTTTGCTAATGAGATTTGCAGAATTCTTGGTGGTGTTTGCCACGTTAGGCGGGGGGATGGCTGCACCGGTGGAGTCTCTGGCCGGGACCCAACGGTATCTGGTGCAAATGAAGGAGCGGTTCACCACAGAGAAGCTGTGTGCTTTGGACGACAAGATCAAGAGTCTGAGTCATTTCCGAGACGGCATCGACAGGAATTTTTCCTTTGGCAACTTCGAGGCCTTCTCGGGCAAGTTCAGCAAGGAGGCGTTGCTCAGAATGGCTTCCAACCCAATGGTTGCAAAAATCGTGCCCGATAGCCAGGTCGAAGCCGTCGACATCGAGGTCGAGACAAACGCTCCATCGCATCTGGTCCGACTGTCGCAGGACAACCCCATCAGCCCAGATGACACCGAGTATTTCTATGACTCCGACTACTTGGGACAGAACGTGAATGCATATATCATCGACAGCGGAGTGTTTGTGGACCATCCGCAGTTCGAAGGACGAGCCGTCAATGGACCCAACTTCAGCGACGACGTTTCAAACACAGACTTTGTGGGCCACGGTACACATGTTGCTGGAATCATCGGGTCCAAGCATTTTGGCGTTGCAAAAAAAATCAACCTCATCAGTGTAAAAGTTCTCGACAGATACGGTCAGGGCTCACTGTCGTCGGTCATTGCTGGATTGGAATACGCCGTGAAACACCACAGGGAGCACGAGAACACGCCGGGACTGGCCAATTTGTCGCTTGGAGCGGCCAAGAGCTCTGTGCTGGACGACGCCGTCAAGGCAGCCTATGAGAGCGGCCTGGTGATTGTGGTTGCAGCAGGAAACAGCAACATCGACGCCTGCAATACGTCGCCGGCCGGCTCGCCCTACGCGTATACTGTGGGTGCAATCGACGACTCACAGGACAAAATCGCTAGTTTTTCCAACTGGGGCAGGTGCGTCAATATTTTTTCCAGTGGAGTGGATATCAAAAGCCTGTCTAACAGCAAAACCAATCTGAAGAAAATTCAGACACTGAGCGGCACTTCGATGGCCAGTCCTGTTGCTGCGGGGCTGATTGGCGTGCTGCTCAGCAAGGGTGTGTCACACGATGAGATTGTCTCCGAAATGGAGGAGTTGTCGATCAACGGGGCTGTTCCAAGAATCAGCCTGCTTTTGCGGCCAGGAAGCCCCAATAGAATAGCGTCGAACGGCATTAGAGAGTACGACTTCGACATGATGCGGCTGTCCAACAGCAGCGCCACAAACGGCACTGCGATTAGAGCGTAAGTAGAATGCAGGTGAATATATGAGCCGGATGTTTAGCGGTGCGGCTGGTGCGTGAAGCTGATCACGAGTCTTCCGGAGCGTGCGTTGTACGACACAAAAATCAGCGAGTGGCACGGCGTCTTGGGCGGGCTCTGGTCCACTGGCGACGATTGCAAAGCCATGAGTTCGGAGTCGATATCGTCGTTCTGAAAAAGCATGTCTATTTCGTTTACGCATTTGAGACACTCTCGTACTCTCATCTGAACAGGGTCACAGTATTTGCTGGAGAATTCAGACTCTGTCTGGTACTTGAAGTCGTAGCCCGTTGCCTTGCTTATAGCAAGAATGTATTTTTCGTACAATCGGAGGAGGACCGTTGCGGGTGTTTTTTCTTTGGTGGCCGTCTGTGCAAGAAGCCTTGTGTGCGGCTCATTCGTCGTAAACACTAAGTTGCGCAGCTCCTGTTCGTGATTGAGTTGGAGCAGCTGGAGATAGTAGTCGAGTGATTTGATGACTCCGTCTGTGTTTTCGCACGGAGAACATAGGTCGTCGAGGCCGTTAGTGTTCTGGCCGCAGCAAACACACACAGATGGAGGCCGCCACAAATTCGGCTCGCCGATGGCGTTTCTCTGGTTACCCTGGTGCAGAAAATGCATGCGCTGCTCGTGCTCGGCCAGCGAGTCTGCCAGAGACTGTGTCTGAGTGTCGTGCTCGGCCAGCGAGTCTTTCTCGAGCCCCGACTCGGCCTGCTCGGGAGACGGCGCGGTAGACGACTGCAGCACATCGGGTGTCGTCTCGCGTGGCTGTTCGGATTTTGTGCGCGGAGTGTCGACAGCAGTCGCCGACTCCAAATCAGTCTCCATGCCTCTAATCTGCTGGATCATGTCGTACTCCTCTCTGTTTTTGATGACGCTGTGTTTCGACCCACGCCGCTTCTGCGCTCGCTCAATCACGCGGCATGGGTTGCACGTCTTGAATTGCAAGTGTTCAGGCGTCTCAGACACCAGCCTCTTGCGCTTGCATCGCCGGCATGTGATGGGTTTGCCGTTGACGTAGACATATTCCGACTCTGAGCCCTGGCTAGAGTTGTTGTACGCATTGAGCCGCGCAAGAATACGCTCATTGGTCAATTCCGAAGCCACCTTCATGTCTAGTTAATAGGGGACCGAGGGTGTATGCATCTGCTACAACAAGTTTTTTTTTGTTAAATTATTTATTATGCTCCAGGCCGATCGACCCGTCGTCTATTTAAATAATTGGAATAGGTAGATCTAAAACACAAAAAACCCTTCCTCCTCTAAGTACAAGACTATCTTCTGGATCGCAGTGTTGATCGGCAGAGAGCCAAGGTCCACGCGGATCTCCGCGTCGGCAGGCACCTCATAGCCTTCGATGTCCTTTCTGGAAGTCTGGAAGTATCCTCTTCTGTCGTTAGCCTCGCACACGGCCCTAGGCGTCTCAACAGACACCACGACAAAAGTGCCGGACTTGGCGACAGTGGTTCTGATGGCAGACAACTCGGCGTTCGAAACGACCTCCTCGTTGTTCACCACAATCACGCCGGCACCAGACCTCACCAGCTCGCCAACAACAAAACTGACTGCCCCACTGCCGATCTTGGCCGCATCCAGCAGCGTGATGTGTCTGCCGCCAGAAAACTGGTTGAACGTGGCCTGCAGAGCATAACTCAGGGCCTCGACGCCCGAGTTCGGCAGACCCTGCAAATACAGGGCGAAACCCTGGGTCTGTCTTGGAGGATAAGCGGTTCTCAGGATCTTGACCACCTCAGGGTACGAGAACCACTCTGGGATGTGGGTGCCTTCTCTCAAACGCTTTCTGAGCTCGGTTCCGGAGATGTTGAGCGTCTTGGTGCCATCTGGAATGCTGTCGATAGGAGCATATCTGGCCTCGTCGGGCAGATAAGTGACCATTCTGAACGGAACGACCTCTATCTCCAGCTCGGTGGAAAATCTCTCCACGAGTTCCTGGGCGTCGTATGGACCATAGAAAGGAACCCCCTTCGAGTTGGATCCTGGTCCCGCGTGGTCTCTGCCAACAATGAAGTGCGTGGCGCCATAGTTCTTTCTGATAATGGAGTGCCATAGAGCCTCTCTGTCTCCGGCCATTCTCATAGCCAATGGCAGCAGAGCAAGCTGCGCCATGCCGTTCGGATACTTCTTGATGATCTCCTGGTACACCTTCACTCTGGTGTGGTGGTCGATGTCGCCCGGCTTGGTTAGCCCAACCACGGGGTGGATCAGTAGGTTAGCCAGCTTGTCTCTGGCAGCACGCACCGTCAGCTCTCTGTGGGCCCTGTGCATTGGGTTTCTGGTCTGGAACGCCACCACCTTGGACCAGTGCTTGTTGGCAAACTCTGAACGCAGCTGGGCCGGGGTCTTTCTGAGCTCGGTGTAGTCGTAGTGCTTTGGCGCATTGATGGCCTGTAATGCGCCACCAATGTAAACCTCACCAGCCACATCGAACAGGTAGCGGATAGCAGGATGCTCGGGGTCGCCTCTGAACACCTCCTTGGCCTCAAGCTGCTTGTCTGGGGTGTAGATATCCCCGATAGTGAGAATGGCCAATGCAAGGTCATCTCTAGGGTCTCTCAGCACAACTCTGTCGCCAGACTTGAACTGCGAGCTCACCTGCTTCGAAACGTCCAGCGTGATTGGGATGGGCCAGACCTCGCCAGTAGAAAGACGCATCTTGTGAACGACAGAAGTGTAGTCGGCCTCGTTGAGGAAACCGGTCAAGGGAGAAAATCCTCCAACGAGGATCAGCTCGAGGTCGCACAGCTGTCTGTCAGTCAAAGAAAGAGACTTGAGGGTGGCAGCCTCGGCGATTAGCTCACTCTTGATTGGCGCATCGCGTTGCAACAGGTCTTGGAGGACACCTCCGTGGGGAACGAGCATTCTGGGAGGAGAGTCGATCAACTTTTGGTCAACTTTTCACTAGAGGCTTGCACTTTGTCGTCGGTACTGATAAAATTGCACGTGACTCGGAGAAAGAAGCCACTGTAAATTTTTCAGAATTTTTTTTCCATTGATGCACGTCTAGAGCTGCACAGCCCTGAAGTCGGTCTGCTCCAGATGGTACAGGTCTCTGCACTCGACGATGCGCAGCTCGCACTCCTTCATGGATGTGGCGTCGCCGATCTTTCCCTGCACCGTTACTCCAAGCCTTTCAACGCACATCCGCTGTGTTTTGGCCAGCACGCGCGACATCACGCTCTGCACCTGGTTCGTCGCCAGCACCACGTCCTGAAGTCTGAACAGTCTGTCCAGCAGCAGCGCAGAAAAGAGGTCGCCAACGCCGGTGAAGTAAGAGTCCAATTTGGGGATTTCGAACAAAATAGGCCCGTCTGCGTCTTTGGAAGAGACACAGCAGTAGATACAGCCTTTGGCCTCTAACCCGAGCTGCTGTGCGCTCAGAAACAGCGACGAGATCACCACGTGTTTGATCTGGTGTTCTGTATGCAAGGTGGCAAGGGCGCGTCGCAGGTCGTCGCGGCCGGTGATCTTGAAGTCCAGCAGCAGCTCGAGCTCGAGCTGGTTCGGCGTGATCACGTCCACGAGGCCGCTGTGCACCAGCTGTCGATAAACAGGAATCACGTCCTCGCTCACGTATATCTGGCCGTCGTCGCCCATGACCGGATCCAGCAGCCAGAGACACTCGGGACGGCTTTTTTTGACGGCCTTGCACATCTGGCCGACGGCGGCCAACGAGCTCGCGCCGTGGATGTATCCTGTGAGCAGCGCGTCGTACTGGACATTTATGTCGCACAGCCCGGCGTAGATCTCGGCCAGTTGGTCGCCAGCGACCACCTCTCCGTGGACACTGCCGTACCCCGTGTGGTTTGAGAAATTGACCGTGTTGAGCACGTCGACGTTCCAGCCGAGCGTCTGAAGCGGGAATGTGGCGGCCTTGTTCCCCACGTAACCGTGGGCAACGTGCGACTGGATCGAGAGGAGCTGCATGAATTGAATAGTCGATAAGATAAGGTCGTCGTCAAGGGAAGATTATTCACCTGTTGGGGGGCTAGCACGAAAAATGGAGGCTCAGTGGAACACAAACCTCTCGCGGCCTCTAATGCTCTATCCGTGTTCTGTTTTGTGTGTGCCAATTGTGCGACGCTTCAGCACACCTTTTGTTCGCAAATATTGTAAAAAAAATTAACAACATGTAAAAACGGGTGGTCGCGAAGTCACCGGCTGCAGCCGCTCCACAATCACCGTTTTCGTCCCCACGCTAACCAGCTGGATTCCCTGATCCAGGATGCTGGTGTTTCCCTCCTCCCACTTGGACTCATCGATCTTGCCGGACAAATACGAGTTCCAGTTGTTCTGCAGGTCTTTGCCGACGGGAATGGAGCTGTCGGTGATCGAGGACTCCATCGCGTTCACAATCATCGGGATCGGGTTGGTGAACGGCACCTCGATCTCAGAGTCCTCCACCAGCATGCGTGGCTTGCGTGCCAGGTCCAGCGGGCTCTGGCCCGGCACCAGCAACGTTTGCACCACGTTCCAAGCCTGTCCCTTCAGTACAGCCAGTTGTTTGCGAAACATGCGCTCTTTGAAGCCCGGGTCGCGGCTCAGCATCTCGCGCAACAGAACGCTCGTGTCCTCCCACCACGCCTTCGAGGTCAGCAGGGGCAGAAAATGGTTTCTTGTCTGCACAGAGAAGGGCTGGCCAATGATGGAGATTGGAAGAAACAGCCATCCAAAGGGGAACGACCGCCACTCGTTTGGATGCTTCCATGGCAGCGACAGCCCGTTGTCGATGGCCCCGAGCCGGACCTGCGCGCGGCCGTTCTCGTGCTCTATCTTGAGCATCCAGTTGTCAAGGCCACGGTCGGTGTTTCTGACGATGAAGTCGAGAATGACAAGTTTTTCGATCTCCCGCTGTAGTTGCGAAAGCGTGTCTGCGGTCCATTCGAACGTTCCGGCGGTCTGGGTGGTGGCTGTTTGTGCCGGGCCCTGATGCGGGAGCGGGTGTCTTCTGAAAAATTCGTCTGCCCCCACGTAGCCGTCCAAATACAGCTGGAAGGAGCCGACCTTGTGTCTGGGCTTCTTCTTGCGCAGCACGTAGCCGATTTTCTCGTAGAAGGGATAGTAGAAGCTGTCTGACGAGAGTGTCACGATATCTGTGTAAGGGACTATGTGGGTCTGAAGCTGGCGGTCCAGCAGACTGGTAGCACTCTCGGCGATGTAGCCCGTGTTGGGAATCAGACAAGAGCGGCCAAAGAAGCACGGAAAGAAGTTTCTGTGGATCCATTTGGTCATTTTTGGCGACAGCGGTCCGTACGGCTCCTCGTCCTGGGGCTTGAACACGCCAATCGGCTCGTAGTTGGCGTTGTACACATAGTACGAGCCCGACGAGCCTGACGAGATCAGGCGCGGCTTGATGCCAAGCTCAATGGCAGCCGCGCCACTCGCGACGATCCGCTCGAAGTCCTGCTTTGTGGTGGGCCCTGAATCCAGGAACCCGGCCGCGGGCAGCTTCTCCAGCGGGTGGATATCTGGAGGGGCGCGGAAGACGGAATAGTATATTTCTGTTGTGTGGGGCTGGACATTTTTGGAGCGGAAGATACGGGGGAACCTCAAGTCGCGGATATTGTTTGTCCAGTGGGCAAGAGACCGTTTCGAAAACGGCGAATGGTCTGTGCCGTGGGCAGGCGCCAACAGCGGCGTGGTCTCAGACAGCCCGGCAGACGACGATCCCTGCACAGGAGGCTGGAGCGGGCTTGGAAATCCGGGCTGGGCGGTGATCGTCATGTGCTAGCGCATGTAAACTTTTTAAATAATTCGAGAAAAATAACATGACGGCCTCGTCGCTCTTGGGCAACGTTTTGCCGCTCGTGGTGCCGTTTCTGACGCAGCAGGACAAGCTGAACGTTGCTTACGCAAACTATGAGCTGTACCAGGCGGTGGTACCGCTGTTGTACCAGAAATTGCTCTTTACTGGCAGGCCTCTGGTAGACAGCGAGGGTAGCTGGACAAACATTGGGTCTCTGAAAAATCCACTCATCAGCGACAAGAAACACCGCGAAGTGTACACGCTGCGGCAGGAGCTACTTCTGCAGACGCTGACGCTCAATAAGGAGCTTGCCGGGTACGTCGAGCAGGTGGTTGTGGTGGATCAGGAGATACTACGAGATTTGGCACATGTGCTCAGCCAGTGCCCGAATCTGACACGATTTGAGGTCCCGCAACCGGACCGCTGGTTTGCCGAGATCTGCAAAAGACCACTGGAGTCGTTTGTGGTCACGGAGCTTGACCAGCTGTGCCATCTGCCGGCCACCGTGAAACGGCTGAAACTGGGTGTGCTAAGATCGGAGTCGATTTCTGTTTTCGACCGCCAGCAGGCCCTTAAAAAAATCTACTCGCTAGACGCACTCGGGCTCGTGTCCGACGAGCCGTCCATCACGACGTTTCTCAAGTTTCTGCAGCCGTTCGCGCGCCTCAGACTCACGTCGCTCAGCATAGTGTATTACCACGGATACAACGACTACAACCACGTCTCGCGCACTTTAGTGCAGCAGCTGCTGGACAAAACCGATCCGGCCACGCTGCGGGAGCTGGAGATGGTGCTTGGGTGTGACGAGATGGCGTGCGGGTGTTTGGGAGAGTTCTGCCGCTATCTGGTGTCAAAAGCATTCGATCTGAGGCGACTGGCTATTTTGCAGCGCACGGTCCACAGAGACCACAATTACACGGAAAAATTCGATGTTGCCGTGACGTCGCTTCTGGCGTCGATGCCCAACAACGAGCGTCTCACAGAGCTGTATATCAAACACACGCCGCCGCTGGATGCCATGATTGTTCACGGGTTCGAGGGAAACTATAATAAACGACGCGATCTCTACCACTCGACGCTGCCCCACTTGCGCGGCCTCGAACGGCTCGTGTGCCCCACTTTCGTGTGGTCGCTCGCATGCTACGAGCAGCTCATGTCGGACCTGCTGTGGAACGGCTGCACCTGCGATCACTGCGAGTCTTTCCTGTCGCTTTTTGACGAATTCATCATGAAACACCATTACTATGACGCCGCGTCGGGCCTCGAGAAAGACGTCATCTCGCCGTGCTTCTTCAGCTGTGCAGCAGCAACACTCGCCGCCCGGTTCGTCGGAAGCCCACTTGAACACCTCCCGATGCTCGACGTGTACTGGAATTTCCACTCTCTGCTCAACATGGACCACGACGCCGGCTACGACTGCCAATTCAACCAGAGCTTTTTCCGGCATCTCGCCGCCTGCATCTCGCATTTTCTCCAAGATTACGTCCACGAGGTCTCACGGACAAACCCAAATCTGTGGCACGTCAACTTCAACGGCATAGTGTTTGACAAATCAGACTCTTGGGTCTGCAAAAACGAAAAAGTGTATCGATCCCAATAATCTCATCTATTTGCCAAATCGCTCGTAAAACCGCTCCCGCTCGTGCTTGAGGTCCAAAGAGTACTGCAAGTTTTTCTCGTGGTTCTCTGTGTCCTGTGGGGCTTTAAAATGCTTGGTGAATAGCCGGTCACATGTCTGGCGGATAGCATCCATTTCTTCGGTTTTATCCATGTACTCGTAGTCAAACGTAACAAACGCTTCTTTCTGTATCCGCTGGCACTCCCGCACCATTTTCCATAACGGAACGCACTCAGAGCTCCACATGTTGCGTGCCTTGTCGCATTGGAGGAATTTGTCAAAAAGCTCGGCACAATTGATCGAAATCGCCTCCGAAACAGGATACTCTCGCTTGTACATCTCTACACGATACGCTTCCTTGATCGATTGTTGCTGGACCCGGTCGGTCTCGGGGTCTGTTTGGTCTTTGGTTTCACTGCCGATTTCTCGACTGTCAGTCTGCTTCGTCAATAGACGCTTTAGCTGCCGGTCGCTTATCATTGACTCCTTCGAATCAACATACTTCTGCAGCTCTTCGGGCAATTTATCGTCCGTGGTGTCGGACTTTCTAAACCACATTTACCCCACACTAATAAATAAAATTAATTAACCTATTTTAATTTTGATATCTCAGCTTTGGCTCTCGACGCCTGTTTTTCCTCCACGATCTTCTCAACCTCTGCGTTGAGTCCCAGCCAAGTGATAGGCTCAATTTCGGGAAGAGAGTTGATCCACGAAATGCAGTCGTCAATGCTATCCGACTCCGGGAGATAGATGGAGGATCCGTCAACGGCAATGCTCTGCGAATCCAGGACGTTGGGGTTGAACAGAAGAGCCGAAATGTCGATAATGACTTGGAGGTCCTCCTTATCGGTGAGTTTTCCTCCAAAAACAACACGACCGAGCAAATTCGAAAGCATGGCCCAAGAAACACCCTTGGAAATTATTTGGTCCAGCACATGTTTGGCCGATGACAAATCGCTCTGTGTGAATTCGTAACGCTCCTTGAACCCAACAGGCACAAAACGCAGCCTTTCTCTCAGAATACCGTAGAACCATGCGAGCAAAACGTACAATCTTGTGTGGTCTGGATGCTGAGCTTTTCTAAGGTTCAGAATGCCGTTGCTTCTGATGAGAGTTTCTTGAAGAACTGTTCGTATTCCAGGATTGCTCTCCAAAATAACCTGCTTGCACATCTTGACTATCGTTGTGGCTATGTGCGAGTCTGTCTGGCAGGTCATGAACAGACGGAACTCGCTGTGAATTTCTGCTTCGAGCAACTTCGGAATAATCTCGACAAAGTCTGGAGCCATGTGCACATTCTCAATCAGTAACCAGTTGCCTTTTTTCAGCGCAGCAACGAAAAGTCTACGTGCAACTTCAACACCCTCGCTGGAACCCATGGAATAGGACTCGACGTGTTGGTGGGCGGCCTGCGCGAGGGAGTAAACGGTAGAGCTTGCATCGAATCCGCCAGAAGTGCGCAGAATGAAATACTTGTGCGATTCCAGCAGTTGCGAAACGTCGTACTCGCCAGAATGCTCAAAGTCGCCAACATATTCCTTCATCAGGTTCTCAAAAATAGCACGGTCTTCTTGCAGCAGCGAGCTCGAAAGTGCTGAGTACACCTCTTTGCCGAAAGCTTTCACCATTTCGGAAACAGGTCGTCCTTTGTTCTGCATCAGCATCTTCTTGAATATCACAACCAGGTCCGTGGAAGCAAATTGGTAGACTCGGTTAAGCTTCCAGAGACGGTCAAGCAGAAGTTGTATGTTGCAGAAAGCTTCGCCAAGACTCAGGTATTTGTCCCTCACTTGTTTCACCTGGTCCAGGATTTCTGAAGACTGCGCTAGTTTGGTCTTGATGGTGGCAGCCTCATGTTTGATCGACTCAAGCTTTTTTACTAGCTCGTCGTTCTCCAGGATGCTCACACGAGTGTCACTCAGACTCAACAGGAGATCGTTTTCCAGGTTGTATAGCGATTCCCTATATTCCCCGTTGAGCTTGGAAAGCTCGACAAGCTGTTGTTCAAGCGACGGCTGCTCGCTATGAAGAGTCATATTCAGCGCCTGGTTCACTAGAGAGCTGCTGGTAAATGTATAATTGAGAACGTTCATCCGTGCTTCCAAATATGGCGGAATTCGAGCAGAAGCGTCTTTGGTGTGCACAAACAGCTGGAACTTGGGAGAGAGATCGATCTCTTTCGATCCAAGCTTAACGAGACTGCGCCCGCCGGAAGTTTCAATGTCTCTGGCAATCACACGGCTTACAATTGGGTCGTAATGTTCACCATCACGAATGAGAATAGAGCCTCCAAATCTTATGCAGTTTTCAAGTAGCTTCACATACCCGTCGTCCAAAAAGCTGGTCACCACTATACCGTGGTACTGCTTTTCCATAAAGTCAATCATCAACCCCGATGGATCAATAAGGAACGCAAATCGTCTGTCTGCAAACATCATCATGGTGTTTTCTATGAAAAGCTCGTCGTTTGGAAGACCATTAGTTTGCCAACTAAGCTCCTGGTCGGGTTTCAAACTCGATGTGCGGTAACTGAACGTGCTGTCGAATGGAATGGCGTATTTTGCGAGCTCAGTCTTCCAGAGCTCCAAATATTCACGCCGTTCCAGCTCGTTATAGCGTCCCAGGTAGGACATGTATGCAGCTCCAAGAAGAGTATTGCCAATTAGACACTCTCTCTCGCTCTGGAACGCCACAACACTTGCTTCCCATCTGACTTTCTCCTCTCGCAAGCTCTCCAAAAGTAACGTGCTGCGTCCAACCTTGGTTTCCACGTCCTGCATCTCGGCCTTGATTTTTTCACTATCACGAATAGTCTCGCTATACTTTTCCTTGTAGACTTCTATGCTCTCCTGCAAGTCGTTGATCATTCCATCAATTGCAATCAATTTCGCCTTGGTGTCAATAAGCTCGTTTTCCAAGGCCCGCACTTCGTTTCTCAGAGGCTGAACTTTCTCCACAACAGAAGCATATCTGAGCTGAGCTTCCACCCAAAGTAAAAGCGGTCCACAAGCTTTGCTAGCCCGGTTAACTGCTTCAAAATTGTACCCGGGTCTTGAAATGAACTCGCGCTCCATAAAGTCTGCCAACTCCTTCGTGAGATGTACTTCGCTGTCAAACCCGACAATGCTTGCAATGAAGTCGTCTCTTCTGATTATGAGCTGGACATCTCGCCACGTATTGACGTCGTACCCCAAAAGAATACACACCGACTCCAGGGTCATCTTCACTGCCTCAGGAGGATTGTTCATCGAACGGAGCTCTGTAAGATGCTGTTTCTTGATGTTTTTGACTCCCTTTTGTGCCTCCAAAATCAAAGGCTCCACATTTTTCAGATCCTCAAGAACAACATTTCGCCGGTCGCTAATAATGCGCTCCTGCTCTGTAAACCTTTTGTGGATCTCAATAGACGCTTCCTGCTTGCGTTCTGCCTCATTCTGATCGGTGATCATTTTGTCGAGCATTTCCCTTGCCTCCTTGTTCTTCTTGTCCAGCAGAAGCTTCTTGACAGATAAACTCTCGCTCAATTTCTTAACTTCCAAAAATGTCTCTCTAAGCCTGTCCAGACCAACATTTATGTGCGACTGGTGCTCTTGAAGCTCTGTTTCTTTCTGTTTAAAGGAGCCGACGAAGTTATTAACCAGAGTGAAAAATTCATTAGGAGTAGGGCTCCTGTTTCTGAATCCACCGTGTATAGACACCAAAACATTCACGACGGCATCACGCAATCCATCCACGCCCAATCCAGGAGGGGCATGGTACTGCGAATCATTTATCGGCAGAACAGCCAATAATCCCTTGGCCACTGTCTCTAGAGACTGGACTGTCCAGTCACCCATCCAGCTAATCACACATCTATTGAACAACGCAGGAGATGATATGAGAGGCGGAGCATTTAACGAGTAGGGATCCGTAATTGTAAAAACCACATGGAAGTTCTTGGCCACCTGTTCTGTGAACCAGGTGTACAGCTCCGCGTCAGAGTCCAAAAACAGACCCTGTTCTTGAGACTTTTGTGAACAAAGAGTAATAAGCGTGTTGTAGTCTTCTCCTTCAAATAATCCAGGAACCTCGGCATTGGCAAGAAGAGTGTTCATTCTTTCCAAGAACGCTGTCTCCAGAATAGCAGACTCGTCGATAATGAAACATAACTTGTCGCCTTCGGCTGCTCGGCGAAGAAGTTCCCGCAAAGTCGCATCGAATTTCGCCAAAGTGTACTTCCTGGAAACACTCAGCTGGTGGATTGAAAGTCCGTTGATCCACGCGACAAACTTGGTAAGAGTAGTCTTTCCGCTGCCACTTGGCCCCACAAGAATCATGTGGCCTTGTGGATTTTTCAAGACCCGATCTATGCGCAGCACATGGTCTAACAGATCAGGGTAGAGCACGAGAGAAACATTTGTCTCTTCCTCGCTAAACACCTTCAAACGCTGCTCAAGGAACGCACCTAGCTCTTTTTCGGAAGCAGGGCTGTAATCATACGACAGCCAACCTGAATACAGAATCGGCATTTCCAGTGCACTTTCTGTGTCCGTATATGGGAAGTTTCTGGCCAATGTCGACTTGATCATCTCATAGGTCCAGATTCTTTCCTCCTGGGTGATTAAACGATCAGAAAACAGTCTTAATGCTTCATGGGCCCAGATGCGAAGAAGGCCTTCCAAAGAGAGCTGAGTAGAAGACCTCACCGCCTCATAAATACCACGGACCCAACGAGTCAGCTCTCTTGGGGAGTAGATGTAGTGTGCTTTGTCGGTAAAATGCGCTTTGGACGAAGCGTAGACCTGGATCATCGAATCGGTCAGAGATTGCACGTATCCTCGGAGATCAGGAACACACTTGAGCAACGCCTTGTTGAAGGTGGAATAAATTTGGTTCAACGACTGTGTGCCAGGATAGTCCACCATGATCACAGAACAATGTCTCAGGAATCTGCCGCTCAAGACGTTTCGTCCGGGATCTGTGGGCGGATTGCAGGCTCCGACAAATTGTATGTTTCCCAAACTGACCCAAGCCCCGTCCTTTTTCCTCCAGAATCCCTTTTTCTCCACCAGTTGCCGCAAAAACGATATTGTTGTCTGCGAGCCGTACTCATCAAATGCAGGAAGGTTGATTTCGTCGCAGAATAAAACCACCCACTTTTCGGCCACAGCAGGAACAAGTTTGAGCCCTGAAGGGCCTGTTTGATAGACACAGTGCTGCTCCAGTGCTTTAACAACCAAGTCGGGCGTGGTGTCCTTGGAGAAGTTCACGCCAACAAATATGTACTGGTGTGACTTCCTGAGCGCAGACATCAAAGTCATGGTTTTTCCCGAACCGGGAGGACCGCAGAGAATCACAGCTTCGTGTTTTTTCACTAGTGAGAAAATAAGGTTTTCATGGACGCTCGTGTCCAGCGTTGGAATGACGATGTCCGGCCTTGTGATCATATGAGGTTCCAGGTCGCTTTCTTCGATGACAGAGGGTGTCCAAGTGTAATCAACCATTGAGATGTCGAAGTAGAACATGTCTGGTATGCTGAACTGCGCTAGCCCAGGTAATGTCTGCACATAGGTG